TGTGTTGCATTATTTATTTGCTGAATATATGATTTATCTCGGTTTAAAATTGTTATGGATAACATAAGGAAATTGCGCTTAAATTGTCACTAGACTTTTTATTAACTTGTTTTTATAAATCACACTAGTGAAATATGGATTAATTAAAATTAGTAAAGGCCTACCTCTGCAAGTTAAGTTACATGATGAAGATGTTTGGGCTGCCTAAGGTAAAATAGGGACAGTTATAGTTATTTGAGTTATTTACAAAACATTCAGCAAAAAATTTAGCATGAACTTGTACACCTACAAATTAATACTTTCAACATGTCAGCAGAGGCTACACCATGGAAACACACTTATCAGCAACAACAGCCACAATATAAATTATGTATTTATTCAATTATTGCTATTATTAATTATTAATATGACTTTGGTACAACATGAGAAAAAATTGTATTCTCGTTTAGCAGTACAAGTTATCTAAATCTAAATAGTTTTAACTATTTTAAGCAAGCCATACTAATCAATGAATAGTAACAAAATAGGCCTTCTTCTAGCTGAACAAGTAGATGCAGTAGCAGTAGGCCAGTAGTAAAGTGACAAGTACATTTATTTAGTTCAACAGAGAACAGCTTTTCTTTGAGAGCAATTCACAGAAAACCTTTCAAACAAAACAGGCTTTTTTTTAAAGACATGAACATCTATAGTCAATAAGTTCAGTAAGCTTTTTGACAAAGTTCAATTCTAAAGCCACAGCTTATGAAACTTTAACTTTAAACTCTTGACAATTCGCCACTGGCCCGTCAACAACCCCAAACCCTCTTTGACTTTGGTAGTCAGAAGGTGATACCAGTACTTTTTTTCTAGATTTAAATTGCCATCATAAACATGACAGAAATAAATCAAGGATTTAAAAAAATCAAGGATAAACACAATTGTCAGATAATAATAGCTTTATGAATAAAGTGCATTTTTAAAAAGACCAAGAGTGCATTTCTAATTGCACCAGCACATCACATTTATCTTCCTGATAGTTATGTATTGTGTTACCTGAAAAAATAACTGTCAGCAATTAGTAAAGCACATGATTAAGTGAGAAACTACAACTTGAATGATGAGCAACTGCTTGAAAAATGAAACTAATGATCTATAATAGTAGAATGGGGATGGCGTGGCTTAGTGGTAGAGAGCTGGACTGTTAACCCGAGAGTATCGAATAAAAAATTGTGGTTCAAATCAGTGGATCGTCCCTGAGTCCACCCCGCTCTGATGGGTATCTAACTCTCATTAGGGAAAAAATGGCAGCTGGGCATAGTGCTGACCACACTATTCCATCATATGCAGGTCTCTGAAGCAGTTGAACTCTTTTTCATCTGTGCCATGTGTCTTGGGCACGAACGGAAAATAATAAAGAGATCTCTAGAATAATAATGAAGTATAATCTACTAGTACTAGGCTATTTTTAATTATTCATTTATTGTTACTAGTTCTAGAAAATGTATCCTATATATACTATACTTCAGTCTATACTGAACAATACAAGTTATAGACCCAACTGCATTAGATAAAAATATAGTACATGTAGGAGTCTTTGTAGGTTAGCTTACTAAGACTTAGCCTAAGATTAGTAGTCATCAGGGCATATATAATAATGGTAAGGTAATCTATCGTTTTAGGACTGTAAAATCTGAAGGAGCTAGTAATGTGAAAGAAAAAAGACTAGTTAATACAAGTATATTAATTGTAATGTAGGGGGATAGCAAGGTCAAGTCGGTAAAGCTCATGGTTGCTAAACTGAAAAGTCTCGAGTTCGAACTCTCGGTCAGATGAAGCTTGTTAGCTAAGGACAGCCATTCTTCTGGGAGAGACAACTCCAAAATCAAACAACTGCTGCCTTGTAGTTTGTTCTTGATTGAAAAAAAGGCTATGGAAGCAAATCCAAAATGAAAAACAGGCTGAAATCTGCGTCAATTGCCTCAATGGCGCAAAACCAGTTGACATGCAATGCATACTTAATTGTGTTGGAGGGAATCCCTTCCAACACTAAAATTAAGAACGAAGAAGATTGTGATGTATGTGTAAAAATAAGAGAGCCTTGATAATTGAATAATAAACGGTTTATTAAACCAAATGCAATGTCTAAATATATAGATATAGGCCATAAAAAAAAACTTTTAATTGCAGTATTTGGGAGCATGATTTGCTAAATTATAAAACCTGCTTCTGTAAATTAGAGAGATTTCCCCTGAAATTCTAACAATAAGCAAAAAAGTAACTTTAAAAAGATGCTTCTAACTAAGTTAACAAGCTGGAGCTCGATCTAGGCTGCGTATGATGAAAACATAGCTAATCTTTATTTTTTACAGAAAAGTTTTAATATAAAGAGTATTAAAAACAGATAAACTAGGCCTATGTCATGTATATATTGTATATATTAAATATATAGGCCCTAAAACATTTTTTGTAACTTTTAACACACAAAAACCTTGTAAAAATATATATGTTTTCACCTACTCCTGTCCTACCACATTATTGCAATTTAATGAAAAAATATTTAGATCTAGATATCTAAATCTAGAATAAAATAAATCTCGCAATGATAAATCTGAAACTGAAATCATAATAGTATTATGAAATAATACTTTATAAATTTAATCCCTATGACTATGAAAAATGCAACTTAATTTAATTATTAATTAGATTATGAATCAGAATAGAATCTAGATTAGGCTATACTCTATACATCTAGATCTTGATTCTAGGCTAGATCAGTGGACCTAGACTAAAAGATCTAAATATACTGAGATCTAGATTTATCTAGATTCAAGATGTAGAGTCTAGAGTCTAGATCTAAATCTAGATTTTGATTTCAAGACCCGCTAGCTTCACCCTGGGACGAGAGGTTTATCATATCATCGTATGATTTCTGCCCCGATGCTGCGGCTGCGGCCTGAATCAATGATTCAATATCCAAACAATATAAAACTGGTGGGTGGTTAAACTATTTACACGTAGATCTGGATCTACTAGACATCAAATATACGGTTTAATTCCAGACTTAACATTAATAGTAGGCCTAATCATCACAATCTTCAACAACATTCAACTTCGTTTGATAAACTAACCAGGCGGAAGTGCGGTTTGGAACCTTGTTATCTTCTTTTGCGCATGCATGTAGCCTATTTAGACTATGGGTAAAAACTTCCGGCAAAATTGGACCGCCGAAGACAGACCATCCAAACTATTAAAATGCTCAACGCCATTTTGTTGGTAAACATGCCTTTTTCATGAGTAAACACTATGTTTTAAAGTTTAGTCTATTTTCTCACGTGCACGTTGACAAACATGGAGGGTTGATTTTATCATTCAAAAGATAAAAGGGAATCGGACTAGATCTATTTGGAATGTAGTGCGGATGTTGGCATTTTGCATTTCACCTTATGTCTTCTTTCTTATGTCATCACAGAAGTTAGAGTGAGTTTGTGATCGAAACTTATTAACTAATTGTACTAACAGGTCTGTTTAATCACCGGCGTCTGTGAACTTATATACTTTCAGCAGTTTTATTGGATGACACAAAAATCTTTAACTTTTTAGAAATGATGTGGATTTTGAGCAAGAATTGGGAAGGGCTTTTATTTTTGCCTTTTCCTACGCACTAACGTAGATCTAGATCTAGAAAAGATATCATTACGCCCCAAAAAGAAATGCGTATTAACAAGGTGGTCACCTTCCCCCATCATCAAAATTGATCTAGATCTAGAGATCTTTATTTTAGTTATTATTAGTTTGTGCCATTAAATTTTAAAATATTGATTTAATTTCATTAAACAAACCTGGATTAACTAACATCTTAAAATAATTTTAAATATCTATCTAGATCTTGATCTATTATATTCCAGATCTTTCTATAGCTTTTACTAAGTTTTACTTTTAGATTTTAGATCTACTCTGATCTACTCAATGTACAATCTACACATATCAAAACCACCTTTATTAATAAAATATTTTAACTATTAGTAAAATCTATGTTAACCTATTAATATTCAAAGTAATTATACTAGCATGCTAATTAGACAAATGTAGGGCCTTTGAACTAGACTAGACTAAAAGGTAGGTTAATAAAATCAATGTAGTCTATGTTGATATCCTTTTTTTTACTATAGTTTATCTAATCAATTCTTCTCCAAAAGTTACCATCTGTGTTTAATTATAATCACTGGAACAAATGAAATAGGCCTATTTAAAAAAATCCAAATGCTAACCCTTAAATCCAAGAACAATGCAGCTTCAGCTTGTTTTTAGTTTTGTAGTTTTCTCTCCCAATTGGTTGCTGCAGAGGTGTAGTGACCCTTCCGGTGCCAGGGGACAAACTTTCAATTTGCACTCCCTCTCCCCCCCCCCCCCCCCCAAAATTTGTTTTTCCAACCCATTTTGGCGCCCCTAAGGTCGGCACCCGGGGACATATGTCCCCTCCACCCTTGCTACTAATCTCAACTGCCCAGGGTTTGACCCTCAGAGTTAGCAATCATAGTAGTAGTATCCAACCACACAGTGACCTTATAACAAAAAGTGCAATATTGAGATTGGGGTGTTTAAGGTGTAACATTATTTAAGGGTTGGGGACTTGCTTATTATGATCGGGAAAAAATTGTCTAGCAATTATGATGTGATTTATAGATGACCCCAAAGTATTAATACTATACAGGCTTAAATAGTTAGAAGTTGTAAAGAATTTTAAGATTACTTCTGCAAGATTATACGCAATATAGTTGTTTTTTTTATGTTGTAATTTATTATAATGGGATTAATAGTTGACATTTCTCATTAGCTCACAGTAGCCGGTGATTCGACAGACTTCTGTTAAGGGTTATTTTATCTGGAGAAATTGTTTTTGTCCTTAGGTCAGGGAACACTTATTAAGGCTGTTGTTGAAAAGTAGTTCAGTAATTGAAATTAAAATTTTAAAGGGAATGCCTTAGCCTTAAAAATGCAGGTGGTTGGATTAATTTAAGAAAAAAAAAATTGATAATAAACCTATTTTTCTCTTATATAAATATAAAATTGTTTTCATGAACTAAATTGTAATGATATGCAATGTGCTAAACAGAACTACCACAGTGATCGATTTCTGTTAAAAATAGAGATGAGTTAACTACTGGATGGACATAACAAACAGTTAATCAAGCAAACATTTCTAGCAACAAAGTATTATCTGTAAGTTACTTTTTCTGCTTAATAATTTTAAATCCTAACCAATGACATAGTTTTATTATTCTGTTATTCAATTTAAGATAGACATGATACTAAGCACAATTTTGGCTTTATTGTTACTTCCTCTTAACAGAATTATATTTGTACTAATTTTATTTCTCATATTTTCAGATCTCAGCCATAGCAAGGGTGTAGGATTTAGAAAATAACAATTATTTTGTTAAGTCATGATGGCTTACACAAATGAGGTTAAACAGGGGCTACTTCCTAATTATTACGATAAAGAAAATTTAGGAGAGGATGATGAAGATGATGAGGATAATCAGTTCATCATTTCTCTTGAGGACAACGGTGAAGAGGATGGACTTCTCTGCAGCCCTGAAGATGTTTTACAATATAACCCATCCTTATGTCAGATACCAACCACAACAATAGATGAACAAATTCTAAGGAAACCGTTAGTTCTCGAGCCTTCTGATAAATCTTCTGGCTTGGATACAGAAATCATCACATTTCCAGCCCATTATGCTACAAAAAATCAAGGTACTGTTGTCAACTCTACATCTCCCTCAAATTTTACAAATCAGAATGCTCATTCCATAATAATTCAAGGTCACACTGCTGAAAGACAATCAGAAATAATTCCATCTGCATTTTCAAATTCTGATTTTACTGTAGTTAGGTCTAAAGAGAACCCTGCTTCATTAGCTTCACTTAAAGATATAAGTTCTCTTAACTATGAACTTGATTCTCAAAGAAATAAAAGTTATAATAACTTCAGTGGAACAGACAAGGATAATTACAGTGGTACTGCAGCTGCTCCACTCAATTTATCAACTTCACAAAAAGATTATAACAGAACAACAGTACCTAACAATGAGGCATTGTTTTCCAAATCACCAAAAAAACTAGGGACAGAATCTTGTGGGATGCTTTTAAAATGTTTGATTAATGGTTATTCTTCTGACAAATTGGAAAAAAGTAATCCACCGACAGCTGCTTCCCTTCACCCATATAATTCTACCTCAAATAGTCACAATCATGTTGGGGAACCCTTATCTTCCCTCCCAGCACAGCCTACTGTTCACTCTCCATCTCTAAGTGCCTTATTATCCAGGGCTGCAACATACCAGTCTCAATTTAACACTGAAAAGTATAACGTTCCCACATTGTCAGGTCCATTTCCAAGGAATGAAACTCCTGATTCTAAAACAGAGAATTGTACAAGACTTCCAGATAATCATTCCATTTCCACTGACACAACAAGCTGTACTTGTATTATGTGTTATAAAGGTCGTGGAATATTTGACTCTGATCCAACTGTTACACTGCCTAAACCTCAAGAAGAAGTCTCATTAAAAAGAAAAAGACCTTGTGTTTCAAGTAGAGGAGAAAAGAAACAGCTTCGCCAATTGGGTATCAAATCCTATCAAATCCAACCTCCACCACCAATGTCCCAAATAGTAAATGGCAATTTAAGAATAAATAGTTTAAAAACACCCCCTCAGATGACTAGTTTTCCTCAACCTTTAAGCAATGTTGCAATGCCTAGTTATATGTTGCCACCTAATAAATCAGTTTTAGGTCCTGCAGAAGCACATAAGCATAATAGTCATAGTTTAACTAGTCATAGTTTATTAGGTCGTGTAGCAAGTACAACATCTCCTCTTACAAAATTAACACTTTCTGTGACTCCTCAAGTCACTTCGCCTTTTACACCCACAACACATTCCATTTTAAACTCTACATTATCCAGTCCTGTGTCTAGCTCTGTTACTTATAAGATAGTACATGTTAGTCCTGATGAAGTTATCCTCTCTACATCAAACTGCACAGCTCAGTCACGTGAACAAGTTCTAGGAATACCTTCTACAGTTAGGCATCCAGTGGCATTAAACGCAACAGAAGTAAATCTCAATTCACCTCTAGTTCCTCATTCTCCATCTAATGCTGGAAAAATAAACCAATCAGAATCATCCATAAATACTAATGATACTGGAAAAATAAACCAATCAGAATCATCCATAAATACTAATGATAATTTATGCAGCGCATCAGATTTAAATAAACTTTTAAACAATGCTGACAAAATTGACCTTAGTACACCCAGCCATGTAATTATTCAAACTAGAAACAATAAAATTGCAGTTTTATCTACGGCATCATTTGATAAAACATCCAGTAAATCACTCCTGAATTCATCATCTTTCCGAAATCCACAAAGCACTCCAGCAGTAAGCCTGTCATCACCAAGTTCTTCATCCTTGGGTAATTTAAAAACCTCTCAGCTGTCACCTCAGACACTGCTGGGCATTATTAGTTCACACTTACATGGTCAACCTTTTAAAGCCAGGGAAGTTACAGAAGATAAAGGCAGCGTTTCCTCCCATGTGGTGGGATCAAACAAACCAGCTGCTCCGTGCCACACATTAAACATGGGTGGTAAAGTTAAACCAACAACACACACTGCTGCTGTTTCACAACCAACAGTTTCAAGCCACAAAGACAACCTGAATACCTTAGGCAGCAGAGTTGAAGCAACATTGACATACACTGTTGCTTCACTACCAGCTGTTTCTAGTTACAAGGAACCATTTGGTACTCCAGCCTGCAGAGCTGAATCAACATTGACATACACTAATGTTGCTTCACTACCAGCTGTTTCTAGTTACAAGGATCCATTTGGTACTCCAGCCTGCAGAGCTGAAGCAACATTGACATACACTAATGTTGCTACACTACCAGCTGTTTCTAGTTACAAGGATCCATTTGGTACTCCAGCCTGCAGAGCTGAAGCAACATTGACATACACTAATGTTGCTACACTACCAGCTGTTTCTAGTTACAAGGAACCATTTGGTACTCCAGCCTGCAGAGCTGAAGCAACATTGACATACACTAATGTTGCTACACTACCAGCTGTTTCTAGTTACAAGGAACCATTTGGTACTCCAGCAAGCAGAGCTGAAGCAACATTGACATACACTAATGTTGCTTTACCAACTGTTTCTAGTTACAAGGAACCATTTGGTACTCCAGCAAGCAGAGCTGAAGCAACATTGACATACACTAATGTTGCTTTACCAACTGTTTCTAGTTACAAGGAACCATTTGGTACTCCAGCAAGCAGAGCTGATGCAACATTGACAGAAGCAAATAATGCTTGCGTCAAGTGCCAAGAAAACCCCATTCCACAACCACCAGCAATAGGATCTTCCAAATCTTACCTTGAAGACTGGGTTGACAGTGCTAAAACGTTTTCTTCACAAAATCATAATCAGGCTCAATTTTTACAAAAGAATAGTGATATAGATCAATCAGCTGTCAGTGGATGTTATAGTACAACATCAAATCAGTGTAAAACTAATGTGAAATTGGAAAATTCTTCTATTTATAACTGTGACATAGAGTATTTCCCAAACACCAGCAATTCATGGACTAAAAAGGATAACTCTGCTACTAGGCTGGATCTTCCCAGGTCTCCCAGAGTTTCACAGGCTCCAAATGTTAAACCCTTAATTCACAATGAACCTGATGATAAATCAGATGATCCTGTTGTACAGCCTCCAGCAGACAGGGTAACAGAAAGAGCTGGTACACACCAACCTGTAATAACAGCTTCACAGAGTATTCCGAACCTTAATCCTGTCCTTAATCAGCCAAATGGTTTAATTAACTCCTTAAAGAAAGGTGTGTTTTCAAGCAGGCATCCTCAGTTTAAAAAATCAAGGCTGAAATCAGTTGTTGATATGCAAAATGGAACATCTTCAACTGTTATTTCAGGGTCAGAAGGTATCAAGTTGAAAATCAGATTAAGTGAAAACAGTAAGTCACCTAACAAATGTAGTATTGATCCATTGATTACTAAAGCAGGTGTCTCACAGATCTCATTGAATGGAGAGGAAACTGGTTCTCATCTGTTGCAACAAGTTGCTGGTAAAATTGAGACTGTAAACAAAGAAGCTGTAGCCTGTGACAGAGTTGAGACAGCAGAAGAAATGTTCCAGCGCTTTCAGGAGCAGGCAATGCAGGAAGTGTTCAAGGCACAACTTGGGGTAGGCTCAGTTAGTCGCAGCCTGCGGCCGACAAGACATAACCTGGCATTTTTGGACAAACCTATAGAAAGGGATCAGTCTAAAAAGAAAAAGTATGAGCTAGAAAAATCAGTTGTTGACTGTGGTTTGAAGGTTAATTCAGATGTTCCATGTATCAATAAAGAAAATTTGGAGGAAAAAGAATGCAAGAAAAGGAGACGCTTGTCTGATGAACCTGGTCTAGTTAAATTTCCAAGGCTGTCTATTAATGATTATCCCAGATTAAAACAAGACAATAGTATATCCTACCGTAAAAGAATTGTATGTTCTAACATACTAGCTGGCCACAAGGTGTATGTTAAGTTTAATACATATGAAAATATGCATAGTGGCCGATGTTTCCTGGTGCCTTTTTTCAACATTGGTGGCTCTCGTACACAGTTTGATGTGGAAGACATGGAATATATCAACCAAGCTGTTGCAGAGTTTGAAAGAGAGGAGAGATCATGTGCACGTCATTTACTATATTACACTCGTGAAGGAAATAAGGCTGTGTTCCTGAGAAAAGAGACCAATCTCCATACTTATCAGGTGTCAGAAAAAAACTACAAGAAGTGTAGCTTTGTTTTGGATGGTTTCAAAAGGGAAGCCCCCAAACCAGTGGAACCTGTGGTAGAACAGTGGAAAGTTGATCAGTCTGTGGATATAGAAATAGACAGAGCAGAGGTGGATAATGAGATAGAAGAAAACTTTGAATCTCTCATCAACATGAGCACTGAAAAAGCTGCTGCTGTACACACGTCCCCAGTGTCAAACTGTAGGCGCAGGTATAGTGTTGACAGCAGCACATGTGGTGCTGATTCACCCGCTGACATGTTAACTCAGGAAACAGTATTTTATCACCCTAAGGATTCTGGAGATAAATTACCATTTAGTCAGTTGCCTATTTCAAATACAAGTTCTCAAAGAGTAACATTGCATCAGTTGTTTAACCTTGAAGAAGACAGTACACACACAGTAACCCCGCCTATGACAAAGAAAGATAGTGAATTAGAAATACATGTGTTGAATCCTTGTTCTTTAAGTGTTTCGCCTGATAAGCAAAAATCATTATCTGGAAAAACAGTTGAGAATGGGTCATACTGTTCAGTATTGCTCAGTAACCTCAACACAGTTATCAAAAGTGAAGTCATTGATGATAGCTATGAAGAAGCAATCAATATATACACTTCCAGTGTAGACCCTTTTCTTGTTACAGCTGAAGATTCTGTGTTAAAAACACCTGCTAACATAAAACAAGAAGCTGTGAATGATGAACATATAACTTCTGAGGCTGATCAACAACACTTTGATCAAGCAACCTTTGAAAACCAAATTGACAAAACACAAGGAAGTCCAAATCCAACACCAGCTGTTTCACCTAAACCTATTTCCAGCAGTGAACCAATAGACATGCCCAGTAATGAGATAACTGCTGGCAAAGACAAGAGGCCTTGTCTTGAAGATCCAACTCTAGATTCTTCCTCTCAGAAAACACAAGAATTAGATCCGTCATTAAAAAAGACACCAACAGATACGGATTCTCTTCTATCACCTGTTGATAGTGAATTAGTTGAAACTGAATCCCTCCCACCATCTTCTTCCATATCAGAATCCAGCGAGATTTCAACATCAAGTGAAATAGAAGACTCTGGTGAAGAACTTGAAGATGATTTATCTATGACAGGGTCATTGGCAGACATGAATGAAAGCCAGCATCCTGTTCAGAGCAAAATCACCAGTTTAGTTGAATCTCTCAGGCAACGTTTAACACAGGAAACTCCTAACCTCCCCCCATGGTTGGCTGGCCAACCCCCACCCTTAATTAAAGCTAAATTAAAAAAGAAGAGATTGAGAAATAAAGAAAAATCTACAACTAAAGTAGCGTTAGTAGCAGATAATCAACTACCACAGGAAGGTGGTAATGAATGTTTGCCGTCCAACATTTCACCACCAGTTGAACACATTCAAGTTGAAACTCCTGTGTCTGACACTTCCTCAATCTGTACACTTACCTGTTCTGACACAACAAATTCTACCATACTGGTACCATCTACATCTGCCACCTCACCAGAAAATGAACCGTCAGTTGAAAATAATGCTGAAACCTCTGCTTTGCTGGACACAAGGTCAACAGAAATATCAACAGGGTCTATGCACCTACCTGTGATACGACCTGTAGAAAACATTGTTTTAACACAACAGCAACCAGTTGCTAGTCCCAAGACCTGTGAATATCTAACAACTCACAATGTTACCAGTGTTGATACATCTACTATACCTAGTGTGTTTGGGTTGAATACACCAAGTAGTAGTGGGATGGAACCTAGTGCAGAAGCTGTGCAGATTGTAGTACCTAAACCCTTGTCACCAACTAATAACCATAAGATGCACCAAAGTGTTCCACTGTGTGATTTTAGGCCCATTGAATCCACCCATTCCACACCAGGTCTTTGTGAGACTGACCTTACATTAGCAGATAACAGCACGGCTCCACCACTGGCTGAGACTGCTGGCATCTCCACTTGCTCCACACCCAGTGATTTTGAAATAGAAGTTGGTACAGAAGAGTTTCCAGATGTTTACCTGTCCTGCCCGTCTCTTCTTCCAAACCTGGACTCCCTTCCCTCTTCTAACAGTAAGATAACGTGGAGAGCCTTTAGTAAACCGTATAGCATTTTAGTATCCCAAAACCATTCTTCTGAATCTTCTTCAAGATTTTCTCCAATAAGTACTGGAAGCCCTGCCTCTTCTTTCTCCCCAACCAAACTTCAGAATACACAAATGTGCCTCAATAAAAGGAATGCAAATCAAAGAAGTAGATCAAAAGCAAGAAGAAAATTTCTGTCCCGGCCTAGATCTAATAAAAGAAGAGCACAGGCTAAAGAAGCTCAACAACTCTACCTGCCCACTGTATCTCAGGAATCAGAGTCAGTCACCAGCTACTTGAGTAAAAAGTTTTCCTCCTCTGATTCTAAGATCAAAGGGCCAAGATTGTTGTCTGCCAACAAAACCCCAGTACAGAAGAAGCAGGAGACAGTAACCAACTCCATGCCTGACAACAACACTCAAACACAGAAGCAACAAGAGGCTGTTGGTAGCTCCAAACTGATTGTCCCTGAGCCTATTAGCACAGAAGAATTGTCCAAGACACCAAGCCTCAGTGAGATATTTGGGATAGACATTAAACCTGAGGCCATTCAAACATCTTCAGCAGCTCAGTACAAGCTGCATAACAACATAGCAAGCTCTGGTCAAGACTCTAGAACTTCCACTGGTACAAAACAGGTGGCTAAAAAGAGAACGTCCAGAAAATGCAAAAGAAAAAAGGGATCTAAAGTGACCCCAAACCCAACAGATTTGAATACATTTTCTGAAGTATCATGTGATCAACCTAAGGTAATACAGTCAGCAAAAAGAAATAAAGTGCTCACCAAAAATAACGTACAATTATTTAAATCTGCTGCTAGAAATACAATAAGTCATGACGAGTCAAATAAAGCTATTATATCTAAAACAACTGGTCAAATTTCAGAAGAGCTGTTGTCGGGTTTTCCCAGGTGTTGTGTTATTGTCCACAAAGTTGAAGACATGCAGCTAGAACCAGGGTCTAGTGCAGGTACTTACATAATCAGGAAAAACAGTGCTGCATCAGTTAACAGCAGTTCAGCTGTCAACACCAGTACTACAGAAGTCTACAGCAGCACAGCAGAAGTCAGCACGACAGCAGTTAAGCTGGAACCATTGAATGCTGATACCACCACCACCACCAAAACATCATCTAAGAGATTATTTAATAGTAGAAAAAAGAAACGAGCTTCAAGAAAGTCTGGTCCCCGGCCTAAAAAGGACATTGTTGAATATTATGCTTCTATGCTGGAGTCTTTACAGAAAAAGGCACAGCAACTAGAAGAAGAAAGTAAAAAGCAAAAGGAAGAAGAAAGTAAAAAGCAAAAGGAAGAAGAAAGTAAAAAGCAAAAGGAAGAAGAAAGTAAAAAGCAAAAGGAAGAAGAAAGTAAAAAGCAAAAGGAAGAAGAAATAAAAGCCAAAGAAGCATTTGAAAAACAATCTAATGAAAAGATGAATTCTGATATCTGTGCTGAAAAGACAAATGAATCAGAAGAGAATGTTGAAATGACAGAGAAATCTGATGTTTTAAATGAAAGCACTGAGGAAATGGGTGGGACGTCAGACACAAACAAAAACCCAGAACTTTTTCCTTTGTGTTATAGTAATAAATCACCTTCAGTCAACAATGTCCATGAAAAGAAATTCAGTGATAAAAAATTGGAAGATGTAAAAGATATAGATGAGATGAATGTGGATGAGTTCTTGGGGCAGATGGATGAAGATTTGTTGAATCAATCGGCTGAAGATGATCTGCTATGTAACACAAATGGAGAAGAGAAAGAATTAGATATGCTATTAACAGGGCTCAGTTTACCTGGTAAAATTCTGAAAGATAGTTGTACAGATGAAACAAAACTGTTAGAGAACAGTGAGGTGGTACAACCTGGCAGTAAGAAACCTGATAACTTACTAGATATGGATATAGGCATGTCTTGTGTAATAAATAAACATCAAGACATTACACAAGTACCATGTCCAGCTCAAGAAATGGAAGCAAATTTTGGCAAAAAAGATATTTTATTGTCCAGCAAATTGGATGAAGATAAGAGCAATAAGCAGAAAGTGCTTGATGAGGAGGATATGTTTTTAGAAGCTGACGAGGATGACGATGACTTTGGAATAATACCACAGATAGATGTGGAAAAACTGCTGGGGTTGGATGATAATGATGCTTGTATGGATGAAGTTACCACAGAATCTAGAGATGTGTTTGCTGGCAATGACCCTTTGAGGATAAAAAATGTGAGGGAGGATACCAGTACTGCTGAGTCAAAAAATAGCCAGGCAGAGAAAGTTGAATTATCTGTCAATGGAAGTATCAATGGAGAGACACAGCAGGATGAACCAAGCCCACCAGCAACTGTGTGGAAAAATATCCTTGGACAGATATGTGACCAGATGCATCAAGTACAGCCTAGTCCTTCTAACAAGCAGGCAAGTGTAGAAATTAAACCTTCTACCAAGTTGAGTAGTTTGAAATTTAAACTAAAACTTCCATCAGGGGCCTTGATCAAATCATTACAGTTATCTAAGGAAGTTAAAAATGTATTTGGAGAAGCAGCTTCAGAGGGCAACTCCCCTACTGAAGAATCTCCACCTGTCACAATGAAATCTCAGCTTAGTGATGTTGAACATGGAGCTAGAGGTGATTCATCAAGTCTTGATGCTAAGCCACCTATACCAAAATTAAAGGTTAAACTTCATAAGGAAACTTTATGTGCAATTGAAAAAGCTAAAGCCCAATTTATCTTGACTAAGAAAATAGAAAAGAAAGTCAAAGCAAAATCACCAGTCAAAAGAAACCGTCAACAGGATCAACAGTTTGAGCAAGACATGAGTTTTTACCTCAGAACTTCCAAAATTCCACTTGCAACATCTGCGAAGGCAGAAGATACAGCTATGGTGTGTATTTCTTCTGGGGAAAATCCTTGCAATAACAAAGGTGATTCCAATTCAACTTTAACAGAAGAGTTTAAAAAATCTAAGAACAGCACAACAGTTGTGTCCTTGCCTGATCACTCTAATGATAGTGTTACTTCTTGTAACTCTCATGGGAATGATCAGAAAAATGAAGGAATCTTTTCTAATGTGAATATGTTTAAAGATCCGACAGAAGGAACTGTCTGCACTCAGATAAACTCTCAGCCCAGCAACAGTGTGGTACCCAATGCACCAAAGAAGCTCAACTTGAATATAGATATAAGTAAATTAAAGATGAAACTTAAAAACCCTATGTTGTCATGTCATTCAAAGAAACCTTCTCTAGACCAGGCAAATCATTCACCCCAACCTACGGACATGGCTCTTTCAACAAGCAACCAGGCAGCATCCAATGGTCAGCCCATCTCACCTGTTAACATCCCTACTTCTGTACCCAGTGTTAGTTCTAAACCATTACCTGTATTCAACTCAGCTAAGCTTTGCAATCTCCTCAAAAACATGCATAAAAAGACAAAAGAACCCAGCTCATCCCTTGAAAATACACCTAGTAAGTCCAGTGACAGTATCCCCTCCCCTGCTTCTGCACCCAATACATCCACTGAGAAGGCAGGGCGGGGACCTAGAAGAAGTTTAAGAAATAGCCCAGCCTCCAGTACACCCATCAAGCCAGTTAAAAATACAAGGATAAAAACTAGGTCCAAAGTTGTGGAAAGTTCAACGTCTGCAAACATTGCACCCTGCGTGCCAGTACCTCCAAAAGAGCAAGAGGACAAAGGTGAAAGATCATTTTTTGACTGTTTGACTAGTGTTTTGGAGGGGCAGCAAAATATTTAAACAGAAAACATCAGGCTACTTAAAAGTATTTTAATTTTAGTATTGTACTTAAGATATTTTGATGCTAGGACAAGAGAAAATTAACTAACTGAAAGAGAAATGTTTTTATATGATTTTTGCTGTTTCTTTCACAAAATCAGACGTGTTAGTGAATAGATTTTTTTTAAAAACTAGCTCACACATCCATGCTTTTTTCTGTTTTTTTTTTTTTTTTGGTTCCTTTCATCAGTATGAATAGTAGGTCAATCTTCTGTTTCATGATCTTTACTACAATACTTGAATCTATAGATTATGTTCAAAATTGCTAAGTGTGCTTGCAAAGGAGTTAAAGTATTTTTGTAATGTGTTTGTAAAAATTAGTGAAACTGATTTAATATAAGTTGATTTTTATGTATAATTTTCTCTAACCTGAAAATTGTTCCATGTAATATTTTACCCTTTAAATTCAAGTATAAAATTTTGGTTAATTTTATTGTGCACACTCTAGGTAACAGGTATGCTTTTTATTCCTAACATGAGGGTCTATTTTGTGATCAAAGCATGGTTGTTCAAGTACTTTATTTGTTTTTTAAATTCTTGTTATACATTGGCTGTGTATATATATACCTATTATATATGTAAATTAACATATCACAAATAAGCATTAGTAATGTCCAGAAACCATAAGAGGTACCATTATATATATACGGTGTTTTTCTTTTGAATTTTAGTCATACTTTTGTAGTATCTAGTCGAGTGATCCTAACAAATGGTCTAAGAACCATGAGCATTTAATTAAATGAAAAAGGCGATATTGTTAAACAAAAATCCATGTTGCAGTGTTGCAACCTAAATTGATGTTGCTATGTATAATGATATCAGCATTTATTCTTCTGATGTGTAGTACTTGGATTGATGTGTTGTAGCCTACTTGGAGGTGAATCTGAACTGTGAATCAGTACTGTTTAAGTTCTCCTATGTTTTGTTTGATGTATCTGTACTATAGTTCATGCTTTCAGTGATGTTTTTGGACACTTTCATTATGCTCTATTTCACTGCTAAATTATTTCTAACCATATTGTTGATACATTTTATCCTTTGGGCATTTTTTTTAACTTTACATAAGATTTAATTGTAATCAAAACTAACTGAAAACTGTTATTTCACCTTTGAATTGTAAATGATGTAAATTATTATTAAATGTAAATAAGTTGTATTATTGTGATATATTGAATTGTAGCTTCTTTCAAAAGAAATCTTCACCAAAATGTGTTCAGTAAAGAAAATAACTTTGATCAAATAAACCATTTGTTCTTTGTTGACTTTTTGTTCTGTGTAGATAAAGGGAATATCCTCTAAACGCTTTGAAACCCCTCTACCACCACTACATAAATAACTTAATCATATTTTTGGCCAATTTTAAACTAGCACATAAAAAACACAATAACTATTTATCAATAGTTTTTATTATTACATTTTTCAGTCTCATAATTTTAAAAAGAATTATATTAATTATAACTTGATATATTGCTAAATGAGCAACCTGCCTCAATAATTAATACAGACAAGGTCCACATTCCTTACTCTTGATGTCACACAATGTAAAGTTATCCCGGTACAAAATGGGGGTTAATCTTACTGAGGGACCAACTAAACATAGAGGGCTCATTTCCCACATTCAGTGTGTGCTAAACTTTAATAAAGCTATTTTTGTACCAGAAAATTAAAGTAAAAGCATCTTTACTCCTAGCCATTCAATTTTTTAATTCCTCTAGTAGACGTATCAATTCCTCTACTAATTCACGGCTTTCGACAGATTGCGAAAAACTATGAGCGGGTAGAGGCTCTAATTTTCTTTTCTTGATCGCCTTTTCATTGCCTGACGGGATATGCTGCTTTAGATGCGCTGCGTGTAATGTTTTGGTGGTGGTGCCTCTGCTGTAGAAAGCACTGGATTCGTTCGCTTCTAGCACGTGCGTGTTTTTCAGCGCTAAGAACTCGTTGTCCTTGACTTTGCGCATGTCTTGCTCTGTCGGGTATGTAGCCGAACCAGTTTTGTCAGACGTGCTGTTCGTCTGTGTGCCGAACAAAATTAAACTCCACCCCTGGAGGTTACTGAGTGGAACTCCTTCGTTTAATTCAGATCTGAAAACGGCATCACACACCAGTTATAGTTATAGCCTACCTTTCTGGAAACTATGGTAACTTATTCTATCCCTATCAAACAAATGTTGACCAGTCATGATCGGGTCCTACAGAAATCTAGACCCCCCTCTAAATCTTGCTATAAAGCCCGTCTTTACAACAACCCCCGACCCCCGCTCTAAAATGACCAAAACTAAAGAAATCAATGTTTCAATAAGTTTGTTATACTTGACACAAAATTTGTTTTGTTACATTTTCTTAACCCCGCCAAACATAGAGCCTCATCTCCTGAATTTTAAAATACTCGTATTCAAGTACAAACCTAGGTCGTGACTCGTGTTTTATCTCCCTTATTTCCAACCGCCAACGTCCTTGTGGCGCTTCATCCCAGTTGTGGACAGTCATGAAGGTGAACTCCCACTGACCACTGTAACGGTCATTCGGCCGTGGAGACAGGAGCCTGGACCTAGTGATACACAGACATGGTGTCTGTTAGCTGGAGAATATGGTCAACTTCTAGACACCATTACAAGCTCTGTCGTCTGCTTTGAATTGATAAAGCATCATTAAGGAGGTTTACTAAAACTAGTGTCTGATGTCTTCCTTATTATTTTAAACTTATACCGGTATATTGTTTGCGCAAATTTTAGATGTCTCGCGATGGCATCCACGAAAACAATATATCTTTAAAGTCTAATTTTACTCTAATTAAATATATGTCAGTGGTGTTCGTCTATTTGTTACTCTAACGTAATCTACACCGACCAAACCAACCAATACTTTGAGAGGCTAGGTACTGCTCCATACGGTACCTGGTTCCTGTGGGAGACGTGAGCGATATCTCAAGGTCGCCCCTCCGTCTGCTCGCCATTCGCACATAAACCTGGACATGTTCCACCGTGTCTACACAAGTTTCAGCAGGTTGACAGGTAGTGACCACAAGCTCGTCACTGAGTGTGCCATATGCCGGCAGCAGGCTGAAACAGTGGCTCTTTTCACTCAAAACAAACAAACAATGGAGATGAACTATACAGAAGAGGTCTATTTCAATGCATGAATTTTTAAAAGGCCTGCATTAATTACTGCATTACAGTTTGAATTAATCAACTATCAGGCTAATACAATAAGCTCCTTAAGCTATACATTACTGATGCATTTACATTCGTTTTATTAATTTAAGCGGGTTTTTTTTTCAATCGTTAGTTTGAAATTAATTGTAATCGTTGGATGAAAACTAATCAATCTATATCTGAACTTGGTGAAACTAGTGGTCATTAGAATGGTTTAAGATCAGAACTCTAATATTTTGTGTTTGTATGTTGCGTTCTCTAAGAACTAAACACTGCTATTTTGTGCTTGTATGTTGCCTCTTCTAAGAGCTAAACACTGATATTTTGTGCTTTTATGTTGTCTCTTTTAAGAACTAAACACTGATACTTTGTGCTTGTATGTTGCCTTGCCCAAGAGCGAAACTCATGTGCTTGTATGTTATGTTGTCTGAAAACAAAACTTACTGATATTTTGTACTGGTAATGTTGTACATTCGACGCTCCGGAACACGGGTCCATGACTGGGCCAACTGGACCATCCTACCACAGTCCATCAGCCCAAACCCAAAACTGTGACTGACGTGGTGACCCGCTCCATTGATTGTCCAGTTGCCGTCTGCTGAAGGGACCCGAGCAGCACGCACGACGATATGCTGGACATCTCGCCAAGTAAGGGTAGGACTGAGAAGTAAAGGTCTGGTTGTTTGATACACTAAGGTAGGACTGAGAAGTAAAGGTCTGGTTGTTTGATACACTAAGGTAGGACTGAGAAGTAAAGGTCTGGTTGTTTGATACACTAAGGTAGGACTGAGAAGTAAAGGTCTGGTTGTTTGATACACTAAGGTAGGACTGAGAAGTAAAGGTCTTGTTGTTTGATACACTAAGGTAGGACTGAGAAGTAAAGGTCTGGTTGTTTGATACACTAAGGTAGGACTGAGAAGTAAAGGTCTTGTTGTTTGATACACTAAGGTAGGACTGAGAAGTAAAGGTCTGGTTGTTTGATACACTAAGGTAGGACTGAGAAGTAAAGGTCTGGTTGTTTGATACACTAAGGTAGGACTGAGAAGTAAAGGTCTGGTTGTTTGATACACTAAGGTAGGACTGAGAAGTAAAGGTCTGGTTGTTTGATACACTAAGGTAGGACTGAGAAGTAAAGGTCTGGTTGTTTGATACACTAAGGGTAGGACTGAGAAGTAAAGGTCCTGTTGTTTGATACACTAAGGTAGGACTGAGAAGTAAAGGTCTGGTTGTTTGATACACTAAGGTAGGACTGAGAAGTAAAGGTCTGGTTGTTTGATCAGGTAGGACTGAGAAGTAAAGGTCTGGTTGTTTGATACACTAAGGTAGGACTGAGAAGTAAAGGTCTGGTTGTTTGATACACTAAGGTAGGACTGAGAAGTAAAGGTCCTGTTGTTTGATACACTAAGGTAGGACTGAGAAGTATGGTCTGGTTGTTTGATACACTAAGGTAGGACTGAGAAGTAAAGGTCTGGTTGTTTGATACACTAAGGTAGGACTGAGAAGTAAAGGTCTGGTTGTTTGATACACTAAGGGTAGGACTGAGAAGTAAAGGTCCTGTTGTTTGATACACTAAGGTAGGACTGAGAAGTAAAGGTCTGGTTGTTTGATACACTAAGGTAGGACTGAGAAGTAAAGGTCTGGTTGTTTGATACACTAAGGTAGGACTGAGAAGTAAAGGTCTGGTTGTTTGATACACTAAGGGTAGGACTGAGAAGTAAAGGTCCTGTTGTTTGATACACTAAGGTAGGACTGAGAAGTAAAGGTCTGGTTGTTTGATACACTAAGGTAGGACTGAGAAGTAAAGGTCTGGTTGTTTGATCAGGTAGGACTGAGAAGTAAAGGTCTGGTTGTTTGATACACTAAGGTAGGACTGAGAAGTAAAGGTCTGGTTGTTTGATACACTAAGGTAGGACTGAGAAGTAAAGGTCCTGTTGTTTGATACACTAAGGTAGGACTGAGAAGTATGGTCTGGTTGTTTGATACACTAAGGTAGGACTGAGAAGTAAAGGTCTGGTTGTTTGATACACTAAGGTAGGACTGAGAAGTAAAGGTCTGGTTGTTTGATACACTAAGGGTAGGACTGAGAAGTAAAGGTCCTGTTGTTTGATACACTAAGGTAGGACTGAGAAGTAAAGGTCTGGTTGTTTGATACACTAAGGTAGGACTGAGAAGTAAAGGTCTGGTTGTTTGATACACTAAGGTAGGACTGAGAAGTAAAGGTCTGGTTGTTTGATACACTAAGGTAGGACTGAGAAGTAAAGGTCTGGTTGTTTGATACACTAAGGTAGGACTGAGAAGTAAAGGTCTGGTTGTTTGATCAGGTAGGACTGAGAAGTAAAGGTCTGGTTGTTTGATACACTAAGGTAGGACTGAGAAGTAAAGGTCTGGTTGTTTGATACACTAAGGTAGGACTGAGAAATAAAGGTCTGATTGTTTGATACACTAAGGTAGGACTGAGAAGTAAAGGTCCTGTTGTTTGATACACTAAGGTAGGACTGAGAAGTATGATCTGGTTGTTTGATACACTAAGGTAGGACTGAGAAGTAAAGGTCTGGTTGTTTGATACACTAAGGTAGGACTGAGAAGTAAAGGTCTGGTTGTTTGATACACTAAGGGTAGGACTGAGAAGTAAAGGTCCTGTTGTTTGATACACTAAGGTAGGACTGAGAAGTAAAGGTCTGGTTGTTTGATACACTAAGGTAGGACTGAGAAGTAAAGGTCTGGTTGTTTGATACACTAAGGTAGGACTGAGAAGTAAAGGTCTGGTTGTTTGATACACTAAGGTAGGACTGAGAAGTAAAGGTCTTGTTGTTTGATACACTAAGGTAGGACTGAGAAGTAAAGGTCTGGTTGTTTGATACACTAAGGTAGGACTGAGAAGTAAAGGTCTGGTTGTTTGATACACTAAGGTAGGACTGAGAAGTAAAGGTCTTGTTGTTTGATACACTAAGGTAGGACTGAGAAGTAAAGGTCTAGTTGTTTGATACACTAAGGTAGGACTGAGAAGTAAAGGTCTGGTTGTTTGATACACTAAGGTAGGGCTGAGAAGTAAAGGTCTGGTTGTTTGATACACTAAGGTAGGACTGAGAAGTAAAGGTCTGGTTGTTTGATCAGGTAGAACTGAGAAGTAAAGGTCTGGTTGTTTGATATACTAAGGTAGGACTGAGAAGTAAAGGTCTGGTTGTTTGATACACTAAGGTAGGACTGAGAAGTAAAGGTCTGGTTGTTTGATACACTAAGGTAGGACTGAGAAGTAAAGGTCTGGTTGTTTGATCAGGTAGGACTGAGAAGTAAAGGTCTGGTTGTTTGATACACTAAGGTAGGACTGAGAAGTAAAGGTCTTGTTGTTTGATACACTAAGGTAGGACTGAGAAGTAAAGGTCTGGTTGTTTGATACACTAAGGTAGGACTGAGAAGTAAAGGTCTTGTTGTTTGATACACTAAGGTAGGACTGAGAAGTATGGTCTGGTTGTTTGATACACTAAGGTAGGACTGAGAAGTAAAGGTCTGGTTGTTTGATACACTAAGGTAGGACTGAGAAGTAAAGGTCTGGTTGTTTGATACACTAAGGTAGGACTGAGAAGTAAAGGTCTGGTTGTTTGATACACTAAGGGTAGGACTGAGAAGTAAAGGTCTGGTTGTTTGATACACTAAGGGTAGGACTGAGAAGTAAAGGTCTTGTTGTTTGATACACTAAGGTAGGACTGAGAAGTAAAGGTCTAGTTGTTTGATACACTTAGGTAGGACTGAGAAGTAAAGGTCTGGTTGTTTGATACACTAAGGTAGGACTGAGAAGTAAAGGTCTAGTTGTTTGATACACTAAGGTAGGACTGAGAAGTAAAGGTCTGGTTGTTTGATACACTAAGGTAGGACTGAGAAATAAAGGTCTGATTGTTTGATACACTAAGGTAGGACTGAGAAGTAAAGGTCTGGTTGTTTGATACACTAAGGTAGGACTGAGAAGTAAAGGTCTGGTTGTTTGATACACTAAGGTAGGACTGAGAAGTAAAGGTCTTGTTGTTTGATACACTAAGGTAGGACTGAGAAGTAAAGGTCTAGTTGTTTGATACACTAAGGTAGGACTGAGAAGTAAAGGTCTGGTTGTTTGATACACTAAGGTAGGGCTGAGAAGTAAAGGTCTGGTTGTTTGATACACTAAGGTAGGACTGAGAAGTAAAGGTCTGGTTGTTTGATCAGGTAGAACTGAGAAGTAAAGGTCTGGTTGTTTGATATACTAAGGTAGGACTGAGAAGTAAAGGTCTGGTTGTTTGATACACTAAGGTAGGACTGAGAAGTAAAGGTCTGGTTGTTTGATACACTAAGGTAGGACTGAGAAGTAAAGGTCTGGTTGTTTGATCAGGTAGGACTGAGAAGTAAAGGTCTGGTTGTTTGATACACTAAGGTAGGACTGAGAAGTAAAGGTCTTGTTGTTTGATACACTAAGGTAGGACTGAGAAGTAAAGGTCTGGTTGTTTGATACACTAAGGTAGGACTGAGAAGTAAAGGTCTTGTTGTTTGATACACTAAGGTAGGACTGAGAAGTATGGTCTGGTTGTTTGATACACTAAGGTAGGACTGAGAAGTAAAGGTCTGGTTGTTTGATACACTAAGGTAGGACTGAGAAGTAAAGGTCTGGTTGTTTGATACACTAAGGTAGGACTGAGAAGTAAAGGTCTGGTTGTTTGATACACTAAGGGTAGGACTGAGAAGTAAAGGTCTGGTTGTTTGATACACTAAGGGTAGGACTGAGAAGTAAAGGTCTTGTTGTTTGATACACTAAGGTAGGACTGAGAAGTAAAGGTCTAGTTGTTTGATACACTAAGGTAGGACTGAGAAGTAAAGGTCTGGTTGTTTGATACACTAAGGTAGGACTGAGAAGTAAAGGTCTAGTTGTTTGATACACTAAGGTAGGACTGAGAAGTAAAGGTCTGGTTGTTTGATACACTAAGGTAGGACTGAGAAATAAAGGTCTGATTGTTTGATACACTAAGGTAGGACTGAGAAGTAAAGGTCTGGTTGTTTGATACACTAAGGTAGGACTGAGAAGTAAAGGTCTGGTTGTTTGATACACTAAGGTAGGACTGAGAAGTAAAGGTCTGGTTGTTTGATACACTGAGGTAGGACTGAGAAGTAAAGGTCTGGTTGTTTGATACACTAAGGTAGGACTGAGAAGTAAAGGTCTTGTTTGATACACTAAGGTAGGACTGAGAAATAAAGGTCTGATTGTTTGATACACTAAGGTAGGACTGAGAAGTAAAGGTCTGGTTGTTTGATACACTAAGGTAGGACTGAGAAGTAAAGGTCTAGTTGTTTGATACACTAAGGTAGGACTGAGAAGTAAAGGTCTGGTTGTTTGATACACTAAGGTAGAACTGAGAAGTAAAGGTCTTGTTGTTTGATACACTAAGCAGCACGTAGTTTTAGAAACTTATTCTAGGCCAATACACGTTATAGTCACTATAGGGAAAATTCAGTGAATTGAAGTGCGTAGTAAAACTTGAGTAGATCTAGTCAGATTAGGATTCCGTAACATTACAGATGCAGTAATACTTTGATTGAACTGTAAGCATCATCTCGTGAATATGTAGTCAATGAGATGTACTATTATTCGTTAAAAGTTATGAGCAGTTTACTTTGCCTGTAAGATATTGGCAATACAGCCAGCCGCTAAAGGGGCAGCACCAGAAGTTCCTTGAAATAGTTCATTACATCCGCCGTTCAAATCTGTTGTGATCTACCGAGCAGAAGAGAAGGGCGATAAAGAATTTATTTTGAAATCACAAGCAATCTTCTAGCAATTAGAAACATAGACTATTTAGAAAATCGAAAGTTAGGAAGGAATATTTTATATATTTGAAAACAAACTTAATATTTAAAATTCTGTTGTGTGATAGGGTCCCGCTATTCTGTGGACCCCTAGGCAAAAGTACTGACTATATTATTTTTCACATGGCTGTCTCCCTGACTGGGGTAGTCTCCCCCTCCAGTAGGAACCACGGCCAGAATAGCAGCACATCTCTCCATGTAGTAGGGTCTTCTCCCCCAGCCGTCGACCGACCCAACTGTCAGAGTTTCTGGCCTCGACACGTAGCCATCAGCGCCACAGTCGTCTGCCAGCTCGCCGCCGTTGCCAGCCGCCCACACAAAAATAGAACCCCGCCCACCCCGACCCTGTGGCAAAGAAAAAACATTCAAATGATAAAAAGCATCTTCTACATCCAGTTCTTTCTGTGCCTTGTGTTGTGTTCTGTTTTTTAAACCTATATATTTTGACAGTGTATAAACCAAGACAAATAAGATCAACTGTGGTCGACCCCTCCCTAATAAAATATTCGCTGAAACTTAAAATCAAGCGTATAAAAACTCACATTCAATACTCCATCAGCAAGAGCTTCCAGGACGAGATGTCTCGGCCCTTCCATAGTTGCCCCATCGTCACTCGGCCCCCAGGAGGCGCTATAAATGTCTATATAATTCTTATTGAAACTCAGTGCCTCGGCTTCTAGGGCGTCCGTGATGATACCGTCAAGAACGCGAACACCTAAACCACGGGGAAACAACTCTAGAACTTGAAATAGTTATACAGGAAGAAAAGGTTGTTTATTCAAGGAAAGTTATGGTTAGCGAAGATTTTCCCCAAATGTTTTATCCTACCACCAATCCTGGCATCATAGGCGACGCCAACACCACACACACCATTGTTAGCTGCAGCGGCCACTTCGCCAGCACACCTTGTTCCGTGGCTGTGGAGAGGGGAAACATTTTTTGGCAAATTTTATCGAATCATTTTTGGCAACTTTAATGGAAACATTTTTAGGCAACGTTTATGGAAACATTTTTGGCAACTTTAATGGAGACATTTTTTTGTTCTAACTGCAACATTTTTTGGCTACGCTAACGGTTATTGGTAGGAAAACTGCTATATGTTGTCGTTCTAAACCCCCCCCCCCCCCACCTCCTCTCCCCGCCCCTCATTAATCCCCCCCCCCCACTCGTGACCTGAATCTTTACAGATCAACTGTTTTAGTGTTTGGTACAGGTTTAAGAACATTAAAAATGGGTAAATCAATCAAGCATATTATCGATATTTGTAAATATATGTAGGCCTATATTTATGTCGAAACGTTTTTTTCGGGCGTAGATCTAGATCTATTTACCTGTTCTGTGTGTTTTCGGGCGTAGATCTAGATTCTCTAGATCTATTTACCTGTTCTGCGTGTTTGAGAAATCTGGCATCGGGTCATTCCGTGAATCTGTCAGGTCATTCAAATCTGTGCTGGCGTTAGAATCCTGTAATCAGTCAATCAGAATTGCCATTTATGCATACATTTTAATATTTTTACCAAATACCATCAATCCTTTTTATTTAGTTAATTTTAACAAAGCAAAAAGAATGCATCAATAGGAAAAAATAAAATTAAATATAGCATTGGACAATAAAAACTAGGATAGTAAATAAAGAACAACTCGATCTTTTTTTTCATCTCCATTAAATGTGTAAATAACCACAAAGTATATTAAACATTTTATAAAATCTAAATAAACTATTTTCAGCGCGTGCGATACTTTAAATTATTTTAAATTTTTAAAAGGTTATTAACATCTTTAAAAGGCCGATGCCAAAATAGGGACTGACGTAAACTTGTTAAATCGATGGGTTTCTTATAACATATGTTGTTACTCACGTAGTTGTTAGTCAGGTCAGGGTGGGTGTGATCAATACCGTCGTCCAGTATACAAACAACCACGCCCTTCCCAGTATAACCATTTTGCCAAACCACGCCCACATTCAAATCCAGACCTATATCACCCCCGCCCTGTCCTTCGTTAACCTGTAGAGGAATTGATTGCACGTTTAATCAACATAGAGAGATGTAAAGAAAAAATAATAATTAAAAGTAAAGCTACCCTTTCTGTCCCGATGGGTGATAGGATGAAGGGATAGTGTCACATAGTGTGGTCAGGACTATGCCCAGACGACTTCACTTATCATAACGTGAGTCAGGTACCCATCAGATCTAGACGGACACGTAATTTTGACTCGTGAGCTGCACTGTATTTGTATACGTTTATATGTCATCTTTAAATAAATGTGCCCCCAATTTGTAATCATTTTAGGGGTCGGCGTGGTCGAGTCGGTTTAGCTCATGGTTGCTCTTCCAGGAGAGACAACTCCATAATCAAACAACTGCTGCCTTGTAGTTCGTTCTTGGTTGACAAAGGCTATGGAAGCAAATCCAAAGAGAAAAGCAGGCTGAAATCGGAGTCAGTGGCCTCAATGGCGCACAACAAGTTGACACGTATACTTAATTGGGTTGGAGGGGATCCCTTCCAACACTAGGTAAGAACGAAGAAGAAGAAGTAATCGTTTGTCTAGATCTGTTTAGCCAAAAGTTCTACGGGTTGTTTCCCTTGCTTCATCAATAAGTGTTTGCTATAGACGCGGGTCATTCAGTGCTATCTGAAGACAGATGATACTCTATCACCATCAGTGAGATCGAAATCTGGAAAGTTATCTAGGTCAAGGGCCATCAGTTTACATTGAAATGTAAGAAATTTCAAGTCCACCGAAAGAATGTTAGCTATAAAGCCGAATAAATGGCCAGGAAAAATTGTATTTTTTACACTTAAAATCACACTATTTGCCTATACAGTATACACCCAGCACTTCACTTTTCAACTTATTTATCAAGATATAATTAATTTGGCATCAAGATCAATAGGGCAGTAACATACCAGGTACCACATGTTCTTAAATTTGGGATCAGAAAAATTGAATTTATTCCCGTTAAATGCTTGGCCAGACGAGTTGACGTCACGTAACGCTTCATCACCTCTGCTGAGAACGTTTCTTTTGTGACGACTGAGGGGAATCATCTGTTGCACGTGCTTGACCTGTGGCAGTGACGTGGATATTGTTATGATAACGTTTATACAAATCCTATGAGGTGTGTAGGCATGGCTTATCGAAGAATAGGCAACACGTCAAACTATGTTTCACTAAATTTTGCGAGAGAACATGCATAGTTTAAAGGTTTTTATTTAGCTTGCTCAGTATGTGTGTGGATCCGCAAATATTGGAATCTTAATTTAACACCCCCCCCCCCCCCCCCCGCCAGAGTCCTGAAATTCGGCACAATGGTAGATTTTGGACGACAATGCAAGAATATCGAAATTTTAATCGAATTAGTTAGACATGAAGTCATTCAAATTAAATTTAAAAATCACCATATTCTATAAGAAAGGGGAAGGTGACAAAATAACAAAACAAATATAAAAACCTTTATAAATGCACTGAAAATAAGAAAATAACTCTAATTTGCTTTGTTTAATGTAAGCTTTAGTCGCTCATGAAGATCTCTTACATATTTTAGCGATATAGCTAAGTTGATTTACTTTCTTATTTTAAACCAGTCGTAACCAAACAACATTCCTCGTAAACCACAGCTCAGCTCATAGGGTGATCACTTCTATGTAGTTATCTCCCTTTCCGTTTTGATGATAACAATTTATCAGTGATAGCTAGCATTTATTCTTGTTGTCTCCCCTTAAATTAATTGAGCTCCGAGGCTTTAGTCATACCAGCATAATAATAGCTTTAGTAAGGTTACACCAAATTTATGTTTTACTTTTTACTGCATTTTTCATTTGTGATTTTCATTGTGATTTGTGAATATGATAAAAGCCTTTTTCCCTAATTTCTTTTATTGTGAGATTTATTAATGCGTACTCACCCGTGTATCGCCCCTTAGATTTTGTAACTGGGATGACGCGCTTCGTTTGGATCTACTCGGTACATTGTCATGTTCAAGGATAAACACTTTGGTATTAGGGAGCTGTAAAAAATATTGTACAGTTGTTTTCAGAGAGAAACACTTTTGTTAAATTAAATGTCAAATCGCAAATAATGTAAAACTTTTAATTGTTGGAATTATAATTTTCATTTTTTAAAACCCCGGTCTAAATGTGAAAAGACTTTAAAATATATTGAGATTCCTTAATTATTTGAAACCATCTGTGTTTAGAATAGACAATTACCTGCTTTTCATTTATAAATAGAGTATTAATTGTATAAGATTAAGAACACAAACTCCTGCCCTCTTTCGGTAGATCCATACTTAAGTACTAACATTACCTCCCCTCTAACATAGAATACCTAATAAATTACTAAATTACCTCCCCTCTAAGAGTGAATCCATACTGACTGGCCAAGAGAAGGGCGACGTCATGCCCTCCTGTTCTCAGCTGAACGGCGAACTGGTTCAGGTACAAAGCTCTGGAACCAGGCGACAGGCTGCTGTCTGGAAGCTCCCAGGGTGATGCTGGAAGGCTGATCACAGTTAACAGAAGTAGGACGACAGGGCGGTAACTGACTGGAGCTTTCAGCATTGTCTTGGTTCCAAGCCTAGACAATCAATTTAATTTTCAAGAGCGACAATTCCGTTACATTTCGCCGCTCAACTTTCATGTTTAGGCCCAGCGCACTAGGTGTATTGTTTAAAATTAAGCGCACTTACTTTGATGCTCTGTTGTGTGCCGCAATAAATAAGTTTTAAAAGGGAAAACTAGGATTTTATAAACTTAAAAAGATCGGCGACTGTTGAATGAAAAACGAAATATTTAATTTGTTTTGAAACAAACATGGCTTTAACAGTAAGCCTACGTCTGATGTCACCCAATTACAATTTCTTGTTATTTTGACCAACAGGTCGCGTTTTGCCCGGGCTATAGCCTATATCTTCAATCTGCTGTCATCTAAAGTTCAAATCCTCACTGTGAATGTTGGCTCAAGCGAAGGTAAGGTTAAACTGAGCTAACCAGACTAATACCAATACATAATTTATGACCCTACTTAATGATAGTAGACTTTTTTTTAGTGTCCTTAAATAGGTAGGTGTTGGTCTCAACGCGACGTCATATTAATTCCATTTGACAATACAAACTATCCCGAGAACAAATCACATACAACACCACACTTTCACACATTGACACACCACTTTGATCCACGACTGCCTGTCGTCAGGCCATTAGATCGCTCCTAGGAAACACCCCAAGCTGGGCTGTGAGAAGGTGTGTAGCGTACCCGGTACCTTTTACCTGTGTACACAGAGAAACATTGATAAGGAGCGCTGGTTGGTTTAATCTTCAGCTGAAATAATACCTTGGTTTCATGAGCGTGAAACTCGTAGCTTCAGTCAGTCAAGAGCCACATAGGATGACCAAAGACTTATATCATTATATTGTCATTGTTCCACAATACCAAGTAAAACATATGAAGTTAAAACAAAACTGGTTGATCTTATTTCCTCTGATTTTTTTTAGGTTTAATGACCTTTTGAATAGCAGCAAGTTATTGGTGCTTCAGATATCAGGTAGTGATTTGCAGCAGTTAGATTTCCCCCCGTCAATTACCCCCTGGACATTCCCCCCCCCCCCCCCCGGTTTTAGACTAAGGGGTCGTCCATAAATAACGTCACACTCGTAGGGGGAAGGGGGTCTGTAATTTTGTGACGGTGTATGATGAGGGGGAGGGGGTTAAGATGGTGTGACGTCACTTTTTTGCATTATAAAAAATCAATGTTAGAAAACGAGTTTTAGCTGTTATTTCGCGTTTTAGAAAACGGTTTTAATAAATTATAATAGGAATTGATCAAAATACTCTATGTTGACAGAGTTCTGACAAGATTTTGGAAAAATATTGATGTTTTAAGAAACATTCCACAGCAGTTTTGAGGGGGGGGGGGGGGGGGGTGGTAGTCTGAGGTGTGAGATCAATTTAAAGGGGGGGGGTCTGGCTTTTTGTGACGACGTGTGGCGAAGGGGAGGGGGGAGGTAAAATTCGTCCAAAAAAGCGTGACGTCATTTATGGATGACCCCTAAGGTGGATGCTTAGGTTTTGGTCTTTTTCTTAAGGTTAGGATTAAAGTAGTATAAAGGTATAGATTTCTTGTTAGAGTTAGGATTCTAACTTGAGAATTGGGGTAATTGCTCCGGGGGGGGGGGGGGGGTAATGACCTGTAGCCCAGGTAGTGATGTGCAGCAGTTAATTACGTGGTGGGCTATAGTTCAGTAATGTGCAAGGCCATATGTCAGTAGTTAGTTACATGTGTGCCATATGTCAGCAATGGTCATTAGTTAATTATGTGGAGTGCCGTATGTGTGTAATGTGCAGCAGGTCCAGTGTTGACCATTCTTGTGAGATTGCCGTTTGTATAAAACTACCCCTCTCCCAACAATTTATAACGTGCAAGTTTTTTCTCCCTACTTCTCTAGGCCAACAACTGTGGTGTACAGCAACTCAGAGCTCGTTATTCAGTTCAAGTAACCATCTATCAAAATGTCTGTTCAAGTAAGTCTTTCAAAATAGTCTCATTTTAAAAAAAAATTTACACAGCTATTGAGTCGGTGGAGAGAATAAATAGACATACTTTGTATTGTCTATATTTAATTTTACACAGAAAAAAAAATTCTGTGATTTTAAATATTGATGATATAATTTATTTTTGTAGTTATTAAACAAATGTCAGTTGTATTATTTGATACTTATATTAATTGAAATAAATATTGAATATTGTATATGTTGGCGTGTCCACCCATAGTGACCCCTATTGGGTGCACAAACCATAGTTGAGGACCTGTGATCAAGTGAGTTAAAATATTGAGAAAAAAAAGGAACAACATACAGTCAACTTTTTGGTCATTTTGTTTTAATCTAGAGATGCTAAACATTATTGAAACATCTTAATCACATATTTTGATTGCCAAATGAATGTATTATAAATGTATAAAACAAAACGGCAGTTAACAATGCTTGCTTATCTGTTGGAAATTTTGTAAAACCACAGAGCTCCAACCTTACATGAATACAACAAAACAGCTTTGAGGGGAGGGGGGAAGAACAATTTAACAATCTAAGTTCTGCATTAACAAAAAAACTACACAAGCCACTTTAGACAAAACAAAAATAACCTGAGTATAAACACTTTCTGTTTATATTATCGATGCAAACTTAAGTGTGGAGTTTAGCCTGTTGCAAACTAATACAAACATTTTTATCTTGAAAAACAGACTAAAAATCAATACTTCATTTAACTGGCCTATTCATTTACTGTTTAAGAAAATCTGTCATTCTTAAGGATGAATGTGTGCCAATCAATAAATAGATATTTACTTATTAAAATCTCTGCTAATAGTTTAAATATATTAAAATGTTAACAGCTATTAAAGGCAGTGTTGTGGTGGTCTACAGAGCTAACTTCTCTCTCAAAACATTTTCCAGTTTATTAGCATCTGCTGCAAATTTACGGATACCATCACTAAGCTTGTCGGTGGCCATCTGATCTTCATTCATCTGCCATCTAAACACGGGCTCAGTAACAGTCACCTTGGAGATATCTTGTGCCTTGGCTGTAAAACATTTCATCACTTTTACTCAAGCATTGGAATTTCATTTTCACAACTTTTGCATTATTCAAATACTATGCACTAATTAACATTAAAAATAAAACAACAACTTGAACAAATCATTACTAAAAACTCATGACATTATTTGAAGTGATATTACCTTTCTCCTCGTCAAGGTGTTTATCAACCACTTCTGTAGACTGTGACAACTTGTCGAGTAGAGCAGGCCTAAACACAAAAAAAGTTACCACTTGAAATAGAGAGATCAATCAGTGATGATACAATATTTGAAGTCATTAAAATATGATAATCTTGTCAAACTCTACAAGCTACTCACGAAATGGTCAGAAGATCACATCCAGCTAGTCCCATAATTTCTCCAGTGTTGCGGAAGGAAGCCCCCATTACAACAGTTTTTAGGCCAAATTTCTTATAATAGTTGTAAATCTTCGTAACACTCTTGACACCTACAATTATTTTAATAATTTATTTCTCTCATCTTGACTGACACAATAACTATATGTAAACAATAATTTAAAATGAAGCTTACCAGGATCTTCAAGTGGTTCAAATGTTTTTTTGTCTGTGTTGCTAACAAACCAGTCTAGGATCCTCCCAACAAATGGAGATATCAGAGTAGCTCCAGCATCAGCACATGCCACAGCCTGATGGAGACATCAAATATTGTTTCCGTGATTTGGAATTTAAAATAGCCTTAAATTACTTATGTAGTTCACATACAGTGATGAAGTTTAACTTCAGTTTCAGATAAATTCAAAGGGAAAACACACAGACAAATTTGTAATAACCTGATAAAAATTAAAGATAAGGGTCATGTTACAGTGGATGCCAAATTGAGATTCCAAAATTCTGAAAAAAATAAATAAATTTGTTGCACTTATTTTGAAAAATATTTAAATAAACAAACACACCTATTGGTTTAAAAAAATCACCAGCTTTAAAAACAAGGCCTCTATGAAAATAATTACCGTGCAGCTTGCACACCTTCCCAAGTGGATGCCAGTTTGATGAGAATTCTTTCCTTGCCAATACCAGCTTCTTCATAAAGCTTGATCAGCTTCTGGGCTTTTTCAACCATGGCCTCTGTGTCAAACGACAGTCTGCAAATGGTTTCAAATTGTATACCTATAACCACAAGTAACAACAAACACTTTTGTATTTAACAAATAGCAGAATTTTACTATACTTATGTTTCCACAACTATCAAAATTAGTATTGATTTTACTCTAATAAGTAACTGAACAGACTAAACAATGTTGGACTCACCTTGCATCCACCTCAGTTGAAACACGACCTGGAATAATCTTCAAAATCTCCACACCAAAGTTGACACAAACTTTATCCATGGCATTAATTAGTTGTTGAGGTTCTTTACTAAAATAAATATAAGAAAACTAGACAGTCAATACATACACAACCCTCACTCCACTAACATGGTTAAATTTTTTAGTTGATTTGTTTAAATTAAACACAACTGCTTCTAATAATGTGATGTATAAGACAAAAAAGCACTAAAATCCTCATACCCTCCTTGTGATTTGGCATAAGCTACAGCATCTTCAATTAGTTTCTGATAAGCTGGCATATTAGCTGCAGCAAAAATTAAGGATGGATTTGTAGTTGCATCAGTGGGTTTAAATTTTTCCATTGCTGAAAGAAAAAAATTTAAGTTGAACAATAAGTGTTTTTTAATTAGTTCCTCAAATAATATATATAAATTATCAATGTATATTGAGTGTAGCTGATCAAAAGCTATTTTATATTTAAACTCTCTACATGAAATGACCAATGGGCACCAGTGAGTTGACGAAAATCCTTCCGTAATGTTGTTGACATGGAATACAAATGTGCTTTTTTAGATTTAGGACCATACAAATAATAAAAGATAAAATTTTATTAAAAACTTAAGCCTAAAATTAATTCAGAAATTTAATATTTTTAGAATCAATGCTATACAAGTTGCAGATCCAGAGAACTTGAAAATAATTTGTAGAGTTTAAGGCTACATTTCTATTTATTTTCATCAATCCTAAGTTATAAACCGATGTTTCACTTTCGTAAGACAAACATTGATTGGCTGTACTCCGTGATCGATTTCTGACAGCCCCACTTTATAGTTGTTTTGTTTACAAAACTTTGCAGATCAAGTTTTTAAATAACAATGCAAATGTAAACACCATGACCTAGTTTTTCTATTTTTAGCTTACAATGTGTACATTAAAATTTATGGCGGCCTATTGAATAGCAGGATGCCATTGTTTATGTCGCCATTACACGTGAAAACCAAATTGTTTTTGCTTTTTAAAAATTTTTTATTTAGTTACCGAAAATATTAAAAACATCAAATACATCCAATCTGAATCTTTAGTAAAGTCCGAAAAAAAACAGACAGACGGGATTTTATAACCATATTAATTGTAAATACACCGTGCAAGATTTTTAAATTAATTTAGGGACCTCTCAAATACCTTTGAGACTTTTCTACTTTTCTCGCTGGTGTCCATTGAACATTTGCCTTGCCCACCTTTTCAAAATATTGCTACTGGTGGTGTACAAATATAGTTGGAAAAAAACAACTTTGGCCAAATTAAATAATATTATGATAATGATCAAATGAATGAATGACTTCAAAAGATTAAGGTTTAAATTTTAAGTTAACACAAAAACAAACAAACAAAACAACTAAAACAACAAACCTTCAAAATCTCCTGTGTCTGCTACAACAGTGGTAATGTCTTTCAGCTGATCAAGAGATGATCGAGATAATTTTTTTGATTCCGACATTATTTGTTGTTAAAATCTAAATGTTCTGAAATATTAATAAATGATATATGTAGATCTACTCTCTAGATTCCTAGAATCTACTACAGGAGATAATTGAAATTATTAATATTATTTCCTATTGCCGGTTTCTAGCAAGAAAGTAAGGACAACTCTTTTGTGAACTTTCAATCCTAACAAATGACACAGCAGTAAAATAACGAATCAGAATTAACTTAGGTTGCGCTACTTGTCGAGTCATGCCGATCAAATATTTAAAGACAATATATTATAGGCCTATAGATTCTTCTAGCAATATTACAGCCAGAGCCGGCGTTAGGAATACGCGGGGCCTAGGGCCAACCATCCGCGCGGGGCCTTTCCATTATATATATATATATATATATATATATATATATATATATATATATATATATATATATATATATATATATATATATATATATATATATATATAGGCCTATATATATAGGCCTATATATATAGGCCTATATATATATATATATATATATATATATATATATATATATATATATATATATATATCCTAATCCTAATATATAAAAGGCCATGTGCGCTCTTCTCTCTCTCTGTCCGCAAAATATTTCGCCGGACATCACGTCAGAATCGGCAGCGATATATGGATACCTTTATACGGACTTTTGTTGAAAATAAAATGTTAGATGTTTTAAATGTATAACCACAATTTTATTTAAAAAAATAAAAATAAAAAATAAAGGCGTATTCGAATGTAGAAAAACAATTTTAATTATGCAACCGGAAAAGTGTTTAAACTTGGGACAAGAACGCATTTAACAATGACGTCGCTTATTGTTTTCACTAAAAAAAAGACCACGAAACTGATGACGTCATCTTCCGAGTTTAGAATAAAAAGAAATGAACTATTTCATTCAAATATGATTTAGAGCTATGTACGCTATGAAATGTATACAATACGATTTTCTCGGCCTAAACTTAAAAAAAAATTTTTTTTATCTATTTGGATTCTAGATCTAGAGATGTAGACCCTAACTAGATCTAGAATCTATTCAAATAATACATTTCTATACTAAAGTATTTCAGGCCTTAATTACTTTATTAAAATCTTTGTTTATCTATGCAATTTGCTAATCTCTATAATATATAAAGCTAAGTTGTCGGTTGCCCGATAGGGCACTTCCCGGCGCCGCAGGCGCTTCAAATTTGGTAGGATCTTGCCTTGGAGCGACAGAACACCGGGGCCGGTTGGCCGAAAAGTCTACGATGAGGGGGTCTAAACTGACCTCGACTGACCGGCGCCTTATATGGGCGAATTAATTAAGCATTCAAATTCTCAATGTTTTCGAAAGCCTAAGCGAAGCTGGGCAGCATGCCTAGTGTATGTATATTATGTACACATAATAACACAAATGTTTTGGAGTTCATAAGCAAATGTCAAACTTTCCACTATAATAACAGATTTTTATCTCTCCCATGTATTAACCCAATGTTCGTAGTTTTTTTTCCTTTGCTAAGATATTAAATCACTTTTAACAATTATGTAATTCATACCAAATCACTTAAGGGGATATGCTATGTTTTTTTCTATTTTTTACAGTTTACTATCTAAAGCCTTTTGAATACTTTTATCATATTTGGCATATAAAAGTAAGTATTAAACAGCAAAAAAAAGGGTCGAAAACAATTTTGGTTGTCATGGAAACCCAAAAAACCTCCGCCATTTTGAATTTTTCGGTACTTTTAAAAATACTAAGGCTTTTTTATTTATGCACCTATAGCAATCAAATTTAAACTGCTTATATTTCAGTATATATTAAAACTTTTGTCACGACAACTTTTTGAAAAAATTACTAGTAAGAATTTTACAAGGTCTAAAAAATCGTACCCTTTTTAGTATTCAAAAGTTTCAAAATGTGCATATTAATTACCAAATACTTTTTTTCTATGAAAGCAATCACAATTCCCTCGTGACAAAAGTTGTATTTTCGCATCAAGAACATTTACTGAAAATATGGTTGGCATTGTTTAATAAATAAAAAAGTAGTAGGCTTTTTAGTGTTAAAAACCGGCGAACTGAGAAAAACAGCAAAAAGTAACGAAAACTAGGTCAGGAAAGTACCATATCTGTGTAAACTGCAAAGCCGATTGTAAGCTTTGGGTGTTTCCGAGATGATTGAAATTAGGTTTATTAGATACATGAGAAATCCAGCTTTCCAATGATGTCAAATACAATATAATGACGGATAAAAAACTTTTCATAGAGCGCTTGTAAGATTGGGAAAATTTTATTATTTTTTAATTAATAGGGTCATAAAAATCGTAATTCAAACACATAAAATATTTTTTCTCTTTAAAGTTATAATTTTCTTTATACAAAAATGGACAAAGTATCCAAAAGTGCAAGAAACCCATCATGACGAAAAACAAGAAATTTTGTGATTTTTTTCCGCGCATATCCCCTTAAGAAAATTTAATCACGTGCCGAATAATTAGGAAAATAAAGTTTACAATACAGCGAACTCGACCTGATGTATCGAAACAGTATAGACTTCAAAATTTGTTTAGAATTCATACAATATTTTAAAACCAAAATCATTATTGTCTTAATTATTGAACGGGTGAATCCTTAAGGTGACACAACATAACAACAGTTTTAACTTTCTTCCAAAAAATAATAATAAATCACTCTGTTTAATGCCGCCTGATATAGATCCTAAGCCCCCCCCCCCTCCTCGTCGCCCTCCTCCCACTCCTCTGCACGCAACTAAATGTTAATTTTGTTATACCAAGACAAGTGTCCCCCCCCCCCCCGAAGAAAGTCTCCCCCCCCCCCCCCCCCGAAAATTTCAAGTGCCCCTCCCCCCCCCCCCCCCCCGGAGAAAAAAGTCTAGAAGAAACACTGTACATATACGACATTATACGACATCTACAACAAGAAAGTCAGGACTAGAGTTTATCAGGTCACTAACTGTCTACTATAGACATCCCGTCTGCTCACTAAAAGGACGTCTTCATCGGTCCGCTTACAATAGGGTATCTCTTTACGTCGTGGGCTAATTCTCAACCGCCATCTCCAGTCAGCTCAGGTCAAATGCCAGGCGACCGTACCCTACACAAAGGGTAGGTGTGACACTATTTTTGTATCGAATTACGGCCTGTCCCAGTTCAGGTGGGACTCACCAACATCAACTGTGGCCTCAGTTATAACAATCAACAACGTCGGCATTCGACCATTTAGTTTTTCCCAATTGAATTCAGAAACAATTTTTTTAAGTTTACAAACTGATTCAGATAACAATGACATTGCTGAAGCGCGGGGCCCCTTCAAGCGCGGGGCCTATGGCGACCGCCCCGTTCGCCACCCCCTAACGCCGGCTCTGATTACAGCTGGTGTTAAGTTCTCTGTATTGTACTAATTGTAGGCTAAACTAATCTCTAAAAATGTGCTACACTAGAATCTAGATAGTTGGCAGGTTTTTTTTTTAAAGAAAAGAAATATTTTGTGCTTTGAAATATACAACGCAAATATTTTAAATAAAATAAATATAAAAACCTTTATAATTTAATAACAAGCTTTTAAATTTTAAATGTACTGAAAATAAGAAAATAAAACTAATCTGCTTTCTCTAATGAAAGCTTTAGTCGCTCATGAGAAATTTTACATATTTCAGCAACCAAAGCTTTTATGAAAGAAAGCAAATTAGTTTTATTTTCTTATTTTCTCTGCATTTAAAAAGCTTGTTGCTATAAACTATAAAGGTTCTTTTTTTTTCTACTTTTTTAGTGTTTCCTGATTTTATAAGACGACACGACTAAAATATTTGCTTAAAACAAATCACCAGAAGCTCGATAAACCTGAAAGACACGATTATCAGACAACAGCAAGCTGATAAAGCAAATGATAGTTCTTAATCTTGCTACCTCCCTTTATTTTCAAATTATTTAAATAAGCTTTTAAATCTGCCCCTAATAGCTTTCACTAGATCAACCGGCTCTACTATTGTTAACAATTTTTAACATCCTCATGAACAACAGCTCATAAGACTGTTGGGGTTATCGCGTCTAGCTAGTTACCTCCCCTTCTGTTATTGAATATAATATCTATAGAGTAATATAATTTTGTTATCCCCCTTTAGTTTCAAACCCGTTTAATTTATTTTTAAGGACTATTTAAACATCTAATTATATTAAATAACAGATAGACTTCTATTGTCATCGAAGTGGAACTTTTCTAGAAAGTTTGAACGAAATCGCTGCATTAGAAGTGGGTCAAAATTGAGTTACAAAATTTGCCAATCCACAAACAGACGTTGCGAAAGCTTATAAAAATAATAATAATATAGACTCAACTCTATGCTCTATACTTCTAGTCTATATGCCTAACAGTAAGTTAACAGGCTGTCCTCCTGATTCTGCGCAAAAGCCTAAATAGTATGCATTGCCAAATTGACACTGTCTGTAATAGCACGATTCAAGTCAATGTTTTATAATTTATTCTTTAGGTCAACATATATCTATATTTAACGAGAGCCAACTAATAAATATAAGTTAATACATTGTTGACAAAACTTTTTTTTTAAAAATAGTCAACAAAAATATGAAACTAGTTCCCCAACACATAGATCTACATTTATTAAAAAGAAATGATTCTTCATCTAATTACTTAATACTTATTTTATGTATCCTAGATTATGTGTGTTTTACTATAGCTTTATTCACACCACTTTTACATGGTGACTTTGTCATTACATTTCGTTGAGAAAGAATCTTGACTAGATCTAGATCTAGATCTAGATCTAGAAGTAGTGACTAGGTGCTAGATCTATATTTTTGACACTTTTTGTGTGAAGTTTTATGCTGTCTTGATCTGGCACAGCTGACCCAAAGACCCAGTGATTTCCTAGTCTAGTTGTTGACGTTGGATCTCATACTTACCTTCGGCATTCAGATGAGGTATTAAAGATTATAGAATCTAGATTCTACATACTTTTAGTAACTTAAAAAAAAAATGTAGGCCTAGATCTAGTCCAGATCTGAGAACTCTAACCTAAGATTTAAAATTGTATAGTATAGGTTAGCCTGAAAAATTAAAAAAAAAAATTAATAAAAAAAAAAGCCCCCAAAACTTGAAAAAAGAAAAAAGTAAGAAAATAAATTTTATAAAATAACTTAAATAAGACAAGACCAACTTCAACTTACTAAATTAAATAAATTTAAAAACAAATTTTTCGATCTAGATCTAGAATCTAGTATTTACTAATTTAGTAATTTAGCCTTATAGATATAAACTATAAACTTCTAGCTAGATCTAGTAAAAGTTAAAGTTACTTATTAAAAAAATAAAAACTATAGGCCTAAGTATATAGATTATAGATCTACTTATATAATATTATATAATATATAATATATATAATATATAATATAGGCTATCCTATATAAATATATAACTTAGGCCTAACTAAGTTCTTATACCTGGCTTATGTTATGGCTCGTCTTAGTCTCTTATGACATGAGTGTCAATTGCAACTTAATTAATTTATTATTAAATAAATTAGAATGAAAAAAAAAATTTCATAATGTGATGAATGGCACCACCCACTGAATCTACTTTTAAAACAAATGTTGCACTGCCAGGAAACATGATAAAGATGGGCATTCTATTGGTTCTTAATTTCTTATGGATAGCATTGTCCACATATTTGTATAGTTGTCTTCACCATTATTATTAAATTATTATCATCTAAACTTTATGGTAAACGATAAGATTATACAGTATACTTATAGTAGTAACATTTCTAAAGTTTAATTTATTGCCCAAGAAATATTAGTTTTATATACTTTTAAAGCCTTTAAAATGTACCTAATTTTGTTGCAGATATTTACAACTACATGTAACAAAAGATGGCAGGATGAATTTTTTTTTTAAAGAAACGGTGTGACTCACACATATTAGACTTAGACTATGACTATGGGAAATTCTACAAATGTACTACTTATTACTACCCTATCAGCAGTGTTCATACTTAATGTTTTACATAGTTTCAATTGAGTGAGTCTTGCACATCAGATGCATACATCAAATAATTTTAAATCCGTTGGAATTCAAAAGATTGCTGAACCAGATGTATACATCAAATAACTTTCAGTCAAGTGGAATTCAAAAGATTGCTGAACCTCCGCCCTCCCCACCAGCCATGGCATTTGTTCCAGTAAAATTTAGCAGACCTCAGTTGGTACCCCCACTTTTTTGTTCACGAAGGATATATGTCCATTTAGCCTTTTTAATAGTGATCATCATTATTTTGGGGCTAATTAGGCTTATGTCTCAAGTAAAAGTTACATTTGTAGAGTACCATTTGAAAAGTGATTCAGATGCTGAGCTGGTTACTTTACCCAAACGGTTTGCTAGTGCAAGGGGAGCTTACTGTCTTGATGGGTCACCTCCTGCTTTCTACCTCAGGAATAGTAGGTTTAAAATTGTTGTTTTTATTAGACTATGCTTTTTTAACTAATAGACATTTGGCAGGTTGTTTACTATCATTCATATTCAAAGAAGTATTGGCAATAGATAACAACTAATGCTAATATTAAATAAAAATAAATTCTTTTAAAATTAGAGACTTTGTGTATTCTGTGCATTGTCTGAATTATTTAAGAATTCTAATAGTTATGAAACTCCATATTTGAATGCTGTTGTGTTTGAAAAAAGTAATGTGAGACAAGCATAGCTAAATTATATACATTTTGAAGCTACAGGCTGTTAAAAGTAATAATATTAAGTGAGAGATCTGTTTTTCTTTTGTATAAAATTAGTTAAATGAATAGTTTAATAAAATCATTATTAGAGTAGGTATTTAACTATACAGACTCAATTAATACAATAAAAAGAATATAAATGTGCATAGAGCCTTCCCTTTTATGCTGCAGCACATTTTATAAAAATATTTGATTCAGTAGCTTGAACAAAGTTTAAATTTTGTATAAGTTTATTTGTGCATAAGTAGTGAATGCCACTTAAAAACAAGCCTACATTTGAACAGGTCCATCACCATCAGTGAAGTTCTGGATCATCTATCTTCCGGGTGGTTCCTGGTGTTTGACTGAGGAGGAATGTTTGCAAAGGTAAGACCAACTCTTTAACACTTCAAAACCATCAGCTTCTGTACAATGGACACCAGCGAGTTGACGAGATTCCTTCCGTAATATTGTTGACATGGAATAAAAATGTGCTTTTTTAGATTTAGGACCATAAAACTAATAAAAGATAAAATTTTATTAAAAACTTAAGCCTAAAATTAATTCAGAAATGTAATATTTTTAGAATCAATGCTATACAAGTTGCAGATCCAGAGAACTTGAAAATAATTTGTTGAGTTTAAGGCTACATTTCTATTTATTTTCATCAAGCCTAAGTTATAACCCGATGTTTCACTTTCGTAAGACAAACATTGATTGGCTGTAAAGGAACTCCGTGATCGATTTCTGACAGCCCCACTTTATAGTTATTTTGTTTACAAAACTTTGCAGGTCAAATTTTTAAATAACTATGCAAATTTAAACACCATGACCTATTGTTTCTATTTTTAGCTTACAATGTGTACAATAAAACTTATGTCGGCCATTGTTTATGTCGCCATTACACGTGAAAACCAAATTGTTTTTTCTTTTTTTTTAATTTTTATTTAGTTACCGAAAATATTAAAAACATCAAATACATCCAATCTTTAGTAAAGTCCGAAAAAAACCAGACAGACAGGATTTTATAACCATATTAATTGTAACTACGCCGTGCAAGATTTTAAAATGAATTTATACACCTCTCAAATACCTTTGAGACTTTTCTCGCTGGTGTCCACAATGCTTTAGAAGGTGATACCACCATTTTTCCTGTAAAGCACCCATTTGGTGTTTCATTATCTCTGTATTGCATCTGTGTAAAAGAATTCTTTGCCATATAACTGTTATGACGCTTTTATACTTGAATTCTAGAAGCCATACTGATTTGGGATCTAGTCATGTAGCCAGAACATCAATGCCTCTGGATGGGCTTCTATCAAACAACTGTGAGATCAACCCAGACTTCTGCTATTGGAATGTTGTTGTGTTACAATATTGTGATGGCTCATCTTTTCTAGGTACATGTTTAATGTTTATTTGCAATATATATTCATTAAAAAACTGGCCAACTCTGAGAGGATTTTAAGGTGTACATAAAACTGATTTTTAAAAAAATTCTGAATTCCTATACTTCAGATTTACTCCATGCTGTTTGAGAATGATGATTTTTTAAAAAATCAGCCTCTTTATTTTATCATCCTCAGGTAACCAGTCTCTTGTTCTGGGAAATGAATCAAAGCCTTTATATTTGAGGGGAGCTATTGTGTTTGATACACTAATTGAATACTTGATCAGCACAACACATTTGGGAAGTGCAGAACAGATTCTTCTTGCTGGGTCTTCAGGTAATTACCTTGTCAGCTCTAGAGACCTTTTACTTTTTTCAGCCATCTATAAGTTCCTGTATTTTCATACTTTTAAAGTTGTTGTGTCATATACATTTTATGTAAACAGATTTTTTTAGCCTAACAAATTTTTACAATATATTTTGTATACACAGCTGGTGGTGTTGGTGCCTTTATCCATGTTGATAGACTTCGCACCAGGCTCCCCCAGACGGTGAAGACACTTCATGTTCTGGTGGATGCAGCCATGTTTGTTAACACTGCAGATATTAACGAGGGGTTTACTTTGGCACACATGTTTCAGAAACTCTACAGCTTCCACTCTTTGAAAGGTAATTTTGCTGTGGTTAACCAGGTTTTCAATTGTAACTAAATTTTGTCTATGTAGCTATTCAGGAGATTTTGTATGTATAAATACCTTGAATTTAAATGTGATTATTAAGTGTAAATATTTGTGTTTTCACAAGAAATTTTCTTTTTAAATAAAAAAATTATTGAATCAGTTTTTGAGAATTTAAAGTGCTGGTAATTTTTTTCTTCACTACCTGAGTTTAGACCTCTGACTTAATTAAAATAACAATTATTAAAATGTATCTTTTTTGCATACTCTTCTGGATTTCTTTTTGAAATTTCAAAAGTTTGTTTAAATTTTAAATATAGAGTAGGTCTAGATGAAATAGCTCCTGTTTTTTTCAAATGAGCTTGTAAATTTTTCAGATTCAGAAAGCATTAGAGAATGCACAACTGTGCAAACATCAGACAATGAGTGGACCTGTCTACTGCCTGGTGTTTACAATCAATTCGTCTTTACTCCAGCTTTTTTCATCAATTCAATGTACGACACATGGCAACGAAGAAATATTCTGAAAATTGTATGTGATGCTGACTCCTGTCCTGAAAAATATCTACCAACAATTTATGCAACAAGAGATGCTATTCATAATCTAGCTGGAAGTATAACAAAATCTAAGAAAAATGGAGCTTTTTTGACTGTGTGTCCACGTCATACGATCGTTATAAGACCGTGGTTTTTCAACCTGGAGGTAGGTGGCCTCTCACTTCTGAACTCAATTGCACTGTGGCTACAGCATCATGAAGCTACTACAAGTTATGATGTAGTAGATCTACAGTCAGCTTTGGAGCAATGTCAAGATATTCTTAAATAAGTTTAGTGTTTTGGCTACTGTTACAGGTAAGATCTGTTCTATTTGCAATACATTAGCTAATGGATCTGTTCCTCATGTGTTAGTTAATACTGGATCTCTTTCTATTGAAATATCTTTATTCTACAGCTGTTTACTTTAAGTGATTACTAAAGGTTACATTTTTAGAATTATATTCATTGATGATTGATTATGCCTATTGCAATATGTGAATTATTAATCAATAGCTTTATATTATAACATCTAAATATAGACGATGGTATTCTACCATAATAAAAAAATGTAGTTTCATTGCACAAGTTTTATATTGATATTGGACCTTGATTAAGCCTAAGCTGAGGTTCTGAGTTACATGAGTTGAGCAGGACATTTTTGTACCTATGTCAAGAAATTCTTAAAATAAAAAGATACATAGCTTTAAAATAATGAACAAATTATAAATATTTTAAATTTATAGTATTTGGTTGCAAGGTAACCATGCAGAAAATCTTAAAATAATTAGTTTTAATATTAGATTTTCATTTCTTTTTACTTCACTGGTAAACTTACCTCTCTCCACTATACTGTGCTTCATTGATATTCTAGCTGAAGGAAGTAATTTGTGATGCACAAACACATACAGCTGTCCCCGCTTTAACATCACACATAGAGCTGTCCCCACTTTAACATAGAGCTGTCCCCACTTTTACATAGAGCTGTCCCCACTTTAACATCACACATACAGCTGTCCCCACTTTAACATCACACATACAGCTGTCCCCACTTTAACATCACACATACAGCTGTCCCCACTTTTACATACAGCTGTCCCCACTTTAACATCACACATACAGCTGTCCCCACTTTAACATACAGCTGTCCCCACTTTAACATCACACATACAGCTGTCCCCACTTTAACATACAGCTGTCCCCACTTTAACATCACACATACAGCTGTCCCCACTTTAACATCACACATACAGCTGTCCCCACTTTAACATCACACATACAGCTGTCCCCACTTTTACATCACACATACAGCTGTCCCCACTTTAACATCACACATACAGCTGTACCCACTTTAACATCACACATACAGCTGTCCCCACTTTAACATAGAGCTGCCCCACTTTAACATACAGCTGTCCCCACTTTTACATCACACAAACAGCTGTCCCCACTTTAACATATAGCTGTCCCCACTTTTACATAGAGCTGTCCCCACTTTTACATCACACATACAGGTGTCCCCACTTTTACATAGAGCTGTCCCCACTTTTACATCACACATACAGGTGTCCCCACTTTAACAAACAGCTGTCCCCACTTTAACATAAAGCTGTCCCCACTTTAACAAACAGCTGTCCCCACTTTAACATAAAGCTATCCCCACTTTTACATCACACAAACAGCTGTCCCCACTTTAACATACAGCTGTCCCCACTTTAACATAGAGCTGTCCGCACTTTAACATACAGCTGTCCCCACTTTAACATACAGCTGTCCCCACTTTAACATACAGCTGTCCCCACTTTAACATAGAGCTGTCCCCACTTTAACATAATTTAGATTTTAAAATCCTACAATCTGAAAGGATCTTAATTAGTTTTCTGTTCTTTAATTTATAATGTGCATATATTTATGTGGTAGTACATGAGTGTCTGTTTCTGAAAGAGTCTGTAACTGGCACTGTGACCTTTTGGTCCTGTTTGTCTGAATTAAAGGCAAGCAATGAAAAGGTTAGCTTGGGCCAACATAGCAGTGGTGTGTGTCAGAAAACTTGATTGGCTTGCTCTCAAACATGACATTCTCCTTGTTGGATGTGTTTACTCACTGACCACCTCTTGCTGCCCCCTCACATTTTCAGTTCTCTCTTTATGGAGATGTTATAGCTTTTACTATAGTAACTAAGATATGGAAAAACATTATTTAGTTGTTTTATAAATTATTTTACAATTCTTTTAGAATTGTATCTGAAGAGTTGGACTTTGCCAATTTCTCTAAATGTAAGAGTTTGCTAATGTAACCTAGTGCTGTATCAGCAACATCATATCAGCAGTTCACTTTGCCAACAATATCTGGTTACATCACATTCCTCACTCTATTAACGGAAATAAATCAGCTTTGGCAACAGATGGCTGTTCACCAAGCTGTGCAGACCCTCGGCATTGAATAAATCAAACCTTCTCTGGGGTTATTGACCACCTTTAATGATTACTAAAACAGTATGCAAATTATTTATCAAGCACAGCATGAAGAAATACCATTGGAGAAATAAAACATGACCTCGTTAATTTATTCATAGATCTACTCATGACAGCACTTGATTAACATATAAAAAGCTGGTCTGTTGATCAGCATAATGTACACAAATTGGCCAGGCAATTGCATAGTGTGGTTGTTCTGTCAGTTGCTCAAGTAGTGTTAAGAATTTTTTATCTTTTATATTAATGTCTTCCAAATATTTTGTGATATAAAATATAGCATTCAATTTGTTTATACATTTAAAAAAAAAATTAAAACACAATTTGTTTTAATGCAATTGCAACACCTAAAAATATTGATTGTTAAAGATTGTGATCTATGAAAAAAAGGTCTTGTTTTCTTAATCAATTTATCATGTCATTTAATTCTGGACAACATTTATAACATTTACACACTATTTATCATTCTTTTAAAATGATACAATTACCAGTGGTTTGTGAAACCTGACTTGGGTTGCTTGTTGTTGTATGGCCACATACAACCTAGACTGCATTTGAACGTAACTGTTTTTCTTCTGATCCAGTATTTTATAATAAAGTTATTATTATGTGTCTTCCTTACCATAATCTTGTTATTTTTACAAATTGTTTTTTGGAGCTTGTTGATAATTATTGTATAAAACTGATTCAGCTTGACTTTTAATAGCCTGGTGTCAAGCAGCAATAGATGTTTTGCTAGACTTTTTGTAGAGCAGAGTTAATTCTACTCGGGTTGTAAAGTGTTTACATTGTTTAGTTGAAGTTTAGTCTAATTGACTCCCTGAGTAATGACTACTAATGACTAGTGTTAAAAAAAAAGTTTTTTCATTTTATAAGACATTTTTTAAATTATGTTTGTTGGTTTATTTAAGCTTTAGGGTTAGTATTAGACTATAAAGTCATAAAAAGACTTTTCTAATTTTAAGTTTTAATAATGAAGTTATTTTTTTCTTCACTAATAAGTATTGTTTAAAAATTGTATGTGCAATTAAAAGCATAAAGATTTGTCATTTATTTTTATAAGAGAATTTTAGTGAAATGTGCTAACGTAAGAAGGTTGCTGTTTTTTCTTCAGTTGTCTTCATAAAACGTTATTGTATGTATGTGAAAGGGGACACTTGGTTTTGGACATTATCACCCTGTTGATTATCATCATGCCATTACACTTCTCTCTTGAAAACCTAGTGAAGGGGCCTGCATTCTACAGGCAATGTGAGAAGCCTATGGAGTGTTAAAAAATGGGCTTCAAAAATATGAAATAAATCATATTTTTTCTTTCCCTAATTGACAGTGTTAAACATGTTTATTCCCTAACCTAAACCTTAACCCACAACCATAATGCTTTCTGTAACACTACATTAACAGGGTACAGTTAATGTTAGACTGTTGGTTTGTAATTAACAGGGTGGTAATGTCCTAATCCCATATATGATAGGGGTAATATACAGGGAGAAATTGATCAGGTAGTGGGGGGGGGGGGGTGATTGACAACAGTTAGTAATATCCTGCTCCCCACACAGCACTTTTGTAATAAATTTTGTTATGCTGAATTAATGAATAGTTGACTAGTCACTTCATGTAATTTGTGTTTTGTACTCTATTCATATCTCTGTACATGTCTGATGGTTCCCAAACTTGGTGTTAAAGGTTTGAGAAGAGAATCCAGTGATGGCTTTTTAAATAAAATTACTTTATTTGATGTGATTTTAAGTTTTTTCTTATACACAGAAGACTGTAGGAATTATTGATCTTATAACAATCTCCACCACAGCTGTTGGCTGTGTAAGCACAATTTGAATAGTGTTCTTGTAATTTATTACAAGCCATGAATGTCAAAATAAATGTTAAAAAGTCGGTTACTGAGACATGGCTAGTAACATTGTGTGTACCAAATGTTGTTTCAATGTTGTATAAGAACAGGCTATGTATAGATGTTTTGAGTAATCAGCTTTTATTTGTTGTGCAATACTCTATTGTTGTTTTCTTCTAGTTGAACAAAATACAATATAGATACTTAAATTGATAGCTAATATACAGACGATTTTAATAAAACTTACTATAAAAAAAAGAAATACTGTTTTATTATAGTTAAAAATTATTTTTAGAAGTGGGAATGGATTTGAACTAACATTACCCAGTAAAATTATTTATTTACATGATAACATTATTTAACTTTTCCCATCCTGTAATAATGTTAGTCGCCTCATCAAAAATATCAGAACTTTATTATAGGCAACAGATTTATTATATTGAAATTTTAAAAATGCCCCTTTTAAAATGAGCTATGCAAACCATACCTTGAATTCCAGCTTTAACATTTCATGTTCAAATGAAAGATGTTTTAAGTAAAATTGTAATTACTTTCAAAATATTCTTTAAAAACTTGATGTTTTAACATCTTTTGCCTTATAAAGCCTTTCTTGACTCCCTTATCCACCTCTTCTAATATGGATATTTTATATTGATGATGGTGTATTGTTTAAATACTGCTGTTGTACACCAAAGAAATAAAAATAATTTGCCATTGCCTTGTTTTTTGTTTTTTTTTACTGAATGTATGTATCCCTTTACTGAGTGGATGTGTGTGGGTTTACATACATACATACCAGTTCAAGGAAGGATGTATTCACATAACAAAGTGTATATTTACAGTTTGATTTACATAGTGTAGTTTTAAGTAAAAATAAATATATCAATGGAAGTGGCAATTTGAATAAAACTCTCAGAGGTTGAGATGTCGTACTTTGCTTTGTATTCAACTCAGCTGTTATTGTCCTTGCTGCTGTCTGTAAGAGGCATTTTAATACTAACTTGTGTTATCAACTTTTGAGTACAAAACAAAAGTCTTGAATTTAAGAAGCCATAAATTCTGAATTATTTCAGTTGTGAATAGAACAAAATATTATTTTTAACAACAGCGCTGGTTAGCAATGAATCACAGTATTGATCATCACAACATTAAGTGTTTTTGTTTGTACAAACAAGGTCAAGAACATGTTTTTTTTTAAATTTCAATAAGTTTATTTTAGAAAAAGATCTACATGTGTAAGGCATCTGACAGATAAACATTCTAATAAAGATCAGCACATCAACTGGAGAAATAAATTTCTCTTTCATAAAGTTTTGTAAAAGTAAACAAAAAAACTATTATAAGGCTTCAGACATTTATACACATCAACATTTAAAAATCAAAACATCCAACAAAGTGCCACCAAAAGTTGTTAGTTGTACACAGAAACTATTTTTAAAAGTTTTAAAATGTAGTTAGTACAGATACTCCTAGCCAAATGATGCTTCTATTTTAAAAAGAACAAATTGTTCACAATGCATTAGAAAAATCAAAAGAATCCAATTGGCTAAGCTGATGTATATATTCTTCTTGCTTCTCATTTCTGAGTAGCTGATGTTCATTTTTTTATACACTAAAAAAAAACCAGTCTAAAAATAAACAAGAAATAATGAATTACATTTTGGATCTGAAAACAGTTAAGTTACTTTTTCCACTGCATTTTATTTTAATATATTCAATATGCAGTTTGTGACAATTTCTAACACCTTATTGTTAATGCTGTTGAGGGCTGGAAATTTACTTTTGAAAATTATAGTTAAAAGGAATCAATGTCAGTTTTCACACATTAAAATGTTATATTATCAGCAGTTTGGTCACATTGAAATTTTTCATATGTACATTATACAAGAAATGGTATGTGCATTAAGTAAAATGTGATTTATTAAAACATTAAGTACATAATACTGATTATATCACAGATATCCCCAACATCGGTCTAAATTCAACTAAGACTTTAAGTTTTAGTGGAATAATTCCCTTAAAATACAGCATTTTATAAGCAACCAAATTCAATAAATATTTAAAAATACACAAATATTTGAATCAAAACATTGTTTTTTACATAATCATTTATCATAAGTTTTTATTTCTATTCAATCTAACATTTAAAATTAATAACGTAAAACAACCATTTTAAAAAATCATATTAATATTGTTAATCAAGCAGCCGACTTAATTACCAGAACAATTGTCAATTTGCAATACAACTAGTTGCATAAAAAATAAAATAAATAAATATTAGATCTGAAATGCTGATGAGATTTTGCTTTAGACCATGATCCTTGTACCAGGGACATACCTTGACTCACTCCAAACATTGGTCTCACCGCAATTGTTGAGCTTGCGCTTACACTGGCGGCAGCGGTTGTAGCGGTCACACTGCTCATGCAGCAGTATCCCAGGATTCAAAGAGTGCAGTCGATCCTCCAGTTCCTTGGCCTTCTTGGCTGCAGCCAACTTCTGCCAGTCATGCTCCAGCCGCCTTCTCGAGTCGAAATGAATCATGTGCTTAAAGGCTCTCTCATCCTTCAAACTGTTTCAAATAATAGAATTGTTTTACAAATTGATCTTCAGTAAATATTAAACTTATTAATATAGAAATATTGCTACCATTAGTAAAAATTATTTCTATTACTGTAAATAAATATTATAACCCTCCTTATTGAACTTGAAATTACTACAATTAAACACTAACCATTTTTAATGTTTCTTACAAATGACAAAAGTAATTACACAGAGAGATTGGCATTTCTTTAGGATAGTGTGATGATAAATTAAACCTCCCATAATGGAATATTCATTAGCTTTTTAATCATATTTTGAAAGGTTTGAAAAAATTGAAAGACGTACTCATTTTTAGCTCTGTCCAATACTTCCTCTTCCACCTGTTGTTCAGCCAACTTGGCAAGAATGGCGTCCCTTTTCTTTTGTTCAACGAGTGCCTTCTGCTCCTGAGCAATGTTGTAAGCACGTCGACGGCGCTCTTCTAGCTTCTCATTGTTCATGTCATTCTTTCCAAATACTTCATTGTCAGGCTCCTTATCTGGCATCTGCACTGGTTTGAACCTCAACTGTTTTGTAAAAAGATTTCTTTAATCAATTATTATCTTGAAGTTTATTTATTTTGATTTTTCTTTACTTAAATACAATAAGGGTTCAAACTTCATTCACAAAATATAAAATAATTACTTTGTGCTAAAATAAAACTGGGATAAAGGCTGCACAATACAGGTTAGAATTTTACCTGGGTGTCTAGAGCTCTCTTGTATGTGTCCACTGATGTCATCTTATTCTTTATGTATTGTTCTCTTTGAGCTGCTAGACTGAAATGTAAAATAAATTGAAAACATTTAAAGAGCATCTAAAGAAAGTGATGAGTAGCCTACAGAAATTTTGCACAAAATGAGACAACTCACATTGAGAATGTATTGAAGATTAATTCAAACGATCACACCTGTGTAAAACAACCGTAAAAGGAAATACAGACTTACTTCTCCACCCACACCTGTGTAAAACAACTTTAAAAGGAAATACAGACTTACTCCTCCGCCAATTGCACCTGTTCCAGCCTCTCCAAAAATTCATCATCAGCTTTTTTCTTTTGGTCAGCTTTTAGCTTGGAATCCACCTAAATTTAACAAAGTATGGTTTAACTTTACAATCTCCTAGGCAAGTACCAACATATTTTTTAAAGAAAAATTCTCAATGCAGAAAGGTATTGCTCATAATTTACATCATGTGCTGCGGAATGGGGGAGGAGTGTTTTCTGAGTTGAGTGAGCCTGTAATAGATACAAATTTTTTAAAAATACCTGTTTATCAAGTTCCTTTAGATATTCTTCTTGCTTAGGAACTCTAGAAGGTGTCAATGGTCGTCTGGTAAACAAGAATGCTTTCTATGAAAAAAAAAGAAATTATGTAAATGAGATGCAGCTAATTATTAAAATAATGACTATGCACATTATCATACAATAATTAGTAGTTTAACATAGTTTAACATTTTCCAAAAAACCTTTTAGAAGATCTTATTTATTTGTGATTGTTTTCAAAATTATATTTGTTTAAATTATCAGAAACAAGTATTTACTGGTGGTTCAGGATCCTTTGATTTTAATTTAGCCTGAACAGCTTCAGCTACTCCTAGGTTAAAGGCAGAAATTTTCTGAAGATCATATCTACGTGCTAAATGTTTTTCCTGAAAGATTAAATTAGTTTCCAAGTATTAGTTGTTGTATTTCATTAAAATATATATGCAATGTTACTTGAGGTTTTTTTTATGTTAGAATGAAAATATTTTATTTACACACTCTCAGTTTTAAGTAAAATAAAATGAATTTTTTTCTTTTAATTAGAAATTCAAAATTATAAACAGATGATGATGTGTCAGTACGGTATAGATACAAGGTCAACTAGGTTCATCAGAAAAGAGAAAATTAAAATCTGCACAAACCTGATCCTTCAAAGTCTCCTCTGCATCTTTCATTGCCTGGTACTGTTGCAGCAGACGTTCCTCCTCTTCTTCTCTTCTTTTCTTCTCTTCAGTGAAGGAGACAGGCACATTCAACCTGGCACGCTGATGACAGAGGTAGCAAAGCTCCTGGCCAGCTGAGTGATGACCACATGAGGATCCAGGTGGGGTGGGGATTCTAAAAACATTGCCGCGGTCTTGGAAGTTATCTGCACTATGTGATCTAGACAGGGGAGATAACCGTGGGGGTGTTGGTGGTTTTAGTCTGTAAAATAGAAATATACATTTTTTTCAAAGTGTCTGGGTCATGTTTTTAACAACTAAATTCAAAGTATTTTTTATAAACATTAGTGTTAGCATATATTGGAATAAGTATACAGTAATTATACTTGTGTGTGAAGTGGGAGTCACTAAATATTATAAGGCAGTTTTCCAGAAATTGTGTGGTACTCTGAATTGTGGCCAGTGAATGGCATGAATAGAACACAGAGAAAACAATCACCTGCCTATACCACCTCAATGATGTGTTGCTTTATATAATCTCTCACTCAAGTCACCCATGATGTTTACCCCTCTCACTCAACTCACCCATGATGTTCATACTCTCACTCAACACACCTTTATGTTCATCTCCTCTCACTCCACACCCATGATGTTCATCTCCTCTCACTCAACTCACCCATGATGTTCAACCCCTCTCACTCAACTCACCCATAATGTTCATCTCTTCTCACTCAACTCACCCATGATGTTCATCCCCTCTCACTCAACTCACCCATGATGTTCATCCACTCTCACTCAACTCACCCATGATGTTCATCCCCTCTCACTCAACTCACCCATGATGTTCATCCCCTCTCACTCAACTCACCCATGATGTTCATCCCCTCTCACAGACATCCTGACTGAACTGGCAGCAGTTCCAGCTCTCCGACTTGCTACAGGTACAGCCAGATCATCTGTTAAACTGATACCACTTGCTTTAGCAATGGGGAGTGACACCCTAGACAAACTTCTACTGCCTCCTGTTTGTTTATTCTCATCTCCTGCAAAGTAAAATGTACTTATAAACTACAGTCTCCAACTATAAGCTTCAATATATTACAAGTGGCTTTTCTTATAAAATAAAATTTGACTCTCAAGCCAAACAAAACAACATTAATATAATGCAAAGGTTTGTTAATCTTTCGAAGATATTTAATACAAAATATAATTATATGACTTGTCTGGTAGGCCTATATAGACTTTGTATGATAATTATTAAAAAAAGATTAGGCAGAAAATAAGAATGAGAAATATGTTTTGCTGTGATGTTAATGAAAAAATAAATGTATGAATCAAACTAGGAAATGAGAAGGATATATCACCTCTGTAGTGCTGATATCGGTTAGGTAAATCCCCATTCATGCAGTACCACATTATAAATCTTACTACTCACAGCAGTTATAAACAGCAGTAAAACTTTTTCTAAGCTATGTATGGTTAACTACAATTACATCCAACTAAACTACCACTAATGTTTCTTAACAAATGACACTGCTTCCAATAGAACTCTCTGTGCTACCCATGACAACCTGTGTTGCTAAGTGACAAGCCTTTCCCTTCAAACTGGCCTTGTTGATATCAATCAATGTCTCCTTTAAAAACTTGAAAGGAATATTTTACTCATACAAATTTTTAAACAAAGCCTCTATTGTGTTTGATTGCTAGAACATCGGAGCAGCAACAATGGCCACAGTTCATTAACCATAGCTAGATGGAAACCATCTATTGATCTGATGGCTAGCACTTGAGATGAGCTTTTAATGATGCATGAGATACGCTATTATGCTGAAATGATGATTTTTGTTTACAATATAGATCAATAAAATCCTAATTGTTTATTTAGGAACTGGTCGTGTTGAATTGTAAAGAAAAAGAAATGGAGTAGTTGAAAAAAAAAATTCTATTTCATAGAGGGCTTTTGATCAGATGCAAAAATTGTCAGAACAATTTTGAGTATTGATTGCACAGCTACACTGATGTATTAGGAACTGTATCTACATTGAAAAACCTACAAACATTCATACTTTTTCACACAGTTTGTCAATCTAATTTATTTCAATACCATAGTGATGGAGTAAATGTTTCCTGTGTTTAGCAATGTAATGATAATAATTCAGAGGAATAAATAACAGAGCTGGAAATTATAATTCTATGCCAGTGTTTTAGAACATAATAAATTGGTTTTGAAAAAAGTTTAATCCTAATTTTTATAGCCGTCTAGCTCTTTTAGATTTGCTGCTTTCTGTATTTGTGTAAATGATAAATTATACAATAGGATAAAAACCATACATACATGGGCTATGATTCACTTACTTGCAATGCCGTTATCTTGATCAGTGAACTGAGGTTCTAAAGTGGGATGATAGTTCACATTTATCTGGTCCTCCCCTTTCATAATGTTTTCTATCGCATGCTCTGTGGAGAAATCACATTCAGGGGTATCTACCATAGGATCTGCAAATCTGACCTCTGCAGCATACGCAGGACTTTGATGCTCTGGTAAATAATTTATTTCATCTGATGTTACTTCTTCATTAGAAAACAGCGCTGGTTCTTCTACAACAGGAGACAAATGCCCATTGTGATTATTCTGTGCTACACTATCATGTCCAGAATGAATTCTGAAAAATAATTGCAAAAATATAAACCCTATCATCTTCACTGCAAATTTTTTTTGCCCATGACATTTTAAGGAACTAACAATTAACTAATAAAACATAGTTCTAGCTAATGCTCTGAGTGATTATTGAATTCATTTGCACATACAATTTTAAACTCAGGCTTTATAAAGTTCTACTTACTTTGGTAGTATTAGAGTGTTGCTTGTATAGGGTCGACTAGACATTCTATCTGATATTACAGAATCAGCTGTTCCTATTCTCTGAAAAAAGATAATAACTATCCTGACATAGCACATATTTAAAATGTGTTAACAAAAATATTTCTCTGATATAAATTAAAATAAATAAACTGAACTCTATGTATAAAAATATCATACATTCATCAATGAGTCCATTAGCTTTCCTGAATGGTCCATCTGATTGATGAATTCTTTATAAAACTTCATCTTTACTCGGCTGTCTCTAATGGTTAATCTTCCAATGCCAGAGAAACAGAGTTCAATATTTCTTTTTGCTGCCAGAGCTCTGGACACAGAGCCGACAATTTCCTTAACACATCTTTCAACTGTGTCTCGATCAAAAGGGCTTTCAAATGATATTGATGAAAAGTTCAGAGGCAGCACAGGAATGGATCCTACAAAATAATGTTATTTTTCAAATTATATATATATATATATATATATATATATATATATATTATATATATATATATATATATATATATAAAGGAAAGTATGTTTGTTGGTGGGTTTGATTGTGTGTTTATTTGTGGACTTTTCCCATATGCACTACTACACCTTTCATCTAATCTCTATGAAACTTTAAGGAGTTGATGAGAATACTCCAGGAAAGGGTTATGTGAACAAAAATTTCATTTTCACAAGGGTAACGCCCCGGTAGGATGCAATTTGGTGCCACGGACTATCCTGTGAGCGCTATGGTGCATACATTTGTTTTAAAGAGTGTGATAATCTATGAATATGATGGGTTACTATAGTCGTTCACTAAATTAAATTAGGCATGTTCTACAGTACCCCGGCAGGTTGTGATTTGGCATTCCGGTTTTAAGCACCGCCCATGCTGTGGTGTAATTGGGAGCTCCCGAGAGCACCCGACTACATCCCTGACAACTGGGCAGTCATCGAAGTTTCTTCTACCTCATTATTATGGAGAGTGATTAGCATACACTCAAAGCTATCACATAGTACACCCTGTATGATCCAAAAAATATTTGTTCAGGCATTGTTTACACTTAAGTTACTCGGTTTTAGAAAACGAGGTCACACGTCTAAAAATATAGGATTGGAAATGCAGTGGTTAAACCCTCTTAAAATATTGTGTCAGACTTTCTTCTGAGACAGTGGCAACACTAAGGAAGGGTACGCTAGTATATATATATAGTGTGTGTATGTGTGTATACAATGTTTTCTTCATTAGTATCTGGGTTTTTTTAAAATTATTATTTATTATCACTAAACCATTAGCAGTATAAAAGCACCTACAAAATGAGGCATCTTAAACATTAATTATCAATAAACAAAGACTGAAAGGCTCTATATTATCGAGAGGACTTACCTGGCATATGATATTTTTGGAACTGCAGCCCATGAATTTGTGCAAACTTTTCAGAAACATTAAATACAGGTCTCTGAGTTAGAATAAATTTATTATTTCCCACCTCTAGCTTTTTTTCAGAAATTGCAAAAATGCCAAGTCCAGGAATTTGGACACCCTGTTGATACAATGTTTCTGTTTAATTTAAAGGAATATTAAAATCTGTATACAAATATCCTTTTTTTTAAGTTTACAACCAGATTCAAACAGTAGCAATAAACAAAATATAAAATTTAATCAGAAAGATAATAATTACAATATTTTTCACACAAAACATATCATTATGATGTGATACAGCCATTTTAAGTAACATTACCTTGTGTTGTGCCATTTGTTTTTCAACGTAACTGGAAACATTCTCCCATATATTGACAACATCTAAACATGCAATAAAAAATAAAAATAACTGAGGCATATTGTGTATACTTCTATAAATATTGAATAACATATTATATATACATAAAATATATTTAATAATCTCCATTTCAATTATATTCTTGTCAACTTTTAAAATATATTCATAATTTTCATTTTTTGAACAGCTGAATTAGATAATTAAGTTTAGATTTTTAATTGTATGCCTATATGGTAATACAACACAGCATTAACAATGTATTACATGTAGATAAAGTTGAACATGAACACCCCAAATCGCCCAGATATTGTGTTACTCATCTCCCTCTTTTAATATTATTAATCAATATGTCACTGATGATGCCCTGAAGTACTTTGCTATGTAACCTAAATAAAATTCACACTCTTTAACACTAAGAGAGGGGTTGAACTGGATGACATGAAAGTAACATGTGTTAGGGGTTCGTGGAGAAATAGGTATCTTATATCCCACTTCTGACATCAAATGTTAGGGGGGTTTAAACCGAAGAGGTGATCTTATTCACTCATCCGTGCACCTTTGCGTGGTGACAAAGGGATCTAATAAGACCTGAGCAAAACTAATTAAAATCTAAACAACACCAATATTAAACTAAAAATAAAACATAGTAAACACACATAATATGCATTTATTTATCTTCATTTGACGTCACAAAGGTTTATATGTTAAAAGCAAAGACACAATACAAATAAGGCCTGGCCAGTCTTTCATATTCAAGAAAACATCACTTGAATTTCTAATACAAGTCAAAAAGACAAAAATAATCAAACTTACATTTCAATGCAGAATTAGTCACTGTGGTAACTGACACTAATTCATAGAAAACACATATATAAGTGTGGATAGCAAACCTACATTTACACAACTCAGAATTTATACATATGAATGTCCTTTCCTCTAGTCCTAACTTAACTACTTGCACTGCTTATGTAATCTCAGAATCACACTTGTCAAAGTTATTCTTCCTAGTCCTAATTTCACTTGTACTGCTATGTAATCTCAAAATCAAAAACGTAAATGTCATCGTCTCTAGTTCTAACTTTACTACTTGCACTGTTATGTAATCCCAGGATCACACGGGTAAATGTTATCATCGCTAATTCTGATTTCACTAATCAAACACGGTTAAAGTCCATCTATGAATACTCATCAGTACTCACAACAATCTAGCTCGACACTCAAGCTGCAGGGAGATTTCCCGCCACTGGAATACAACATTGGGCCACTGGTACAAACATTGGGCTACAAAGTTAATGGCCACTGGAACGAAGAACATATCTACACGGCAGGAAGATTTCCAGCCACTTGAATAAAACATTTGGCCACTAGTACAAACATCGGGCCACAAAGATAATGGCCACTGGAACGACATCGGGCCACAAAGATAATGGCCACTGGACGAAGAACATATCTACACGGCAAGATGATTTCCAGCCACTGGTACAACATCAGCCACATGTATAACATATGTCACATATATAAATATCTGGAACGAAGCACATATGTACAGCAACAAAACATCGGCTGGGACAATAAGCCAGCCTTAGTGGCCAGCCATAAGGCTGCCACCATCCGAGTCCTAGACCATCGTGTCTAGCCTATGTGTCTGTCAGAGAAAAAGAGACCTCAACATAGTCGCCCTTCCTCATTTATAGGTTAGTCTCACCCCCCTTATCATCTCCCTAGAGCTATAGAACCCGAGTTGGGCTCCGTACCATCTCTCGACGTTCGAGATAACACCGGTCACTATGCACCCATGCGTTGAACACCCGATAACTGACCGCTATAGATCTTCCCGTTGTCTCAGGGCTAACGATCGTGTCATACACCGCTCGAGCTAACGTACGGCCACACAGCACTCCAGCCGCGTTTCACACCTAACAACTGACCACAACAGAGATCATGAGTAATGATTCTACCGGGACGTCCAGCGGCATGCCCGGACTCAACTTTAGACATAAATCACCGCGGGTGTCTTCATCATTCCGTGTCACTCATGCACCTGCATAGAGCTCGCAGCCCTTAACGACCAGAGTGAGCCGATAACATTTAATTAAATTTTAGATTTCCCTGGCCTGCTCATCCCCAATATCTTAGATTAACCCCTTGGGTTTCTGTAACTAGTCCTAGTCACCTAAACCCCTTTAATAAGCACCCAAGTTACCATTTTACTTAAAAATAAACAATATAGTACCAGCCAACATGCTTACTTAAGAATCAACAATTTGGTGCCAGCCAACATGCTTCCCCCGCAAAAATGATTGCGTCCCCGCAATCAACTTAACCATGGCAACTAATTGAGATAAACATTCTACCTTACTGTTCCCCTACTGACACAACACATACCTCTAGTTTACAGTAAAGGCCACTGAAGGCAAAAACATCAATGAGCATACTGAAATGTCTCAAAAATGAACATCTACTGAAATCAGGTATAAACACGTACTTATCTTTAAAGGGTAGTTAACCAAAATGGACAAATCACGCCTTACGACTACAAATAAATGGCCATCAATAAAGATAAATACCAGTCAGTCACACATAATTTTATACCACAAGGCCTGATAATGTACATCCAATACCAATATCAGCCAAGTCTTCCCAGTCATAAAATTACGTAACAGCATGTTTCATCTACAATAATTACTATTCAACGAATACCATAGTTGCCAATAATACGTTCAACACCATTAAAACTTACAAAGGTTGCATGTTAACTGGCTACCCAAATTATTCTTTAAAAATGGTCTAAAAATAGTACTGTCAGTGCTAATAAAATGTGTTACATTAGCACAATGTGTTCATCAGGAACACACAAAAATAACAGTAATCACACAAAAATTCTTACAGTAAATTAAACGTATTTTACACGTTCCAAAAGTTAAAAATGCAAATAAAAAAGGCAATAACATAAAACATTATGCTGAGGTAAACCATTATATACTCAACATATTTAAAAACCAATTTTAAAAAATCTTAATTTAGTTTGCTCAAGCACGGACCCCACTCGTGCTACCAAATGTTAGGGGTTCGTGGAGAAATAGGTATCTTATATCCCACTTCTGACATCAAATGTTAGGGGGGTTTAAACCAAAGAGGTGATCTTATTCACTCATCCGTGCACCTTTGCGTGGTGACAAAGGGATCTAATAAGACCTGAGCAAAACTAATTAAAATCTAAACAACACCAATATTAAACTAAAAATAAAACATAGTAAACACACATAATATGCATTTATTTATCTTCATTTGACGTCACAAAGGTTTATATGTTAAAAGCAAAGACACAATACAAATAAGGCCTGGCCAGTCTTTTATATTCAAGAAAACACCACTTGAATTTCTAATACAAGTCAAAAAGACAAAAATAATCAAACTTACATTTCAATGCAGAATTATTCACCGTAGTTACTGACATTAATTCATAGAAAACACATATATAAGTGTGGATAGCAAACCTACATTTACACAACTCAGAATTTATACATATGAATGTCCTTTCCTCTAGTCCTAACTTAACTACTTGCACTGCTTATGTATTCTCAGAATCACACTTGTCAAAGTTATTCTTCCTAGTCCTAATTTCACTTGTACTGCTATGTAATCTCAAAATCAAAAACGTAAATGTCATCGTCTCTAGTTCTAACTTTACTACTTGCACTGTTATGTAATCCCAGGATCACACGGGTAAATGTTATCATCGCTAATTCTGATTTCACTAATCAAACACGGTTAAAGTCCATCTATGAATACTCATCAGTACTCACAACAATCTAGCTCGACACTCAAGCTGCAGGGAGATTTCCCGCCACTGGAATACAACATTGGGCCACTGGTACAAACATTGGGCTACAAAGATAATGGCCACTGGAACGAAGAACATATCTACACGGCAGGAAGATTTCCAGCCACTTGAATAAAACATTTGGCCACTAGTACAAACATCGGGCCACAAAGATAATGGCCACTGGAACGACATCGGGCCACAAAGATAATGGCCACTGGACGAAGAACATATCTACAGGGCAAGAAGATTTCCAGCCACTGGTACAACATCAGCCACATGTATAACATATGTCACATATATAAATATCTGGAACGAAGCACATATGTACAGCAACAAAACATCGGCTGGGACAATAAGCCAGCCTTAGTGGCCAGCCATAAGGCTGCCACCATCCGAGTCCTAGACCATCGTGTCTAGCCTATGTGTCTGTCAGAGAAAAAGAGACCTCAACATAGTCGCCCTTCCTCATTTATAGGTTAGTCTCACCCCCCTTATCATCTCCCTAGAGCTATAGAACCCGAGTTGGGCTCCGTACCATCTCTCGACGTTCGAGATAACACCGGTCACTATGCACCCATGCGTTGAACACCCGATAACTGACCGCTATAGATCTTCCCGTTGTCTCAGGGCTAACGATCGTGTCATACACCGCTCGAGCTAACGTACGGCCACACAGCACTCCAGCCGCGTTTCACACCTAACAACTGACCACAACAGAGATCATGAGTAATGATTCTACCGGGACGTCCAGCGGCATGCCCGGACTCAACTTTAGACATAAATCACCGCGGGTGTCTTCATCATTCCGTGTCACTCATGCACCTGCATAGAGCTCGCAGCCCTTAACGACCAGAGTGAGCCGATAACATTTAATTAAATTTTAGATTTCCCTGGCCTGCTCATCCCCAATATCTTAGATTAACCCCTTGGGTTTCTGTAACTAGTCCTAGTCACCTAAACCCCTTTAATAAGCACCCAAGTTACCATTTTACTTAAAAATAAACAATATAGTACCAGCCAACATGCTTACTTAAGAATCAACAATTTGGTACCAGCCAACACATGTAACTAACATCATATTTTTTAAAAACATTATCTCTGTTTGGTTAGGGTCATGGCTAGATATAGTGGCTATTTCAGCAGCAAAAATTATCTTAGTAATTCCATCCTGTTTTCCATCTTCAGTACACTTTTTGTGATTATTATGCTGAAATATCACTTCTTTAGCACATTTTTCAAAGTTCAAGGTAATTGCCTTCTTACTTCTTAATTCCAATAATTTGTAACATGATTTTTATGGGTGTAGAAGTAAACATAAGTTAATGTTGAATTCATATTAAATGGAATGTAGATATAGGTAAATTGTGAGGGTTAGAACTTTTCAGTTTAGCAACCATGAGCTTAACCTACACTTTGACAAATTAGTAATTAGTGACAAAAGAGTGACAATACCCACACTAATGACAGATGTCTTGCTTGACTCTATCTTAGAAATTATTTTTTTTAAACTCAATCAGATTCAATCTAATTAATGTTATTATTATTTATTATTATAACAATAAAAGTAAGTGATTGTTTAATAAAATAAAGTAACAATGATATAGATCTAAATATGTAATTTTAAATAACAGATGTCAGTAATGAAATAATGATTAGATTAATTGATCATTATTGACAAGTCACAGGACAAAAGACAAATAAATAAGAATTAAAAAATAAAATTTAAAATAAATGCCGAAGGCTTAAATTAATTAAATTTAATGTTGTAAATGTGTAATGTAAACTAAAGTAAACTTTGTTGCTCCCACTGCCGAGCGCCACTGCCTTTTTTTTTAAAAAATCTGCTCACCATTTTCAGACAAGGTGTCTTTAATTGTAGAAAGTCTACCCTTTGTGGCATTAGCCAATAAACCCTGGGTTGCCTCAGTCATTCTAATTTTTCAAAATCATGTTATTCCAGTGGCTTGTAAAAATTAAAAACTGTTCATATGGACGCCATTTGCTTATGGCATGAAAGATTCGGTTGCTATGGCTGCACAATACCAAGTCAGAGCTACGACTAGTACATTTTCGCATTTTGTTAATTTAATTTTTTTTAAATAGAAAAGAATCTTCTTCACATTACAAACTAAACAGTTGTTTTCCAGACAATTATAGACAGCAATACACTTTATACTTTAATATTCCTATATACTATTTTTACAGAGATCTAGAACCTAGATCCAAATTTAGATCTAGATCTAAGTACAAAGTTCAAAGGTTGTACGCCTAGGTTATAACCTTAGGTTATTCAACCTGAAAGTTGAATGTTACGTGTTGTAGATCAGTGTTCTGTGTGGGACCAAGAGATACTGATTTAGATTTAGAAGTCTATAGTCTATATTAATAGTAAAAATACTATGACTGAACATCGAAATCCGGGAATAGATTATGGTACTAACAGAGATTAGAATCTAGAATTTAAAAATTAATTAGTCTAGTATTTGTAATTCGGTCTGAATTTTAGTACACCCTTTTTAAAACTATTTTAATTTTTAGAAGGCCAAACTTATTTTTCAATGAAAATTGCAATATAAAACCTGAATCAAATTCAAGACCCAAACTGAATTTTAGACATTGTGATGAACATGTGCGTCACACTCCTAGAGGGGAAAGGGGTGGTGGGACATTATATATATATCATAATAATGATAAAATATATGTTGTGTGTGGGGGCGGGTATGGTCAACTCACTTAGGAACACATGTAGTGTAGGTTTAGGGGGGGGGGGGAATAAAAATACACACACAGTGTAACAACTCACTTTAACATTCAAAATAAATTTTGGAACCAAACCCTTAGCCATTATTTTGCACTTTTAATACATTTTTGTTTTGTAAATTGCAATACAAATTGATTCATATAAAGTTTAGGAAAAAAAATTGTTTAAACAGCATTATCCATTACATTGTTTATGGACAAACTCTTTCTACTCTTGATAGTTCTATACACCATATTGCAGTTTTTTTTAGTTTGTTTGGTTTATAACATCTGTGAACATATTTCAAATGCTACTATTTATACTCATATACTACTGCACATAAAAAGGCAGTATTGTTGAGTTGTGTTGAGTAAATCTAAATTGTTTCAAACTTATATTTAATTTTGTTCATCTATTTCTTTCTCCTTCTTTGTTAAGAAGTAAAATATGGAGTTAAAAAAACCCACAACAATGAAAACTTAAGTTTTTTATTTTATTTTGCCCAGTACAATAATTGAAAATGATATTGATAAAGACTAAGATCTTAAGAATGAGGTCAGAAAGATTATTTTATAATTTAGTCATTATTTCTCTAAAAATGCTGGTCCTGTCAGGGCTAGGCCGATCAGCGGTGTAGCTAGCCCCAGGCACCTACCCTAAGGGGGTTCAAAACAAGTTAGAAAATAATTAAAAAGCTAATTTTAAGCTGAAGTATTGAATTATACACATACACAGTTAAGTAAATAAACGGTTACAAGGCTTAACACTGATTTAACTGTTTTCTACATCAACTGTTGGAGGAGAGAGCTTTTTCACCTTCATGAATGAAAGGGAGGGGGGAACAAATTGATAGTTAGCCCGAGTACTGGAATGGGTCACTGTGCCTCTGGGGCTGGTCAGTATACCACTAGACGTAAGGCTAATTCACAAGGACCTGGATTTTGTAATCTGTGTGTCTGTAACAGTTGCCAAGCAAGATGGAGTGTATAGGATTTACTAGGGGTTGGGGCTTAGGGTTTTTCCCCAAACTTTTATCAGCATGTAGCTTATAACTATGAAGCCGAAGGGTTTAAAAAATTAACTCAGTATAATACATAATTTGTCATAATAATTTTTGCTTCATTTAACTAGACGAGTCACTGTTTAAAGATGTCAGAATTAACCTTTCTGCTGTAACAAGGCGTGCAGCAGATCTGGGCAACAGAAGAGGTGTGAAAAAACAATGGCAGGTCAGTAATTCAATCAACCAAGAATATATATATATACACTTCTTGTATCAGAGCTTTGTTTTTAAGGTTTTATATTAACATGCTGCAGGTTTATTTATATAATAAATACAATATTTTTTTCAGTTTTCAGTTAAAAAGTTTTCTTTTGTTTACAAAATTAGGCTGCATGGCAGCTGAGAGCAGTGACGTGCATTGATCTGACTACTTTAGCAGGAGATGATACTGCAGCAAATGTATCTCGCTTGTGTTTTAAAGCAGCACACCCAATTAGTCAAGATCTTCTAAAGATGCTCAACATGAGTCAAAAAGGTACTGAGCTTTTAAATATATTAATCAGTAATTTAAATTGGTAATTTTAAATGACAACTCAGAAATTTTAATTTTGACTCATGATTTTATTGAGATATGAGTTGAGTTAAACTTTAAATTACATTTAAAAGGCTTTACCATACAAGTATGCATATTTTACAGTTTTCTTTTTAAGATGTTTATCTTAAAATTAAATAATTTCTTATTTTGTGGGAGTTTAAATTCATGTGACATGCATAGCTACAAAATAACAATTCTAATTTGTTATTAGATTCAATAGCAAGTTCCAGAATGGTACAATTTTAAGTTATAAAGTAAAAACTATGTTGTAGATTAAATAAAAAAAGAAAGACATATTAAGTAAATATAATTATTTATCTATTTTCAACACACACAAAATTATTCCATTGCATTTTAAGGTCATTCATTTTACATGTAGAAGGATATTTTTCTTAAGAGTTATATGTAACGTTTATTATAGATATAACAACTGGTGCAGTGTGTGTATATCCCAACCAAGTAAAGGCTGCTAAAGAAGCATTAACTCAGGCTGGAAAGCCAAATATCCCTATAGCTTCAGGTGATTTTAATAGTCTAAGCTATAGTTAAAGGTTAAAATAAAATAGTATGTTTTAAAATAGGTGGGTACATATATTTCAGTTAAATTATTTTTTAAATATTTTTATGTATTGCTTAAAAATGAAACACATTTTAGTTGCTACTGGATTTCCATGTGGACAAACACCTTTGCAGGCAAGGTTAGATGAAATTACATCAGCCGTGAAAGATGGTGCATCTGAAATAGATATTGTCATAAATAGGACATATGCCTTAACTGGCAACTGGAGAGGTTGGTACATTAATAACATGATGATAAAAGAAGTTTGGTAAATGTATTGACGTATGTATTGGTTTTAAAAAGATAACATTTGAATTTGCAGTGCTAACTACAGTATATTCTTCTATTAGGATAATTTGAATAAAAATTATAATTTATTCATACTAATATTCATAACTACCTCTCAGAGAGGCTTTAGTCAGACAAGCTTGTATTTTACTAGGTGTGTATGATGAGGTCAAAAAGATGAAAGAAGCATGTGGCCATGCACATTTGAAAACAATTCTTGCAACTGGTGAACTTGGGTCCTTAAAAAATATTTACAAAGCTAGCATGGTTTGTATGATGGCAGGTAAGAAAAAATCACTTAACTCCTTTTCTGTGAATTTATTTTAGCTAAATAATCATCTAGCTTGTCAAGTAATAAATTTGTGAAGGTCAACAGTATAGTGATGTTAATATTACAATTCCTTGCAAATATTCAAAGTTCCGTCTATTAGCACCTCCACCATCAGTCTTTCAAGCAATTTAGGCACAAATTATGGAATTTTTTCTATCTATTTCTATATTGGCTGATATATGCTTTAAAAACACTTCCTTTCATTAACTAATTTGCATGTTCTATATGAAAACTGATTAATAATATACCGACGTTACTGTGTTTTTATTTAGCAATACAATTTTGTTTTTCTGAAATGTAGTTTTCTTCTTTGAAAATATAGACCAGTGAATAAATCCAAACTCCCAAACAATAATAGTGTTCTGCCAATTCCACATTTTGCTCTTCTAATGAGCTCAAATATAATTGCAGGTGCTGATTTTATTAAGACATCAACAGGAAAAGAAGGAGTGAATGCTACTTTTGTAGTAGCTCTTGTAATGATCCGAGCTATACGAGATTATCAACAGCTCACTGGATATAAGGTATTATTCTTGCTGTATTAAAAGATGATTTTAAATTACTGCAGTGGCAGAACTGTTGCAGTTAGCCCAAGAGATGTTAATAATTATATTATTACTGATTTTAAAAAAATACATTGATGAAGAAGCTAATGATAGCTTTTTCTTCACTTAGATTGGTTTCAAGCCTGCTGGAGGTATAAGAACTGCCAAAGATGCCTGTGTTTGGCTTTCTATGATGAAGGAAGAACTAGGAAATGATTACACAAAAAACAATCTTTTTCGATTTGGTGCCAGTGCTTTATTAGGTGACATAGAACGGCAGTTGTATCACTATGCAACCGGTTTTTATCCTGCTATTACTGAAATGCCAATGGGCTAGACATTTAAGGGTGGGTCTAATCTAAGTGTGTTCAGTCATGTTGTTTCTCAGCTAGTGATTTCTATACCTTATTTATTTATATTTACTCCTATGGTTATTCTAGAGAACAAACACTCCCATTAAAATATCAAAATTTTAAAATATGCATTGTTTACTGTTTTTGGCTATTTGTATTTTTTGAGTATTTTTTGGTTACTGTTGATCTTTTTTTTGGACAACTTATAATTTCTATTTAAGATACAATTTAGTACAGTGAATAAAGTGCCTTATGTTGCCATTTAGTACAAATTCATTATATGGTGTAATCTCAATCACTGTTAGCTATATCCTCAGGTGTAAAAAAGAAAAGATCTAAGGGGTCATCCATAAATGACGTCACACTCGTAGGGGGGAGGGGGGGTCCGTAATTTTGTGACGATGTGTGATGAGGGGGAGGGGGGGGGGGTCAGATGTTGCGACGTCACATTTTTGCATTATAAAAAAGCAATGTTAGAAAACGAATTTTAGACGTTATTTCGCGTTTTAGATAACTGTTTTAATAAATTGTAATAGTTTAGACAAGATTTTGGAAAAATATCAATGTTTTAAAAAAATTCAACTGCAATTTTGAGGGGGGTTGTAGGTTGAGGTGTGACGTCATTTTAGGGGGGGGGGGTCTCGCTTTGTGTGACGGGGGGGGGGGGAGGTAAAAATCGTCAAAAAAAGCGTGACGTCATTTATGGATGACCCCTAATCATGAAATCCGATAAATTTACTGTAAAACTTAAGGACGACTTTTCCAGTGATATTAAACAGAAATATTAAACAACAGAACATAGATATAATAACTGAGAAGCTAATTATGTTCATAATAAATAATCCATTCAATCTAGGAAATGGGTTTCCATGTGAGCCTGGATGTATCGTCACCATCCAGCTCTTATTGGGTACCTGATTTAGTTGGATAAAATAAGCAGACATGGTAATTATCAGTTTCTCCCTATTCACCATAGAAACTAATGCTTCCTTTATAGGCCATTAAATCTTACTTTACAACTTAGGTGCCATGGTAATTTTAGCCAACAGTTTGAGATGATCATTCAATACAACTTTGACCACAGGGTGTTGTTAAAATGTATTTATGAAGAAAAGATCGCTTTTATGGGCCTTCCATAGAACTGTACAGGTATATTATCATAGTATAAACATTACTTAGTTAAGAAATTCACAACTGATTCTTTTTTTTTGTATTATAGTAACTATAATTATGGTTATACTTTAGAGAACAATTTCAAGTTAGTTGTTCTGTTATGTAAAACAGAACTGGACTTTGTACTATGTGCTTTTTAATAGTGCTGTATTATCATGCATGTTGTATGTTGTTACATATTTTGTATTACTTCGCTTGAGCTATTACAATATAGAATATTATTTTTCAAACCTAATAAATTCTATTTAGTTATAATTACTTCATCTACATTGTCTTCTATACCATAATTGATTTGTATTAGATAAACCCTTAGGCTATACTCATTTCCTTAAGGCCATGGGCGGGTGATGAAAACCAAAATGTTTATTTTTAAACGTAATGCTATAATATAATGCTATAATATTTAGTTATGACTCAAAGAGTTAAGTCTAAACATTAAAAAATGACAGAAAATGTCCTGCCGTTGCCATGGCCTTCTTGGATTTTTTAAAATGATTATAACATTGAAATAACTTTCTTAAATTAAAATTGATCAAAATTTTCTTTAGTTATTCTGTATACATATACCAACAAAACTGATAGAACGAATTTTTGAAAATGTGCATAGTTTTGCTTTTACAGTTAAAATTGTGTATTTGTTTGCACACATTTTGATTTTTAAAAGTGATTTTCAGGAAAAAAAATTTGTAAAAACAAAAGTATTTGAAAATCTTATCTATCACAATTGTTATCAACATGTATCTCTATAATCCTGCAAGTTTTTATTGAATTAGGATAAATCATATTTGAGTTATTTTGATGTTAAAAAGGTAAATAAAAAAGCGTTTTGATTAGTTTGGTTTTCATCACCCACCCAAGACCTTTAAAGCTATCTGTGCTGCAGTATGTTACTAGTTCAAGTATAGGACAAGACTTTAACAATTATTGGAATAGAAATTATTATTAGACATTTTAGCTTGAAAACAAAAAAATGTGTGTCTCCAGATTGATCTTATCCTTTATCTCATACATTCAAAGACTATTTAATGTCATAAAAATATTTTGTGTGCCAAACTTCCAAATCAATCAACAACAAAAAAGAGAAAAGAATAATACATTACTATGAAAGTGTATTTCATTATAAACATGATTTATTGGACTAACAGGTATACATAATGATAATTAAGAAGACATGCATTAAATTCGACCAGAAAGTTGAACAAATTATCAAATTATAGAAAATATAGATGTTGTTCTTTAACTTGAAGTTTTTTTTTTTGCTTGTGATAAAGTTTTAAATAATAGTCAATAACAATTTTCTACAACCAACTTTTTTTATCTTGAAAAAAAAAGTGGTTTGACAAAACAATCTAGGCCTACCTATTAATGTAAAATGATCCAACAAAATAAAGAAGATAATTTTTTGACATTAATGCAAAGAACACTTTAGTATAAAGGGTTAGGCTCCAAAAAAGAACTGAGCCTTTTTTATTTATTCGTGCTTACCTAAGGCACTAAAAAGAAAATATTTCTTTAAGTACACTAACTTAGATAACAAATAAATAACAAAGGCTTATTGGTTTTTTTTCCGGAGCCTAACCCCCTAAGGGTAAACTTAACTAAGATACCCAGTTATAAAACATCTCAAAATAATTTTTTTTCTAAAAAAGGTCGTCTTTTAAATGTAACTTGCAGGAAGAAGTTTTGATTTAAATGTGATATTTACAAAACTTACCCTAGCAAAACAAGATAGCCAAGGTTGATGTATGAATTCTTGGAACTTGTCTTGCCAAAAATATTGGGGAGTTGTGATCTTCAGTATACATAAATAATGTTTATAATGTATGGACTATTAAAGTAATATTTATTACATTAAGACCAGGTAGGATAGATGAAGACAGAACAATATCCCAGGTAAAATAGTCCATAACAAATATATACTAAAGCTGGATCACAGGGCCAAGAGGCAAATAACACTTCTGAATACAATAATAGTTCATGCTGAATATAGAAGATAAATGTTAGAAATCTTTTTTGAAGATTGGAAAGATGTCAAAAGCTAATCAATAACATCTGGTTCAGCAGAACTCAGGCAGTGTGTGCACAAATATAGTATTAATCAGGTTTACAATATATCATTTGTAAACGAGTACATAACTGTGTACTATAGCATTCTAAAAATTCTACATTCTTCAAAATGCCTGTGAAAATTTTTATTTTATTGCTTTTTAACTTTTAATATTGTACCATTCAATAAATAGAAACATGATGTTGCTTATTGTTCAAATCAGCATTTTTAGGATTAACACTATATTTTTCTTTCAGAATGTATTTTAAGGCGAATTTTTAATTTTAGACAAAATATTATTTTTAAAAGTTTGAGCGTCTTATGAGCTGAATCCACCTCAAGATAAAAAATTTCTTTTCATGTATACATATTTTCAGACAGCTATTGCAAAATTCTAGCTGTTTGACTTTTTTGAAAAAGAACTGTTAGATGGCTCTGAAATAATTTTTATTTTAGTAAATATTTTTGTTTGTAATATGCTTATTAAGTTTGTAAATAGGTTATAACCAAAATAATTTCAACTTCAAACATAAGTTGAGTGCAGTAGTTAAAAACAAACAAAAAAAAAAAAAGGGATCAGAGGGTACATTGGGAATGTTCTAAATATAGCACTTCAAATTTTACAGTGAAACAGCATGATTGAGCTGATTTATTTTGGTTGCTTTCATTATAATTTTTATTTAAACACATCACAAAATAGCAGCTATGAGCCACTGTCAGAGCAAGACAAAAATGATATATAACATCAAAATGTTTTTTAAGTTTGTTCATCTCCTAGCTTTATGGGAAATTATTGATAAAACCAGTTAGATATTAAAAGAATTGGACACATTCAATATAAACATTTAATCTGTATATGAGAAAATGTGTATTTTTCTAAACTGGAATTATCTCACTTTTTCTCACCAATAAAACCTTTTCTTTATATTGTAATATGAGCATTGCACAAAACCTCAAATCTGGACTATCTACAAAATAAAAAAATTGCTTTGTGCACACAGCATTAACAACTGCTTTTACTTTTACCAACACAAGCAAGATAAACTCATGAAAACAAACCTATTATTAGTAGTAATTATCTCAACTTTATATGACATGACAACACATGCTTATAACAAATATTTGTATATTTATAATACAAGGCATAAATTAAATCTCAAAATTTCAAACTTATACAAAAATGTAAACATAACTTTATTACAAAGGGACAGAATTTAATGGACATAACTTTTAATGATGTCCTGGTTGTAAAAACTACTACTGAAAATGAAACCATTATATTTAAAATACACAAAATCATTCAGGACCAAGACTGTTTAAATATACAGAGAAAAATATCCAACATGTTACAATCAGTTGTTTAAAAAAAAATATAATCATCAATCCATTATTATCAACAAAAAAATGAGCCTACCATTTATTTCAAAATAAATCCCAATTTAAAAGATTTTTAGTACATTAATACTGAAAACTTGTAAAATAATATAAATAGTTTATTATTGATTCAATTTCTCCTCACCTCCATTACAAATTAAAAATAAAAGGTATTCATTATTTTACTGATAAAATATTAAAAACACCTCTGCTTGACAAATACCAGAATGCGAAGACCAGCATCAAATAAAACTAAGCAACAGCATTTAAGCTATTTGAGAATTCAGAATTTAGGTACAAGTATTTTATTTTGGAAATCAATGTGCAAAGAATAACTCACAAGCAAGTAACAAAATGTTAAATCCTAAACCTTTACCCAGTCTAATATGAAAGTCTTCACAAGCATACATCAGTACATCCTTTTGATAAAAATTCATCCATCCATACATAGGTGACAAACAGAATTTTGTTTGTAAAATCACAAATCCACATTAGAAATACAATATTGACATATAAAAATAGCTTTATCTCTTATTTGTTGAAGTTAGCTACTTTTATTTTTAATGTACATATTTGTTTTTTAAACTTTAACCGTTTCCCTACCTATGTAAAGGATTACAATTTAATTCATTAAATAGTGCCTAGACTCAAAATCAAAATGTATAATACAGTTTTGAGTATGATTTCTTTTTTCATGAGCCAATTATTAAAAAGTTATTCATTATTTAAAAAAAGATTAAATTAAAATAAACAAAGCAAATAATCGTAGGTGCATGGTAAATATTACTTTTTTTTGTAAAAATTTGTTTGTAAAGCAGTGAAAAAATTTTGGTGAGAGATTTATCCACTGAAGATTTCCTCACGTGGTTCTAATTTTTCCAGGAACATAATTTTTATCTATTATAGGCTCCTGTAGAAACATGTGTAAGCATTTTTCATTTTGTGCTAGTGGATGCCCAGCCACTCTGAAAATAAACAAGAAGTACTTCTTAACATTACCATTTCTTAAGTAGCTAATTTAATTAGTGTATTTAAAGTGGATTGTAAAACATTTTGAAGTGGTAAAAATATGATTTAATTTGGGACCAGGACATGACCCCCACCCCCATCCTCCTAGCTCAAGAATCGCTAAACCTAACCCCAAACTCCAACCACATGAATAAAGCTAACCCTAAACCAAACCCCAACTCTACGTCTGTATCTTACCCTAATCTTAACCTTAAGTAAAAGCCCAAAGCCAACCCTAACACTACCCCTAACCTAAACCCTAGCAGAAATGTACCTTAAGCTATGGAGGGGGTAATGTCGTACGGGGGGGGGGGGGGGTGTCTAGTTGTCACAATTATTGATGTAAATAATATGAAGTCTATTTTATTGAAACATGTCAAGGTAATAACTTACTACTAGTTAATACAACAATTAAAGAAAGTAAAATAAAAAAAATTTGGGTTGGCATTTAAGTAAGTACCAACTCACACTTACTTATTAATAAACTGCTCCAGTCCTTTCCTTCTTTCTTCTATAAATTCATCTTCAAAAATGCCATCATCTCCACGAAAGGGTAATTGTCGCTTCAGGGCTTTCCCAGGCAAAGGTGGTACAACAATCTTAAACATTAAAATGAATTTTTTATATGCAAGTAATGCAAGAGCAAATATAATGAGATTCACTCTAAAAAAATTATGCTAACCCCCTTGTGAATGAAATCTTTAATTCCTCTCAGCTGATCTTAATATATCATTTTATTTTAGACTTATTACTTTTAATAAGTGATAATTTGATATTAAGTAAATTAGCTTTGTTTTTTTTTAATGAACATGGGGGAAAATGTCATTAACATGACATTTTCTTAACTCAACAACTTAGTGTTGAATAAAATAAAGTAGCTTTAGCAAATTAATTGTTTATTGTGTAGTTTTATTAGTCTTTTTTTTTTTACAAAGAACATTTCTACCATAATTCATTTTTGTAAAAAAAACATAATTTAGCAAAAATTGTTAATGAAAAATATTTTAAAATGGTGAGAAACACTTGCATTATTTGCAATTTTTTAAGTTTACATAATTTTCAAAACATTATATTTCAAGTAAAAAAAAAAAGGCAAGGAAGAAAAAACAACAACAGCTAAGATCTAAAATAGGTGATGAACTAAAAGTATGACTGATTTTGAAAAGTTCATAATTTCTTCTGATCTTGTGAAAAACAAGTAGGTCATCTAGCAGTGTTTTCAGTTATGTTTAGCTCTAATGAAAAATAAATTGTTAATTATACTATCAAATAAAATTACAATTAAAAGTAGATAATATAGGCAAAATCATGTAGAAGTTGAGTCTCTCATAATTCAAATGTGTAACAAAAAAAAACAGTTTAAGTAGAACCATATTAAAGTTAGAGCAGTCTCCCCTAAACCTGAAATCGATAAGTGACATTTAATCTTAACGCTACCTACAATACTAACCCTAGATGATAAAGTGTTCCTTTGCAATTAATAATAAATATGGATATGGCTCACTGCTAATGTAAATAACTGCTAATGTAAATATTCAGATAGTTTAATAAAGAATAAACTTAAACAGGTGAAAATAATACAGAAATAAATATTGGCATACTTTACTGTCTCTTTCCAATTCATTTCTCAGCCATTCAAAATCACTGTATCGTCTGCGAACACTTGATTCTTTAAGTTTAAATACTGGTAAATTTGTCTAGACAGATAAATTAAAAATAACAGTATTGAATATAAATAATACAAGGATTACCATTTACAAGAAACAATATTTAATAAAATCAAATTACACTTTTTTTTTTAATTTGGCTTGTAGGGCATAGAAATAAATAAGAGATTCAGTGACAATAGCAAAGTTTTCAAAAATTGTAGTAAGGACCTCCATATACAGTTGAAGCTGTGCGCTGACCCCAAGCTATTTAATGGGGGGGGGGGGGGGGGGGGGGTTGAGGTTATTTCCGCTCTGCTGGCTGCAGCCAGACATTAACATAAGATGAATCTTCTGCTTGTCTGTGGCAAAGAACAGCAGTAGTTGCTAAAGTAGATAAGAAGTTTTTGAGGTTTTGTGAGGGTGGGGTGCCAAATAGGGCCTAATACCATATGGTGCCATATGCTAGCTTTGCACGATTTTGATGTAAATACTAGATTTTGGAAGATTTCTAGATAGCAAATAGATCTATAGGCCCTAATTAAAATACACAGGTGCTCAAGTTTTGGTTCCAGATCTAGTTCTAGGTCCACCAGTCCAACAACAACAAAAAGTGATCACCACTCAATAACATACTTCAGAAAACCAGGAGGAATGGCAGTGATGTTAATTTGTTAGTAGATCTAGATTATTCTAGGCCTAGCTAGATGATTTATTTTGATTAGAACCTAGAGTAAAGTGCCGCAAGCGATCACATAAAGCAAGAAAAATCCAAACTCCAGATTTTCATTATACGCTATATTGTAACTGTTTCGCACTAATAGTTTCAGGGCTACATATAGCCCATCCGAGATTTTTCTTTACTGGTTGCTTAGAAATGAATGTTTGTATGTAGAGATACAAACTAGATCTAGAAAAAGTAGATGATTAAAAATAATTTTAAACAGACAATTTAGAAAATATAGATTCTAGACTTAGATTCAAATATAGAGTATTAAGCTTAGATCTAGATCTAGTCATCTAGATCTTGACTAGTCTAGTTCAAGTCGCAGTGAGGGTAATACACCCAAATCGTTACCCAGTTGTGGTTACCCCAATTTCTGCTCTAAGATTGCTTAAGTAGCCTGAACTATAGTATTTACAGGGTCCTACACATGTTATAGTTGACCTAGTTATAAAATCTTTAATTGGTTGGGGAGACGTGACTCATGTACGATATCATACCTTTAAATTTAAAAAAATTTAAAACTCATCTTCCAGAAGGAGAAAACAAAAGAATATGACCTGGATGTATTTAGAAATTTACATGCAATAAAGCAAATAGTGGTTGACTTAGTATAATAATTGTTCGGATGCTCTGAGCTAAAAACAGGAGGATAGCAGCAGCTGGCAGCTATGTTCGTTGACTGTTTGCTGCACTTTACTCTAGAATCTAGATCTAGAACAGTGTAGTAAAAGTAGAAATTAGTAAAAGCAAGTTGGGTCAAATAGGATACGCAATGGAGAGAAACTACGACTTGCCTTCGCGCGATGTTTTCGATGGTACTGCGCATGTGTGTGTTTACAACCGCAGAACCCTAACACCAACCCTAATCCTTTCCCTAACCCTATTCCTAACTCTAGCCCTAATCCTAACCCTATCCCTAACCCTCATTCTAGCCCTAACCCTAGCCATAGGTCACTGCGCATGCGCAGATCTATCTTTTGCCAACTAAGTGGAGACGTTGGGGAGAAAAATCTTCTTCCGAGTAGTCACTTCGTTTTAAATTTTGTTGTTAGTCCTAACCCTAACTCATAGCTGCCAGTAGCAGTTATGAGTTAGGGTTAGATCTAGATCTAGGACTTAGGACTAACAAAAAAAATTTGTGCCACCAGACCTACACTACTCTACTCTAGAATCTGGATTCTAAATCACGTAAATCTAATTCTAACCGAATCTAGAGAAATCTAGATCTAGATTCTTCTAACCCTAATTGCCCTAATTCAGTATTTGTGACCATACTGAGTGATGTGACCATACTGATTTAAAATCTAGATCTAGATCTAATCCTGAAATTATATTTATCTAGTTTCTAGATAGGCTATACAACTGATGTGTTGATAGTGTCAGTTGATGTGTAACTTTATTCTTAAATCTTGATGTGATGTTGAAGACATGAAACATGTCACTATGTGACTATTCATTGTCACATGAAAATGAAATTCATGAATGATGACTTCTTTTTTTTACGCGACACACGTACCTTCATTCGCACTTCATAATCTGTGTAACGCTTTTTGGCCACACCATGAGTTTGTGGGTCTGAAACATCAATTTCTAAAAAATTTGCTGGAGGAGAATAGGCATCTTCAAGAGTTTGTTTCTTTGAGGAGATCCTCGCAGTAGCCGTAGGGGTGGTCATGTTTTATTATACACTTCAACAAACGGAAAAACAACCCCTACACAAAATATGATGAGTCACACATTTGTGAGTTGCAATACTGATGACGTATACCGCTTAAAAGATAAGGGAATCAACTCAATATTTGGTTGTAATTTTACCGGCCCCATTCAAACATTTTTTGAATGTGTTATATTAACAATCTTGATCTTAGAATTTAAATTTTATATTATTACTCCGGGTTAGTGGTCGTGGTCATATTATTTAACACAAAACTATGACAGTCTGGACTTTCCCCTATCCCACGTAATGTTATTATATAATTATAGCTTACAACATTGCCAGCAGTGTTTCTTTCAACTTTTTTTTCCACCGATTTGGGGGGGGGGGGGGGGTAGGGGCAGGACACTGGTAAAAGTATAGATCTATATTTTTCTAGATAAACTGTTTCGTTCGCGGGGGGTGGGGTTAGCTCCACCCCCCCCCCCCCCGAAGAGATGTCCGAAAGAAACAAGTCTCCTGTCCCCATCACCAGTGTTTCTTCCAGACTTTTTTCTCCGGGGGTGCACTTGAAATTTTCGTTGGGGGGGAGGGGAGGGGCGGATTACAATTTCCAGGGGGGGGGGGGCGGACACAGTCAAAAGTATATATTTTCTATATAAATTCCATTCAGTGGGCGGTAGACTTTCTTCGGGGGGGGGGGGGGGGGGTGGCGGTGCCCCGAAGAGATGCCTGGAAGAAACTCTGCCCACCACCACACCACCCCTCATAGACCTATTACTTATTAGCATTAGTAGTAGTAAATAACTAGTAGGCTTAGCCTATTTAAATATAGTCTAGAGAGCCACCCATCCCTTATAAAAATATTTGTCTACTATTTTTAGATTGAGAGAATCACATCCTTTTGAAGAAAATAGCCTCGCAAAGTATTTGTTTTTTGGCAAAAATGAGAATTTTAAAAAGCAAACGCTTTGTTTTAGTTTTTTTTTTTTTTGTATTATAATATAGGTCTAGCCCGTGCGGCGTCAAAACGCCCAATGACAAAACGGCCCCGTCAAAATGACACCGACAAAATGGCCCCGTCAAAGGGCCAGCGTCATTTAAGGGACATTATCACTCTCCCAATATAGACATGTATAGCCTACAGATTTAATTGTAATTTTCAAATTCAACGGCATATTAATAATATTATGTTTCAAGCATGAAGAAAGTTTGTAAAAGCGGAGTGCAAACTAAATTTAATAGTAATAGATGGAGTATTTTGAATAACTGCTTACAGCATATTTATTTTTCAGCAAAATTAGGCCAATGTTTCATTTAAATTATTGTTCATATTACATTTCTGTATTAGCTACTGCTTTTAGTGTTCTTTAAATATTATTTTTTTAACATAACAATAAGGTATGAGTTAGATCAGTGTATTGCTCACACGCGGGTCTTTACTGATAAAAGCAAAAACAATATTCACAGTTTTACCTGTTTCATTTAAAAAACTATAATAAAAAAAACAAGTGTAGTTTTTTTTCCTGTCGCTGAAGTGTGGTCATTCATCATTGGGAGGCAGTTTTACTCATATCCACAAAAGAGGTTTGGTATTGGAGGTTTGAACTGCGTGTGGTTGTTGTGTTTGACAAAATGGTTACGTTTATGCCAATAGTGATCATACGATTCATTTGTCTGGAGTCAATATGTCGGAGTCATTTTGTCGGGAGCCCATTTGTCGGGAGCTCTTTAAGCCAATATGTCGGAGTCATTTTGTTGGGAGTCCATTTGTCGTGAGCCCTTATGTCGGGAGCCAATATGTCGGGAGCATATACATGTCGCGAGTCAATATGACGGGAGCCAATATGTCGAGGCTATTGTGACGGGGCTGTTTTGTCCCGGGCCGTTTTGACGGTGCACTGGTCTAGCCTACCCCTCAATTTGGTGGTCATCCATTTATGACGTCCAGAAAAATTTCGAATTTTCGATTCTCCACCGCCCACACGCATCCACTTTCGACGCTAAAATGTGTACGAGATTTCATGAGCAACGTCTGCTTTTATTTTGAAGAATGTAAGCTAGTTTTATTATCTTATTTTCATTGCATTATTATTATAAAAGTTTTCAAATGTTTTTTTTTCCTTTTTAGTAATTTGTTCTTAGTGAAGTAAAAAACCACTTACGACTAAAAAAAATTTGCTTAAAAACCCGATCAGAAAAAAAAAACGTTTTGTTATAAATTGCAATGATAACTTATTAATTTGATCTGTGTTGACCTAGCTGAGCAAAATTTTTTAGCAAAATCTTTTTTTTTAATTGCAATAATTTTTAGGCGGTGGTGATGGTAGGTTCAGGTGTGACATCACGTTAGATGATGATGTTTCTGGCTTTTTGTGACGCTGTGTGACGATATGCAGATCGTTTAAAACAGAATGTCGTCGTTTATGGATGACCTGTAGTATACACAGAAGAACCAAAATGGTTGAGATGCAGTTTATATTATAATACACACAAGACTTGCAACAACATTCTGACATACTCGATTTTACAACCTTTATTAATTACAGTAAGTTGAGTAAGAATAATAAATTTTAATAATTTTATGTGCTCACTCCCCGGCCTCTCAAAGCTCAGACCGTCTAAAATTTATAAAATAAAATGTACACGCAAAAAAGCGAGTTCTATAACAGCAACAGTAGGCCCTAATTAATTATCATTCCTTTTTACAGCAATCACATTGATAGAAAAAAAAACAATTTATTAGTCTAACTTTCATTATTATTATCTACATTTCAACCTGGTTATCTTGTTTGCCAAATAACTTTCGTTAACTAGACTAGATCTAGATTCAACTAAGTAACAAAAATTAATGAAAATAGTTTCAAAATAGGCCTAATAATAGACTCGGTACAGTACTGTAAGCTGTAACTTGTAAGTGGAGTTTCTCACCGTTTCTCTTCTCTGTTTTCTCCCATCTTATTAAGGCCCTTGTAGCAAGAGGTTGTCCATAAAGTATAAAGGCATAAAGTAAACACATTTTAAAAAGTGATTTTATAAACTTGGTTGGATAAATTAAGCAGATGAGAAAAGCATTCTACAAATTCTACAACCAATGTAAATGTTCCTACACACTACACTCAGTACACAGTACACTGTATTATTCAGCAGCAAGCTTTGTGTGCTAAATATTAATATATGCCAATATAATTCAATATATGGACATTAGCAGTCTACTGAATCCTGTGGTGAAGATGGTGAATTTAATACGGTCACATGGGCTCAATCATAGATAATTCAGAGACATGTTGAAAGAATAAGATTATAAACACAGAATAGCAAGATTCACCCATATAACACAGCAGTAAGATGAAGTTGTGAGAAAGTTCTGAGCAGAATATTTAAGTTAAGAAAGGAAGTATGTGACTTCCTGGAAAGTAATGGAGTGGCGAGCCACAGCCTTTAATGCTTGATGAATAGATGAAATAGAAATTGGTCTCTGCTGCAGACATAACTAGTCATTTAAATTTTGAACTTAAACTACAAGAGAGGGAAATCTAGTTTCTGATCAATTACACCCACCTTAAGGCCATATGTTTTTGGAACAAGGACAGACGAACAACTTGACGAACTTTCAGCTGTGAAAGGTCTTCATGGCTGAAGCAAGAGCTCAGTGCCCCAGGTCATTTGCATGCGAGATCATCAAAGACCTCCAGCCGCAGTTTCGTTAGCGGTTTTCTGACTTGGATTCAAAGACAAAAGAAGTATGACTGTTTCAAAACCCATTTGAAGAAAATCTGTATAGATTTCTATATAAATTATAATCCTTTGGGCCGGGGGGGGGGGGGGGGGGGAATAGGGGCTCTGCCAACCCGAAAAGATGCCTGGAAGAAACTCTGGCCCCCGAACTGATATTTGATAGTTAATAAGGCCCTCGGGCTGAAAAGTTTGGAGACCCCTGATCTAGACTCTTGAAGATATTGCCCTGGCATATATGCAAAGTGCAGTTGAATGCAGTCAGGACACCCAATTAACACATCCTGGGTGCTAAGGTAGCTTCTGACGAACTAAAGATGTCAAACCACACCCTACTGTCTGTGCGACCCCCCCCCCCCTCCCAAATTCAATAGGATGAACGGTGCAGTAATGACTAAAGGACACTTAAACAAGTAGACATAATTTCACTTACATATTTAGAGAGAGAGATTCTGTTCTTGGAGTGACAATTTTCACTGAAACACACATTTTAACAGGTTTTCTGTGATAAAATGTGTAATTAATTCCCAACTCTAATGCTAATACTTAAATTGATATGAAAATGTGGTTAAAACATTGAGTACAAATCAATTTTGATTATTGATACAGATCGTCTAAAGTTGGTTAGTTAGTGCTCAAGATCTCCTGGACCTTTCACACTTTACTAATGTCCTCCATTGCACTTTTGGAGCAGATGTGTTCTGCATCTCTTAATTACATCTTAAAATATTTTTTCTCTTTTTATAATTTTCTTATAATAATTTGAAGTTTTTATTTATTGGCATGTATTCACCCTTCCCTATTTTGATCAATTGAATGTAATTTAAGCTTTTTGCATGGTTTTATATTCATTATATTTATACACATTTCAAAGCATACTATTTAATTACTGGTGTTCTGTTTTATTTGATTAGGAACCAAGTTAATTTTTTCATATGTAATGATTAACTTCTCAAAGCTATTAGAAGACCCTTTTTTTTTTCAAAATCATTTTAAATTTTGACAGTGTTGATTTTAATTACTTATGTAGTAAGTAATATAATTAAATGGGAATAGAACTAAAAATGTATTTGAAATCCAAGCAAAAATAAAATAATTGTACCTTGTACATTATCTTCTCCAGGTCTTAAGTACAAATTCCAACAACTGTTTAATATGTAGCCAGATATTTGAAAAGAGGATTATTTCTTTTATAGGAGAAGGATTTAAAAATGAAAGTTAAAACATTTATCAACACGATTTAAATTAAAAAAAAAAAAAGTTATTAGTGTTAGTTGAATTATTACATTAATAACTAACTAAAAAGATGGAAGCAGATCGCAGAGCAGATAACTCTGGTACTACCATTACTAACCAGACCAGGAGAAAAAGTTCACAGAAAGAAAAAATTCAGCAGGGTATGTATTTGAGTTTAGTTCATAGCCATTCAAAGCTTGAAATAAAAGACTTTCAAAGTCACACCTCAAGAATAATGTGGTATTGAATTTTGCTAAACTAAGGAGTTTAAAAAAAAAACCAAACAGTGTAATATATTTTTAAGTAGCTAGAATTGATTTGGCATGTTATTCAGTGATTATTTTTCATTTAAATTTCTTTGCTTTTTTAATTTTATGCACGAATTAGAGAGCAGTGCTTTTTGAAAAAGGGTACAGTGGTTGCAAAAACTTCATAATCAAGAGCTTAACATCAAATTTTAATTATTTTAAGCTAAATTTCTTTTAGGTATATTTTTGTTCCCCACATAATCACAATTTGTATCTTTACTAATGAAGCTTATGTGTAATACATCTTTAATAAATGGCTGTTGCAAGGAGACCAAATGTATTATCAATGAACAATGATTTGCAACCTTGTAGATATTATAAAAACAGTGTTTTAAACCACTCTTTTTTCTTAACTACTACACTGATCAAACATCCTTTTTTAACATCATATTTTAAAGATATTTCCAAGTTTTTAACACTGATATATTTTAATCATGGAACGGAAGTGTATAAAAATTGTGTTGATAAATTCTGGATAGTTGGTATTGAAAAATTTCAACACATGTGATGTTGTAAAGATTAATAACTGTTTTTAAATTAATGGCTATTTAAATATATTTAGGCAGGAAAGCTTCAGTTAATCGTCCAGTCAAAGAGCACACTTTCTTGACAGACGTAGCAGACGTGAGAACTATGGAACATGGTCTTTTGCAACTTTTGAATGACTTTCACTCAGGAAAACTCCAAGCATTTGGTAAAGAATACAATTAAAACTCTGAAATTTATTTAAAAAAAATAATTGTTGTCTTTTTTTTAAATGTTCATTTTTAATCAGTGTATCCTTTTATTTTATAAGTATGAAATTACTTATGGCAACAGTTTAAATGTCAATAATACCTTAAATTCTTGCTTTAGTACAAACAATATATACCAATATTTAACACATTTAATTTAACTTCACAGAAAATTGAATGCAGATTTTTAAAAAATATTTTAAAATATGTCACTTTTAATGGCTAAACAGTTCATTTTGGTGGTCTTTTTTTTTATTATCTCAAATAACATGGATGTTGAGATAGGTATAGCAGTTTTAGATCTACGACTTGCACTGTGTATGATGTTGGTAGTTAATGTTTTAGACCTACATCTAGCATGATGTATGATGTAGATAGCTAATGTTTTAGACCTACATCTAGCATGATGTATGATGTAGACAGCTAATGTTTTAGACCTACATCTAGCATGATGTATGATGTAGAAAGCTAATGTTTTAGACCTACATCTAGCATGATGTATCATGTAGATAGCTAATGTTTTAGACCTACACCTAGCATGATGTATGATGTAGATAGCTAATGTTTTAAACCTCCTCCAGGTAATACTGCTACCTTTAACAAGATGGACGCCATACGAGTCCAGCAAGAGCAGCTAGCCAAGACACATTTTGAAATGGATCTGATCCCAAGGTCGGCAACTAACAGGTAAAAAATATTTATTTAGTACCTTAAGGGGTCATCCATTTATTTATTCTAAGTCCACACGGACTGTTTTACATTTTAAAACAAACATAAAACTTGTATGCTGCATGTAGAAAGAGAAGCTAAGACGACAGTTCCTGTATTAAAAAACCCCTAGCCGTATATTGGTAGTAAGTTTTGGAGGTTCACATGGGGGGGGGGGGGGGGGGGGGTTTGTCAAAAGTGTATGCGTGTGGATGGGGGGGGGGGGGTCTAAAATCTGAAATTTTTGTAAACGTCATAAATGGATGACCCCTAACCATTCCTGTAAATTAAAAACTAGGTTACAAATTTTGATTCAAGATAAAAAAACAACTCTTAAATCATTTGGTAAATCAAAAACCTTTGTTATTATATGAGCTGAAACCTCAGTATAATATTATAGTTTCATTTACATGCTTGATGTCAATTAGACTAAGCACAGAGGAGTCACGCAAAGAAAACAATGAAAAAATGGAGGAGTTGGTTGCTCAAGTAAGTTGTTTTCATATTTTTGATTGCAGTGTGTTTATAACATTTTTCTAGTTACCCTTTCAGAGTGGGTAGTATAAAGGGCAGATGAAGTACAGTTCATCTTAAGGCCCATATAAATTACTTTGACAAAGAAGTTTTTAATATTTATTTTTGTAAACGGTATGATTTTTTAAAATAATAAAATATTAAAATTTTGAAAATAAAATACATGCTTAATTTTTTTTCCAGCTACACAAGTTAAGTGTTTCAGTGTATCCTTTGCATTAAGTAAATAATGAGTTTGTTTTATTCACTACCTTGATATCCAGAGGTCTGATATAAGTTGTGTCCTTCCACCTTTTTCCCACGTTTTCTTTAACTTGCTTTCGTGTCTGTTTGTTTGTTTGTTTGTTTGGTTCTCCAATCAAATCTTGCGATCGAAATTTCGGGCACTTCCCAGTTAGCTAGCGCGCTGAAATTTTCAGGGAAGCTTTTTTTCCGATGACAATAGAATATTCAATTGTTATTATTACTAAATTGACCCATGGAAACATTTTATTGATCATTTTACACCCCTATATACTTGTACAAAAAACGTGGGAAAAAGGGACATAACCCAGTAATTGTAATTTGATGAAAACAAGGTTCGGTACTCTCCCTCTTTTGGCTTACTGAGTGGTGGTCACGCGGTGTTTGTGTACAAACCTATGCAAATTGGAAAAGGCACGTGTTTTTTACGAGTTGTCTTCGTTTACCCAAAAAAAAAAGTGAATGCAAGAAGATAAAATCGATAGCAAGATTTGAATGCAAACAAACAGACAAAGACTAAAAGTAGAAAATAATTATCATTAAAAAAGTTTTTAAAAAAACACGTTTTCTGATTGAACTAAAAGTAGAAAATAAATACTATACATCACAATAATGCAAGCGATCACTCTACTATAAGCGATGAAAAACGTGGGGCGCCGTGATTTTCTTACAGTTTCTAATACTGTTGACTCTCTACAAGCTCCCTAATAAAAGTCAATAGTATTATCTAATCAATAGTAATATAACTTTTACATCTTATATTAACAATGACCGATAAAAAACTTTTACTTCGGCGCCCCACGTTTTTCAATGCTTATAGTAGAGTGATCGCTTGCATTATAGTGATGTATAGTATTTATTTTCTACTTTTTAGTTCAATCAGAAAACGTGGGTTTTTAAAAACTTTTTTAATGATAATTATTTTCTTTAAGAATAGTCCTAATTGTGTAAGAATAGTCCTATAATTTCCATAAAAATAGGTCTATATTTTCAATAAAAATTTCCCCAAGAATAGTCCAGTAATTTCCATAAGAATACACCTATAATTTTTGGAAGAATAGTCCTAATTTTAAAAGTGCTTAAAATTGCAAAATAACATTCTTTTGGAGATGAAAAAAAAATTCCTTAATAAATTTTCAGACAAACTCTTCAGACAGATAGGAAAAATGAATTTCAAGAAGAGTAATTTATCATGCTTTTCCAATTACAAGGATTCCTTTTTAAAAATTTAAATGTTGTCAATAATCTATTTTAAAAATTCTGATTATAGATCTGTATTTTATAATATCATTTAGCTTTATTTTTTTATTTGAATTTTATTTGCATGTCCTGGTTTAAAAAATTATAAAGTTTGTATTTACTAATTAAACATTTTTAAAAAATAAGAATTATCTATCATATAAAAAATGTAGAATAATTTAATCAGTAGGAAGGGTATTTATGAAACTTCTAATGATATCCTGTCATTGGAGTGAATGAAATTAAAATATTCCAGATCAAAGGTTGTGGGGTTTTTTTGTACTCAAATACATAGGCCAGCAGTTTGATTTATAGGTGCATTTTATTTAAATAATTTGTACAGGTTTTTATTTTATTTTAATAAGGACTAATATAAAAAATTAACACAATTTATCCAATTTATTTTACTTGACATAATCGTTGTAAAAATATTTATTAGTAAATATTTCTAGTCTTTCTTTCTCTGCTACTGTCTCTTTAATAAACAATGAAATTTTGGCTTAAGATCTGTACCTCTGGTAAGGTTTTAAGGTAAATTATCTAAAAAGCCTGAAAATAATAAAATACTTATTAAAAACTTTTTATTCAATATTTGAACATAAATATTTAAGTTTTATCTCATGTGATTAAATGAAGCAGTTATAAGTTTTACTATTTTTTAAGTTAAAAAATAAATGTGTTACTGATAATCCTTATTATAATAAAACACAATCCTATCTTCAATATTGTGATAGAAAACAATTTTTATTTTTTCATCCCCCTCCCCCATGTAACAATAAATAATAAATACCATGCAAATAATACTAATAATTCTATTATAACAAGCACATATTTTCATGTGTGTGTTTTAAAAAGAAAATCCTAGATTTTCTTGTCTTATGTGTGTATCTGATTCTGTGCGCTTTAGGTTTAACCGTATGTGCTCCTTGTCCTGTGTGTGTGCTAGAACTAGGTTTAAACCTTGTTTTGCCTGGTCCTGTGTTAGGTTTAAACCTTGGTTTACTAGGTCTTGTGTGAGCTAGGTTTAAACCTAGGTGCTCCTGACACTGTATGTGTGCTAGGTTTAAACCTTGGTGTGCCATTGTATTGACACCATTGTGTTTGTGTGTGTGCTAGGTTTAATCCTTGGTGTGCCTTTGTGTTGACACCATTGTGTTTGTGTGTGCTAATTCTCACCACTGTTCCTGTGTTTCACATGACCAACTTTTAAGTATTAAAAAATGTACCTGTATTGGGAAAGGCTGGGACTTTCCCCTTGTATACACCTCTGATTGTACATTTGTAATTGCAAGTTTTATAATTTTTACTTTGGTTTTATTTCCACTCGTGGTACTTCCCTTGTTAATTACATCTAGCTTTTAATGCAATGATTGAAATGAAACTTAAAATGCACTTAAAAAGCTTTTTTTAGCCACATTTTACTGCTTTTACACATGAAAATAAATCACTATTTTTTATAGTGGAATTTTTAATGTCCAATTTATTTGTTTAATGTTACTGTAGTTGTTTATGTTATGGTGCTAGTATTTTATTTAATCCTTTTAAATTTTTGTTTTTATTCCCGTTTATCCAGCAAGCAATTTTATTTGCTGGAAGTTTTTATTTTCAGCATTCTATTATTTCAGTATTTTATGTTAATCCTTTTAAAAATTAAAAAAAAAAAAAATATAAAATATAAACTAAACTGACCATTTTCAAATGTTTACAATTTTTATTTTAAAACAATTTGTAAATGTAAGTTTTCTCATACTTTATATATTAAAAAAATCTTCAAAATGTAGATAGTTTTAGTTTGGCCTAAGTTTTTGAGCAGCATATTGCCCCTAGTAATCCTCATCACTATTTAACAATCCTCTCATTGTACATCTGAGTCCAGTTTTAACAATCCTTTCATTGTACATCTGAGTCCAGTTTTAACAATCCTTTCAGTGTACATCGGAGTCAAGTTTGAACACATTGAATATACTCTGGCAGCTGATACAAAATTGTGTCTGTTACATGGATTTAGTTTAGTCAACACCTAGAAATTTTATTCGTGTTTCAAGCTCTAGTCTTGCTTTTGCTGATGGCTTTACAACAAATAGTAACAAGTCTTCTGTTATATTTATTTTCAGTTTAATATTCTACAAAATTCTTACAATTAAAATGTGTTGTTGATGTAAACTAAAAATTGTCATAGCTTTAAAATTTCGTCAGCAATTTATGCTCACACTTAGTTCATTCCACCTGTATGTACACTTTTGCCATCCATGTATTTTAGCTGTACTATTTATTTTAGCTGTTTTATGAGTCTGTATTTTAATAAAAAACGTTCTGTGAATTTTGTGGACAGTGTTGTCTATCAAGTGACAATGAACTCTTAACACACCATTACATAGATGTTATGGCTACATTCTATTATCAGCATAATTTTTCCATTTGTTATATTTATAATTGTTGTTCCTCAAATTCTTGTAATGAAAAAATCCACTTTAATGATCTAACAAAACAAGTGTATTGTATAGTTATTTTTGTACAATTTGTGGATTAGAATAAAGTATGTAATGATTTTACTTTTACTTGTTGAATGAAGATGAAGGGATGGTTGCAATTTATACCTTATTATCTTCACATATCATTCAGTTTTATTTTTATTAGATATGATTTGTTCTTGTAAAATAAATTTTTGTTTGTTTGGTTTCACTGTTACATTTTTAGTTCTTCAAACAAATTTAGTTTTCATTGGTAAATTTTTAGCATGAATATTTAGTTCAATATTTTATAGCTTGAAATCATTTCAAAAAAAAAAAGTTTAATATTTGCCAGGCATTCAGATAACATAATAAAAATGGCTTTAAAAATGCAGTGAGATTAGTCCATTTCTGTGTGAATGCTAACTTGTATGCAAATAAGTCTATCTCATCAGTTTGGTTCTATGATAAATCAATACAAGCATAATACACAAATACTCTGTAAAGAAATCAGAGGAGGTGATATATGATTGTTGATTTTTTGCATAATAATTTTGTTTTAAGTAACTAACATTGCCATTCATTTTAGTCTTGCCACTACTTTGGTATCTCAAACCAAATGTGAACAGTAAATGTATAGAGGCAATTTATACCTTGCTACTGGAAAGTCAATTGATGGGACTAGATTCTTATAGGAATAACTTTTATCTTAAAACAACACCACTTGTTAGATTGTCATATCTAAAGCTGTGAATAGATAACTCCTCAAATATTAAGTAAGGCAAGTATTTATCTGGACAAGATTATCTGCTCTGGTATGTGATCAGTAATCATTGGTAGTGCTGTAGTACATGTCTAGTGTTGAAGTTTTAGAGACAACAACCTGAATAGTTTCATTCACTCGTAGACTTTAACATTTTCTTTTGAATTTATTTCAATAGAAATAATTTCCAGTTACAGTAGTTAAAACGTTGAACATCACAGGCAATTATTTACATAACAATATAGACATACTGATCAAGAAAAAAAAGAAAATAACCAACTTGACATTTTGAAGATGAGAAATGGAGTAAAAAATATTTACAAAAAATGGGGTTCATTAGGTAATGCATTTTTGTAACAGGATCAGAACAATATGAAAATTAAACAAAATATCTACTTGTTAAATAAGTATGAAGTATGACAGAAAGCTCAATTTATAGTGCACCAAAAGAAGGAGAAATAACACAGTTTCTTATATAAAATATAGAAAATCCCACAACAAAGTTTACACAATAATGGACAGTTACTCTATTTTCTACAATTTCTAGTATCAATGCAGTTTTTATAATGCCAACAAAATGAAAATGAAGTAGTCTATATATATTAGCTAGATGTCTTGAAAATTGCACACAATACAATTGATGGAGTGAAAAATAGAAACAAGTATTTAAACTATAAATAACTTCATCAAAACACGGACGACATGCATTTCTAACAAGATAAAAGTGGCATTTTCTAATGAACTTTTCACAATTAATTTAGTGTACATTAAGATGATACTTGTGTCACTAGTACAATTTATTGTGACGTTAAGCTAAGTTAGTCCAGACAAAAATCTGATAAGTCTTGAACTCAACAATTCAGTTTGTAACATGAGTAGTCCTGGTACATTACAAACGCCATGCATAATTTGTAGACATTGTTTATACAGTCTCTGTATTACATATATGATATGGTGTTGGTGTCTAATGATGGTATGGTAAGGGTATGGTATGAAATATGATGTAGCATATATTATGTGGTTTTGATCATTAAATTGATGTTAATTTTCATTACAATGATGGTTATGGGAAGGGGGTTTGACAGTTAAAACTGTACACGTATGACTCACAACGATACTAAATATATAGTATTTTTATTATGTATGGCCAAGGCTCAAGGCCAAAAGCCAGTTGTCACATGGGAACTGAAATGACATACAATGTTTATATAAATCATTGAACCATACAGCACAACATACAATGCTTAAAATCATCACTGAACCATTTACATGTTAGAATAATTGAAAATCAGGACACAAAGTTTTAATCAAACACAAGGATGAAACAGTTCCAGTGAGTGTTTTTCATAAATGTGGGTGTATACCTGTTAATACTCTACAGATGGACTCAAGCCAAATGCCATGAGGGAAATACTGTGGTTAAAGATGCTATTTTAGAAGAGACAATATGAAATGCATGGATGGTAACATCATAACCATGGATGATGTAGGCATAAAAACTTCAAATACTGCAGATGTTTGGCAGTGGAGAAAAATAATGAAAAACAAATAATATCAAACGTCACATGAAAATTCTTCGGACTGAATTTAAAAATGAAAATTAAAAAATAGGTACGGCTGCATGTTCAAATTTTCTTGGTGGTTAAAGTTGAATGAAGGTGCATAATGACACAGAATTGGTTGAAAGAAAACTATAGGTAGAAGGTAATAGCAGATAATTATTTAAAAAAAAACTATAATGAGTGGAGAAAATCCGTGATACCCTTGTCTAAATGTTCTAAGTAAAATTGTAAAGAAACAAATTTTAAAGGTGTTGGCCTGCCAGTAGATTGGAGAAAAAGTTTTTCTATAACATCAGAAGTAATTAAAATGATTCATTTTGATTGTTTTTTAAATGAAATTAAACTGTAACCACAATGGATAAATATTAGATAGCAATACAATGGTGGTGACTAGCAGAGCGTACAATGTTACACTTTATAAAAACCAAGCTTCACCTTTTTAAACTAGCTCAGTGATACCTTATTAAACAATTTAATCACAAAGAATTTTTCTTTTAAAGTAAGATTTTTAAAAAACAACAACAGATGAGCAATGTAAATATGATCTGTGTTTAACTTTTGCTGGGATGATTTGTGAGAGATTTTCCACTGTCTGACTGTTTCTTCAGCTGTGCTGCACTCAAGACTGGGGTCCTGCTCCCTACTGGGCTGGGGGTACGGGATCTCAGGTGGGACTTGGAGCGAACTGGCACATCCTGCAACAATAGCAAGGGAGGTAAATAGCCTTTCAAAGGGAAATTATTGTGATAATTAATAGAATCCACTAAAGTGTGATCTAAGTCTACAATACTAACATTATGTTAATCACCTAAACCTACAATACTAAATTTTAAATATGCCAAACATGTATGCAGGCCTTTAAAAATCTAATAAAAAATGTGTGAGAACTATTTAAATTAAATTTAAATATTTTCTCTCAATTTTTCCTGTAATGATTTCTTTTCTCATAATATTTTTCCGCTATCAAAGCTTCTATCTTCTCTATCTCATTATAAATTAGAAACAAATAAATTTTAAAATTATTAAATTTGGTCATGTTTTAGAGAGCAGAATAAAAGGTAATTATGTTTTGTAAGAAAGTAGTTAAAGGCTAATCATATGAAAAACAACACATTTTAATGAATAGTAAATTTTATGCAAACAAGTAAAAGTCACAGATTGAGTCATGTATGTTCAAACCACACATAATAAACAAGTAAAAGTTACAGATTGATTCATGTATCTTTAACCACACTTATTAAAAATCAATAGTGTGAAAGGAAATCTACAGTCTGCTTCTGCAATGAAAGTGTTAATGTATTATATAAATTAACACAAACAAAAGTATTAAACTGCATGTATTTGAAAACTTTTAGTTCTTTATTTTTAGTTCTATATTTTTAATTCTATATTTTTAATTTTGTTTTTGGATGTAAAGATGTAAGCAAAAGTCTCATAAATGACCTATTGAAAAATAAGAAATAATATTATTGTAAATGGAATACTTAATTGAGAAACAACTTAGAAAATAGGGAAATAGCAAAGGGTAAAATATTTTTTTACAAGTTAACAACTTGTAATTTATATCTGATGAGTTTTTAAAGACCTTCATTTTTGTATGAAATAAAATTACGGGTTAAATTTTAAAACTAGCAATAATTAAGTGTAACAAATCAAAATGACAAGGTCAAATCTAGCAGCTAATTGAGGCTACAGTCAGAACATAGTTATTTTCTACACGAGGAAACACTTCCTAGCTGTTAATTACAGCAAAACATTCTTATCAAATGATAAGATATCAAGTAAAATATAAACATATAATATATTTTTCAAAAACATTTGAATGCTTAAAAGCTACTGCTATAAAAACAAAAAGTAATGTTAAAGAAGAAACCGAATGTGCTACATTCTAAATAAATAAATGAAAGCAACTCAAAAATAAAAGTGCACTCCATACCAATGCTTTAATTTTTGTCACAAACTGCCTAAGGGATGATGAAACAGCAAGGAATTAGACTGCATGCATGGGTGAAGGGGGGGGGGGGGAAACAATAATACACTGTATAGGTGGTGTGGTGTTATAGAAACTACACTGTACAGATATGTGTTGGGGTGTTGTAGAAATTACTCTATACAGATATGTGTTGTGGTGTTATAGAACCTACACTATACGGCTATCAATGCTAGACAGTAAAGGATGTTAGCAACAACTGTACAGAGATCAGGTTAACTTAGCAGTGATAAAACAGGTCACTAACTTAGGTTATGCTACTGGTGATAGTGACAGTAGAGTGCGGAAAGTGGTGATACAGTTAGTGGCATAAAGTGTAGTGTAGAAAGTGGTGATACAGTTAGTGACATAAAGTATAGTGTAGAAAGTGATGATATAATGGTGATTTTACCATGAACGTAACAAAGAAGTGAATAAGAAAGATCCAGTGTGATGAAAGTCAGCACATTCAAAGAAATCCATTTTATCTAGATTACAGTAGTCTTGCTATTTCTCTGTAATTATTACATTGTCATAGTATCTATACAATCAGATGCTGCTTGTAATATATTATTTCTCCTTATGTTTTGTGTGAACCACTGAATTGGTTAAAAATCAATTAAATTATCCTATAAAATTGCTTAGTCAAAACCTAACAACTTTTCTTGTAATATCAACATTCTCTTTACTGAATTGTGACGTTTCAGTAAAAATGAGATGTGACATGTATTTCTGCCATTGGTTTCAACACAAGGCTTAATGATTGTACAGTAAACATGCCTTTGTTAGAAATGTTTATGGTGAATATGTTAATTTTTAAAAAATTAAATATAATCAGTTTAAAAAAATAATAGGATAAAATCAACCTTTGTTGTATTTTGAAACTGGAAGAAAATATACATTTATTTAAGCTCCTAACAAATGTTAACGCAGAAAATAAAGTTGTATCACTTACATATGGGACTGCACTCTGCTCTTCTGTTTTTGATGATGATTCCTGATGGACAAAATTATAATGAGATAAAAAATTCATCAGCACTTCTCACAATGTTTTTTTTGTGTTGTGATATAATCTGAGCTTTTTTAAAGGCAAAATGATAGTTTATATTCATTGCAAATAATATCATTAAAACTCTAGATTTGTTTGACAAATATTATGTGTAGGTCAAAATAAAAAAAGCTGACCTCATTAGATGGAGGGGTGGTTTTAGTGTCCTGGTGTTTGGAGGGGAGAATGCCATGAAATGACTGGTTCCTCCTCACACTTGAGCCAGATTTTTTGCTGTTTCCTTCCATAATGATTGGGCTGTGTGTAGGGCGGGTAGGATCACACTCCAAAGGTGGGGCTGGCCAGTGGTCCGATGGAGTTCTACAAAAACAATTTTTTTCTCATAAAGGAGGAAACTTTTTTTTTTTACAAGTACAATGTAGTATTAAATTTTGTAAAATGGTGATTTACTAAATATTGTGTGTTAAATTGGCAAGAACTAGAGTTTTAAATTAAGTGTATTTAAAAAAAAAATATTGTCTGTGTTTGTATGTTTATGTTAAATCTACCTTCTGTGAGTACGTCGCGACTGCCTGTTGTCGTCAGAGTGACTGCCTGATGAGCTCTCACTGGGTGCCCTAGGAGGCAGCTGTGGTCCGCCCTCTGCGTCGCTCTCACTCAAGTTACGCGACCTGCGCCCAGTCTTCCTCTCATCATCAGAGGGGGGCTTAGAACCTGTGTCATGGTCTCTCTCTTCAGGGTTGGATTTCTTTGTAACTAGCTGCTCTTTCTTAGATGGCGGGTTCTTCTGCTGGGTGATGCTCTCCAGCTTGAGCAGGAGTTTTGATACCATTGAGTTTGTCTCCCTTGCTGACCTAGTCTGGAAAGAATCTCCGCCCCCTCCCCTAGCAGGGTCTCTGGAATGGCCCAAGCGAATGCCAGATGGGAGATTGCCCTGTTTGCCATCAGGATTTGCTTCACTGTCCTCTTTAATACTTTCAGGCAGAGAGTCAACACTGGGCGACCTCCTGGACGTGTCCCCGCGGGTGGCGCTGGAGATGGACTCAATGCTGGAGGACCTGCGGTTCACATCCAGCTTAGAGCTCTCCTCACTGCGAGCAGATTCTCGCAGCTTGTTCAGCATCTGCTCAGCCACAGTCAGGCGAGGCTTGTCCTCCCCAGTCACCACAGCAACAACAGGGCTGTTGGGACGGCTGCCTGACGAGTGCCTGTGACGCCCATCAATGACAGGCCTGTTTGACAGGTGGACAGGGTCAGGTAAGTGGCCAGCATCGTCTTCATGCCTGTTGGCCTGACTCTCTGCTACACTGTCCAGCTTTTCCTCGCCTCCCTCCCCCAACATTTCCTCCTTTCTCCATTCTGAAACCTGCGCTGCCATCTCCTTGCTGCGCTTCCTCCTGTGACTTCTAATTTTAGACAACAAATCCTCCCCTGTGGAGCCATCACTGCCCTCAACCTTGTCCTTACCTAACCTTCTAGATTCTTCTGTCATCAGATCCACCTCAGTGCTGACCTCCGCAGCCTTCTCTGTGGTCTGGTAGTCCCTGCTCCGTGTTCTCCGATGTCCTCTACTTCCACTTGTGGGACTCCCAAGGTTGGAGCTGGCCAGTGCTGACACTGTGATGGCGTTTAGACTTTCCAGGAACGAGTTGGCTTTATCTACAGTAAATGTCCCTGACATGCTGGACGACTGGCTCCTGCCCGCACTGGGGGAGAGTTTTAAAGTTGCTGCGTCAGGTTCCAGCTTGGGCTCAGGTTCCAGTTTGGGCTCACACTTCAACGTGTGCTCCCCCTCAGAACCGCAGGATGGTGAGCCACCAGGAGAAACTCTGGCAGCTTCTTCTTTTCTTTTGTTATGAGCAGGAGACTCAGGTTTACTTGAGCCACTGGCTGGAGATTCCTTATTCCTAGGAGAGTCCTTCTTGTTGGACTGTTTAAGTTCAGAACACTCCTGTTCATTCTTTTTAGGGATTTCAAATGATACAGGTTGGTGCAGTTTTCTCAAAGCTTCTCTCTTAGCAGAGTTTGGTGATTTTCTTTCCTCCATGCCTGGAGTAGGACTTGTCTCTTTAAAGCTGGTGTCACTGTGGTCCTCATGGTGGAGGTCTTTGCTCCTGGGTTTGCGATGTTTGTACAGTTTTGGGTGAGTGAAGATGGCATCCGCAGCAGAATTGTTGCTGTTCAAATTTAGCGAAGCTCCTGACATATCTGAAGTTCTCTGCCTATATGACTTAGATACACTCTTCTTCTCCGAGCGAGGAGACTTGCGAATTTTTCTGTGTTTTGTCAGTTTGGGCTCAGTGGAATCCAGGTCTTTGTCACTGTCATGTGACACGTCAGTGCCACTGCTGACATTGTCCTTCAGTCTCTCTGGTCCCATGGCTAGTTTGGCCATCAGAATATTTGATTCATAGGACTCTCCCAGCCCAGACAAGGCCTTTACATACAGCCTAAGAATTGAAAAAGTATCAAGGTAATATACACACATTTAAATTACTGGTAAGTACAGAGCAGTTATAGAAAAGACTTACACATATTTGGATACAATTTTATAAGACAAATTTACACTGTAATAAAAAAAAACCTACTTATAAGTTGTTGTAGGATTTAAACCTTCAACTAGTGCAGATGTTGAATGGCTTATAAAAGCTTTTAATTTATCATTGACATAGATTCTGTAACCTGTACCACACGAAGAAACAAAAATCAATTAACAAAATCGTAGCTATGACAGTATCAGCTAAATATTTACATTTTTTTTTTGAGAAACTACACTTAAAACAGGTTCAACACTAAAGCAGGAAGAGCAACTGACCAATGATGTACACTAAAACAGGCTACTGACCAATGATGTAAACAGGCAACTGACCAATGATGTACACTAAAACAGGCTACTGACCAATGATGTACACTAAAACAGGCTACTGACCAATGATGTAAACAGGCAAATGACCAATGATGTACACTAAAACAGGCAAATGACCAATGATGTACACTAAAACAGGCAACTGACCAATGATGTACACTAAAACAGGCAACTGACCAATGATGTACACTAAAACAGGCAACTGACCAATGATGTACACTAAAACAGGCAACTGACCAATGATGTACACTAAAACAGGCAAATGACCAATGATGTACACTAAAACAGGCAACTGACCAATGATGTACACTAAAACAGGCTACTGACCAATGATGTAAACAGGCAAATGACCATGATGTACACTAAAACAGGCAACTGACCAATGATGTAAACAGGCAACTGACCAATGATGTACACTAAAACAGGCTACTGACCAATGATGTACACTAAAACAGGCTACTGACCAATGATGTAAACAGGCAAATGACCATGATGTACACTAAAACAGGCAACTGACCAATGATGTAAACAGGCAACTGACCAATAGTGTACACTAAAACAGGCAACTGACCAATGATGTACACTAAAACAGGCTACTGACCAATGATGTAAACAGGCAAATGACCATGATGTACACTAAAACAGGCAACTGACCAATGGTGTACACTTAAGCAACTGACCAATGATGTGCTTGTTCCCCTCCTCCTCCTCCCATGTCCTGCCGATACAAGACGAGGCCTGCCACGTCAGCCACAGGGCTGTGGGGCTGTGGTGCTGCATTTGAAGACATCGTGGTGGGGTGGGAGCCCCTGGGGTGGGGACTCGTAGATAGTAGCTCTCCTCCTCTTCTGATATATAAGGGGACAGAGAGTGGGGAATGCAGCCTGAAAAATCCCACATATGACATGGAAGACATTTTAACCAAAAGCTCTGTTCAGGTAATACATTGGTCATTTTACTGAAGTAAACTAACATACATCTGAATCACTTTTGTGTTATTCAATTTTAAAAGATTAACGTACAAGAAAAGTTTTATTTTGTATGTTTTTTGTATATTTATCATGAGGTGGGTAATTAGACTGACCCCAGTGACAGGAATCATCTGATGAATGCCTCTGTCTGTGCAAGTCATTGTTGACATATGAAGTCACCTGCACAGCATCTGAGTGGTCTAAGTGGTGGAAATGTAAAAAAAAAAAAAAAAAAAAAAAAAAAACTTTTTTTGAATTTCTGAAGGTCATTAATTAAATATATCCAATATTTAAAAAAACAACAGGTGTTATTAATTAACTTTCTCTATTAAAAAAAAACAAAAACCAGTGAACTACTGTAAGGTATGACAAAAGGTAAACAAAATATTTTTCAAAGATGTGTAGGTACTAACCAGTGAGATCAAAGCTGGCACCGTCCAAACTGTTTGGTTTGAAGACAGCCGAGGACACAGACAATAGAGCCTCTTGTAGCTGAGACACCTGCAACCATTGGTCAACAAAGTCATGTGACTGTGCTCATAATTTAGTCAAATTTACACTTCATTTATACCTACAAACATACTATAAATACAAAAAGATACTAATTTTTAAAAATATTTTAGAACATGAAAAACTGATGAAGTTCTTATTAATATATTGAAGAAAATAATTTTAAAATAATTTTTTTTAGGTGAAACTCCAAGAGGTCAAAGTTCGTACCTGTGCCTGGAGACTGAGACAAGTCCTCTCTAGCTCATGTGTCCTGTTCAGTTCACTGTAGCCACTGGGTGCTGGGGCTGAGACGCTGGACACACCTGTGGTCATGGGGCTGAAGGTGTTGGCATGGCTGGAGGTATTGCTGCAGCCATCTGTGCTGCTCAGCTCTTTGCTGGAGGTCATGCTGTGAGACTTGAGGACCTGGACCTACAAGTGTTAGGTCAAAGGTAAACAGTTGAAACCATAGCAACAGGGGTGTGAAACAATTGAAACCATAGCAACAGGGGTGTGAAACAGTTGAAACCATAGCAACAACTATTGTTGTGAAACCTAACAAGCTTATGACTGTTACTTAAGTGGTACAAACAGTTTCATCAAAATTAAAATGGCAAAAAAAAAGTAAGAATTTATTTATAAAGTAGCTTTTGGTATCTTTTTTAATCCTCAATATAAATGTAAAAAAACAATTTTTAAAAAATACAGTAAAAACATAATGTAAAAAACATACAGTAAAATAAAGGTAAGAGTGATCTAATACCTCATGATATAAAAGTTTGATTGCCTCCATTTGCAGGATTCTAAGCCTTTTCTCCTCTTCATACAGCTTTTGATTCCTGAAATTTACAGTTTTTTATTTTTTGAACAACCCAATGGTGTAATGCTGGTATGAAGAAATCCATACGTTTCCAAATCTTTACTCAACAACATAAAATTAAGAAAATATTTAAAAAATTGTCAAAGAGTTTGGTTTGGTACCTTTCCAAATCTTTCCTCCATAACATAAAATGTACAAAATATTAAAAAGAGTTTTGTTTGGTACCTTTCCAAATCTTTCCTCCATAACATAAAATGTACAAAATATTAAAAAGAGTTTGGTTTGGTACCTTTCCAAATCTTTCCTCCATAACATAAAATGTACAAAATATTAAAAAGAGTTTGGTTTGGTACCTTTCCAAATCTTTCCTCCATAACATAAAATGTACAAAATATTAAAAAGAGTTTGGTTTGGTACCTTTCCAAATCTTTCCTCAACAACATAAAATTAAGAAAATATTAAAAAGATTGTCAAAGAGTTTTGTTTCGTACCTTTCCAAATCTTTCCTCAACAACATAAAATGTACAAAATATTTTAAAAATTTGTCAAAGAGTTTTCTTTGGTACCTTTCCAAATCTTTCCTCAACAACATGATATGATCTTCTGCTCTGCGGGCCCGGATCTCCTTCCTAATGGACATGACATTGGCATTGTGTTCTCTGGCCCAGTACCCTCTCCAGTAGGACTGTATGCACACAGCTGCTCTGGTTTCTAAAGGTAAATAAACATGTGAATCAATAGGTAGGTCCTACTAACCGTTTAATTTTAAAAGATAAATAATTTTGAGACGGAATTTGAAAAAGAAATGTTGACTTCGGTTACTAAATAATTTTTTTTTACATGTGGCAGAATACAAGTAATAAAACTGTATTTTGTGTTAAAAGAAAGAATATTTAAGCCTGCTATGTTAGCATGTTCACCCAATCATTGAAAATATGCAGAAATTCTGTAATATTAAGAAATTCTGTAATATTAAGAAATTCTGATATTACATTGTTCTACATCACCCATTCATTCTACCACATGTAACATAGTTTAACAAAATGATAGACCACCCATGACTGAATTAGTGTTATATAATATGTGCTTGTCCCTCAGCATAGCTTTAGTTCCCAAATAGGAATCATTCAATGTAAAAAGTGTCATTGAATATCTTCACATGCCTACACATGTGAAATCCACCTCAAGTGTTCAGCAAATGTTCAATAAATAATGTGTGTTTAAGTTTGCATACAATGGCTAAAATCAATATAAAAATATGGGGCAGAGATTTTCACAGTCAACAGTGGGTGATCATGTTGGGGGCATGTTGTGATCCAGGTAGAAATGGATTTATCAAGTTACATTTATGATTGAATCTTTAATCCATGTTAATATTGATTTATCAAAAAAAAAGGAAATGGATTAATGTTAGATCAATGCTAAAACTTGCTATACCAATGCTAAAACTTGCTATACCAATGCTAAAACTTGCTATACTAATACTACAGGCCTACCTCTAAGATGAGTGCCCTCTGTGGTGCCTGTGTAAGACTTGTTTTCCAGCTGTAGCTTCTCATGTGTTCTGACATCTTTTTTTAACTCCATCCTGTGGAGATTGAGCTGACCTTTGACCTGCTTGCTGTCATAGCCAGATGGGCTGCCCATAATGCTTGGCTCCTCCTTCCTCGACCTGTCCAGGGTTTGAGAATTGTTCCTGTTACCTGTTGCAGGTGAGTGAGGTTTAAAGCCCTCTTTAGCTGTGTTCAGTTTCAATGCACTGTGCTGTTTTAAAGCTTTAGTGGCAAGACTAGATGCGGACACATGGTTAGACGCAGGTGGTTTCCTCAGCCTCTGAGCAGCCAAAGTCTTTTCTTGAATGTTGTATCCATTGGGTTGAATGCCAGCTTTTTTACTGCCTGCGATTGATTTGATGTGGCTGAGCTTGTCTTTGGGGGCAGCCTGGAATGAAGGGCCGGCAGATTTGGAAGAAATGGTCTCAGACTCACTGGCAGTTTGTTCGCTGCTGGACTCGTAGTCCTGGCTCAGGGCGGTTGGCGGCGCAGCGTCCTTGTGGGTGCGAACTGATGGCTCTGAACTTGAGGTCAAAGGTCGAGCTACTTCAAATGCGGGCTTAAAGTTTTGTTTAGAGGGTCGAATGGGTCTTTGATCTGCTGAGTCGTGTTTGGTGAACATACGATGTCTGGCGTCGGCTGCGGTGAAGGGACGGGGTAGGTGGGTGTCTGGGAACTGGGATACACTGGGAGGTACTGGCTTCCTGGGCGGCTGCTCTGTTAGTTTCTCTGGGGCAGTGAAAGGTCTGTGGGCAGGCACTGGACTAGCAGGCGAGTCAAAGGGCAGGTAGACAGAATCAGACTCCAGTAGGCTTATGCTGCTTCTGGCATCATATTCTGCCAAATTTTAAATACACACACACATATAAATATAGCATAAAGTGAACAATTTATTTTTTCATATTTCATTTACACAACTTAATTAAAGAAAAATACTACTGTATATTTTGTCAATCCAATTAAAACTGTAGGTGGTAATAAAATATTGTATCACTAAGTCTTAACAATTGATTAAAATATAACTTACAAAACAGCTTAGTTTTTAAATATAAAAATATGTCTAAAAGGTGATTAAAATAATTGTATGGACCTGATGATACATCTTGAAGCATGAGATCATTTGTGTGAGCTATCTGTTTCTTGACATGGGAGAGAACACTTGAGTCAACAGGCTCTGTTTATTAAAGGGGAGGTAATCCATGATTTATAATTTACGGTGTTGAACCAATATCAATATTTACATAAATGGAAATAGGAAATGTGAATTGCTGATTACAATTTTAATTTATTAAAAGCTTTGTCTTATGTGTAGTACAATTAAATTTAATTTTTTAAAATTTTTAATTGGACAACACGATTGATTAAAGCAATAAAATTAAGAGGAGGTATTTATAAAAATAATTAGCGACAGTTTAATAATTGTTTTAGGTGGTGAAGTAAACATACTGGCCCAAACAGTTCTGGCTGGCTTGTTCAAGTCTACAGTGTGCAGGTCACTGGGAGGTGAGGTCTTGTCTGAACTATCCTCATCTGTAGTTACAGATAGTTTGGTTATATCACTCATTGGGTTATACGTATTATGTGGTTTGTGTTATATCACTCATTGGGATATATGTGTTAGATAGTTTGGTATAACATACACCAAACTTGCCCAAAATATGAGTAATAACTACATACACATACAGCTATTCAACTTATGGTTAATAACAACATAAACACACAACTAGCCCAACATCTGACAAACAAGACCATACACATACAACTAGCCAAACATCTGCCTAACACCATACACCTACAACTAGCCAATCATCTGACAAACAAGACCATACACCTACAACTAGCCAAACATCTGACTAACACCATACACATATAACTAGCCCAACATACAACAAACAAGACCACACACATACAACTAGCCCAATATACGACAAACAAAACCATACACCTAGTACTAGTATCAGACTAACCAGCATCCTGTAAGTTGTTGTGTAAACTAGCCAAACATCTGACTAACACCATATACCTACAACTAGCCAAACATCTGACAAACAAGACAATACAACTAGAACTAGTATTAGACTAACCAGCATCCTGTAGGTTGTTGTGTGAGCTAGCCAAACATCTGACTAACACCATACACATACAACTAGCCAAACATACGACAAACAACATCTGACAAACAAGGCCATACACCAACATCTAGTATCAGACTAACCAGCATCCTGTAGGTTGTTGTGTGAGCAGCCAGCACCAGGACTGGACAGTGGACTGTGGTCAGACTGGACATCGTGCCTGTGTGGGTGGACCTCGTGTCTGTGTGGGTGGACATCATGTCTGTTGTTGGCTGGCTGCTGGTGGACTTGCTGCTGATACAGTCGCTGCTGGCTCAGGATTTGGCTCAGTTTACTGTCTTCCTTGGCACACAGCTGTCAAAAATATACACATAATATGATATAATCATACAACACATCAGCATATACATATCAGCATACATCAGACGTCAACATATACATTTCAACATACATCACATGTCAAATATAATAATGTCTAAGTATTGTATAAGAAATAGCGAAATACTACATGTAAAAACCGCCTGGCCAATAGCCTACTAACATGTTTTTTTTTTAAATTAATAAAATAAAATAAAACGCTTACAATAAATAAGTTGAGGAGAAAAGTATAAATTAGAAAAAGACACGTAAGAAATAGTTTGTTAACACGTAAGCACAAGGAAAAGACAATCAGACAATTTTATAGGAGAAATCAACCCGTCTTTTTGTGTCGCCAATCAATCGTTAACATGCGGATAGATATTTTAAAAAGTAATCACATCTACGAAAAAATCCTCAGCGAATCGAACACGTCTGCCGTGTTTCTGCTGCATGGTTTATTGACACCAGGCACTAATGGCGGCTTACAATCCAACAGATCACTCAAACCATCTGGTTTTTGTTTCATCTAATTTTCCCACACGAGAAAAAGTAATCAGACAATTGACTCGAGAACTGCGGGGCGTCCTCGCCTCAACTTGTTGCAGGCTCTTCACTTATCTTTGATAGGGTACACAAAGGGGGATAATCATTAGGCGGTACGGCGGTACGATCAGTGGTTATCTTTTGTGTTAGGTGGATAGTGTCTCCAGTCAAGGACAACTCTACTAGAGTTGTTCCCTCTTGGCTAATACAGTAGGCAGGTTGGATAACGTTTATATCATGTAGGGGACGGACATACATGGCGTCATAGCTTGTTAGTGTTATAGAGTCATAGCTTGGTATTGTTATAGACTCATAGCTTGATAGTGTTATAGAGTCATAGCTTGGTATTGTTATAACATACAGAGAGGCGGACATACATGGCGTCATAGCTTGATAGTGTTATAGCGTCATAGCTTGATAGTGTTATAGAGTCATAGATTGATATTGTTATAGTGTCATAGCTTGATATTGTTATAGCGTCATAGCTTGGTATTGTTATAGCGTCATAGCTTGATACTGTTATAGCGTTATAACTTGATATTGTTATAGCGACATAGCTTGATATTGTTATAGCACACAGAGGGACGTTTAAGTGCAGGCAGTAAGGATAACGTCATAATTCGCGGGTAATTGCAGGCAATAACTTACAGATGACATGAAAACTGACCGTCTGTACAACGTCATCAACTTTCAAGTACTGTAAGGGGACGCAAATGACGCAGCACAACCCCCAGTTGAAGGGAAACAACTCTCCCAGGGACGTGAGGCTGAACTTGTTGTTTTATTTCTTTGACTTAAAACAATATTTTCTGTCAGATACTTAGATCAGCTCAGTGAATCAATTGACAACAAATGCCAACCTACAGATTGTACAACAGTACCTGTGTTTTTCTTATAACTTGAGTTCCTACACAGTAGGTACAATTTGGGTAAACCCAGAGCCCGATACAATGTAGTTTATATAACAGCGCTCGGGGTTACATAACTCTACGCTCAGGGGAGGTCATGAGAATGACTGTAATTATCTCTCTCAAGACAAGATGATTGCTTGTAATCCAAGAGTAGGATCAGTCGTAAACTTAGTGTACAAGACAAGCGGTAAATACGGTACAAAGAGTAGCATGTAGCCCCAAGATATAGAGTAGCACGTAGCCCCAAGATAAGCAGCATGTAGCCCCAAGATAAGTAGCATGTAGCCCCAAGTTATAAAGTAGCATGTAGCCCCAAGATAAGTAGCATGTAGCCTCATGATACACACAGTAACATGTAGCCTTATGATACACACACCAGCATGTAGCCTTATGATACACACAGTAGCACGTAGTCTTATGATACACACAGTAGCAGGTAGTCTTATGATACACACAGTAGCACGTAGTCTTATGATACACACAGTAGCAGGTAGCATTATGATACATCAAATGTTATTAGTAAAGGGTGACGACGAGACACACGAAGACACCACGTGACAAAAACAATTAATAGAAAGACCACGTGACAGGAGTTAAACATCAATGGAAATCGTACAAGACACACCACATCCACAGACACTAAGATAGCAAGAAAAATACATGACAACTGACGGGCCAATCTCGTTGCTTCAGATAACAGGAACATACATGTCCTTGTGTCAACTGTATCACGTGACACAGGACCAGTTGTATCACGTGACAGAAGACCAGTTGTATCACGTGACAGAAGACCAGTTGTATCACGTGACAGAAGACCAGTTGTATCACGTGACAGAAGACCAGTTGTATCACGTGACAGAAGACCAGTTGTATCACGTGACAGAAGACCAGCTGTGTCACGTGACAGAAGACCAGCTGTGTCACGTGACAGAAGACCAGTTGTATCACGTGACAGAAGACCAGTTGTATCACGTGACAGAAGACCAGCTGTGTCACGTGACAGAAGACCAGCTGTATCACGTGACAGAAGACCAGTTGTATCACGTGACAGAAGACCAGTTGTATCACGTGACAGAAGACCAGTTGTATCACGTGACAGAAGACCAGTTGTATCACGTGACAGAAGACCAGCTGTGTCACGTGACAGAAGACCAGTTGTATCACGTGACAGAAGACCAGTTGTATCACGTGACAGAAGACCAGTTGTATCACGTGACAGAAGACCAGTTGTATCACGTGACAGAAGACCAGTTGTATCATGTGACAGAAGACCACTAACTGATCAAACAAAGTTTCCCTGAGAACATGACAAGGTTTTCTGCTAAACAGCCTCTCAGTCTCAGCCTCGTCCTGGTTCGATCAGCCAACAGCAAACGTATTTACGGCATCCAATTATATAAACATGTCTGACCGGTGGCCAACTTTATATAAACATGTCTGTTTGACCAGCCGCCAACTTTATATAAACATGTCTGTTTGACCAGCCGCCAACTTTATATAAACATGTCTGACCAGTGGCCAACTTTATATAAACATGTCTGACCCGTGGCCAACTTTCAATAAACATGTCTGACCCGTGGCAAACTTTCTATAAACATGTCTGTTTGACCAATGGCCAACTTTATATAAACATGTCTGTTTGACCAATGGCCAACTTTATATAAACTTGTCTGTTTGACCAATGGCCAACTTTATATAAACTTGTCTGTTTGACCAATGTCCAACTTTATATAAACTTGTCTGTTTGACCAATGGCCAACTTTATATAAACATGTCTGTTTGACCAATGGCCAACTTTATATAAACTTGTCTGTTTGACCAATGGCCAACTTTATATAAACTTGTCTGTTTGACCAATGGCCAACTTTATATAAACTTGTCTGTTTGACCAATGGCCAACTTTATATAAACATGTCTGTTTGACCAATGGCCAACTTTATATAAACATGTCTGTTTGACCAATGGCCTACTTTATACAATGGTGACAAAGATACCCAACGTTGAGAACAAGGAAATTAGTCAACCATTACCACCGTGACGAGATATTATGTGGTAATACATGGACTGTTAACAACAATCAACCTAAAGGGTGATGACTGTATGACACAATCAATTTACAGGGTAATGATTGTGTGACACAATCAACTTACGGGGTAATGATTGGATTGTTTAACACAATCAACTTACGGGGTAATGATTGGATTGTTTAAGCAGCATCATGGTCAATCAATCCACATGTAGAGATAAATCCTCCGCGCTTGTAGACAGCATACTAATTAGTAAGAGAAGTTGTACGATTTAGTCCCGCAGCATACGATTTAGCCAGGCAGCATAAGATTTAGTCCGGCAGCATACAAATTAGTCCGACAGCATATAATTTAGTGAACACAACAGAAAAATAGTCCGACACTATGCAAGTAAGGTAATCCAATCAGTAGATGAATGTAGGTAAGCGCTGAATTTAAAATCTTTTACACCTAACTAGAAGAGTATTATCATAAAAATTAAAAATAATTATCGAAATTAATTCTGAACAACTTCTTAAACTAAACCTACCCAATATCACAAACTAAACCTACACAATATCACAAACTAAATCTACACAATATCACAAACTAAACCTACACAATATCACAAATTAAACCTACACAATATCACAAATTAAACCTACACAATATCACAAATTAAACCTATACAATATCACAAATTAAACCTACACAATATCACGAACTAAACCTGTACAATATCACAAACAAAACCTACTAAATATCACGAACTAAACTTACACATTATCACAAACTAAACCTACGCAACATCACAAAATAAAGCTATACCAACTCACAATAGAAACCTACACACCATAACCTAATCCTATTATACATAAGAAACTAAACCCTACATCACATCACAAACCTACTCCACATCACAAACTTACTTCCACAAGCCTAAATCACATCAGAAACCTTCAAAACATCGGAAAACTATACATCACAAAACTACTCCAATTCAAAAAGCTACATCACATCACTAACTTACATCCAATCGCAAACCTACTCCCCATCAGAAACCTACTCCACATCAGAATCCTACTCCACATGACAAACCTACTCCCCATCAAAAAACCTACTCCACATGACAAACCTACTCCACATGACAAACCTACTCCACATCAGAAACCTATACACTATACACGAAAGAAACCCTCTACCACCAGCAAGGCCACTGTACCTACAACTCTCCAAATTCTCGCACACGAACCACACCAGTAATTAGCGTACCCGCTCCAATGCCAGCGAATGAATGATTCAAACTAGGCCGCCTATTAGATCCACCGAAATCGCTGATCAATAAATCTATTGAACTAGACCCAGTTGGGGCGGCGCTTCCTACGGGGCTGTTATACGTGCCAGTGCCGTCTGTGTGATGGCAACAAAAATAGTTGACTGTTGTGGCGTGATCGGCTGCAGGAAATGTACAAACACGACTCGACCACACGGGAGGGGGAGGGGGGGGGGGGGGGTAAAACTGTTTGCAGCAGAA